AAAAAAAAAAAGGAAAAATTATAAATTATCGTGGAGACATTTAGTTAGGTAAATTATATTTGATCTAATATTTAAGAATGAAAATAATTCAAGTAGAATAAATATATAAAACATGTAAAGCATTTGTTTTATGCTTTACTTTCATGTACATAAATAAATAAAATAAATAAAATAGAATAAATAAATTAGGCATCATTATATCATATGTTTCACAATATAAAATATTATAATAAGATATCTATTATGATGTACATGATATAATAAAAAATTATTACAAATTTAGCCATGCGGAAATTTATATTCGGTATGATGACTTAATTTTTACGTCATAGTTTCCTATTTGTACTTGAGTTTCCCTCTTTAAATTGATTACTCCCGCCTGTCAAAAATACCTAATTTGTTTTAGAAATATAAAATTTTATTTTTTTAATAAATACTATGACATATTTTTTGCATTTTTTGTTCATCAACATAAACAAAATTTATAATATTTCTGCGCCATGCGATTTACAATAGTGTTTAAAGTTATGATTAAAATAGATTTTTGTAAACAATTCTGTTCGTTTAACCCACACTACATTTGTTAATATGCGTGATAATTTCATATATTTGTTTAAAGATAAACCAATTTATGCTTATCCACGAAGATTTATTTACTTTGTAGATTTCTTTTTTTTCTATCATTCTGCGTTAAAAAAATCGGTACCCCATTAATTTATTGGTATTAAAAGATTTTCTCTTGTACGATAAAAATTACCTGATTTTCACTTGTACAAATTCAGATTGCACACATTTAAATTATAAATATTATTATTCTTATTAGGAATTTAACGTTTAATAACAAAATGTAATTTGCATCAAACAAAAGCGAGCAGGTTAACAATGTGATTTTCATTTTTAGGTTAATCGTCAATTTTCCTTTAATTACATCATGTAAAAAAAAAAGGTGTAACCAGGCATGTTTCTTTGGTATGTTTCTTTGATATGTAATTCTTTTAATTGAGAAGCAATAAATTAAGTAAACTATTATGCCTATAATTAGAAATCACATAACAGGTGCTTATGCAAATTTCAATGAATTTTACGATCAAATCCACGACTTTAATTAAATTATTATGTTGAAATGCATGTTTTGGAAGAGACAATCTTTATCAAAGAAAAAGATTGAGGTTTACGTAATAGGATCATGTTATTTACACGGAAAGATCACACGTATTCCAAAAGAAATATCTTTAATTAACTTACTTTTTTCTTTTCCATATTGTTTTACGTTCCTGTTATTATCAATTATTAGCTACCAAAAACATCAATCTTGCACACAATTTATGTTTCGATCGAGATTAAATCAAATTCATAGTTCCCAAATTGGATGAAATATTATTTATCGAACATATTATAATGTTCATGTTGATGTAAATGAGAGGCATAATATCTTTGCTGTTAAGACATAATTCAATTATTTAGCGAGTTCTTAAAGCTCGCACCTGCTTGTGAGTTAACTGTTTGACTTGCAACTTTCTGATTACCTGGTTTCCTAGACATTTCCTAAGATTACAGCCCGTGATGATTAAGATTAAGTTAACTTAATTAGTATTACTCGTGAAAAGGCCTGGATGTAAACTACACTGTATTATTCCGGATGGAATGTTTTAGATTAGTTATGCGTTATGTTCTTGAAAGTTTACAATGGAATTGAACTTTTTCAATTCTTTCCAATTCCAATTCCCTCAATTCCCTCCAATATACCAATAGTTTCAAAACATATTATATGTGTATCCATGTGATCCAATAATTTTTATTGAAATTAGAAGCCCACATATATTACATAACTAAAAAAAAAAAGATCCAATTTTAAATAAATTATAGTTCATAAAATTGTCTCAAGATTAATCAAATGGTAGTAACTTTAATATATATAGTATTGATATTTGATGATGATTATATTTTACTCTTTTGTATTTTGATAATTATCTTGGATGAAACGAATAGGTATGACAAGAACAGTCCAGAACATCGAAGATTCTGTTTGGTCATTGTCCTACCTTAAATCAATGATAGTAAAAATCAAATTTCAAATTAAAGTGGTAGTACTTATAATCCTGAAATTGTTAGAGATTTAGGCCAAATTAATATGATATTTGTTTCTCATGAAATAAATAAGATTCAGCCATAAATGCAATAAATAAAATTGATTGGTTTCTTTTTCATTGACCAACCTTTTTTATAATTCTCAAAAACAAATACTTAAAAAAAAAAAATTTATTATTTTTTCGCTTCCGGTTATGAAAAACGAATAATTTATTTATCTGTCCTTATAAAGAAATGGATAAAAAGCTTTGGGAATTTATGAAAAATTGTTGAAGTAATTTCATTTATATGTAGCTTGTGGAAATCTCGAACCGTGTACAGAAATTGATTAATGCAAAGTTTATTGATCTTTAGCTTAAGTATATCTTAAGTATATCTTAAGTATATAAATAATTTATTGTTTTAAGCTTCATTTATCGAGCTTAACAAACTATAATATGTTGTTACTAGCTTTCTTACCCGCGCAATTGCGCATCTATCAAGTGTTTTATTCAATAAAAACCATTTATTATGATGATACTTCTTATATGCTTGCTGACCTTAATCTTCGCTTGAATCTTCATCCGCAATTCTTCTATAACATGCTAAAAACTTGTCTCCATTATTTCGTTCTACTTTTTTACCTTCTTCTGTCGCAGTTCGAACATGTGGAACAACAGGATCCCTTTCCTAAATCCGAAATTAAATCGAAAGAAAATAGTTAACTTGTTTGTAAAATGCAGAAGTTTTGCAAAATATAAATCTCCTGACAAATACCAATTCGTCGTCTGGAATGCGCTCAAAGAGTGGATGGTCATCTAAATGCTTAACCATCCATTCATGCAAGTCTTTGACATCTGTTATCGTATAAATTATACCACCAACACGTAAAACGTAAGCATATTCTGATAATAATTGAGTCCTGAGAAAATAAAAAAAAAGAAAATTATTTTTAGTAACAATTTTTAATGACTAATTTATGATTATAGCTTACGTGATAATCCTAGCCTTATGCTTTCTATTTTTAAAATGTGGATCGGGAAATAAAAAGAACATTTTTGACAACTTTGTCAATATTATATATTGATAGTTAGTATAAATGAGTATTATAATCATCAAAACTTGGATAAGAATACTTACCTGACCTTTCTCAAAGAAATTTGGTAAGAATTTCATAGCATTCATTCTTATGATGGATATGTTCTGATATTGATTGGGATTTTGTAATCTTAATGCATTAATTCGTTCGCGAACGTATTCTTCAACTTTCACTCGAATTTCCATACCTTCATTAGAATTGAAAAATCGAATAAAATCCTTAATATAAATCAATCGCTAAAAGAATTAATCATTTACCTAACATTAAAACATCGGGAAATAAAGTTGATAGCGCGACTAACAAGCCACCATATCCACAACCAAGGTCAGCAAATTCAACTTTTTTTTGAATTGATGGCTGGCTTATTATATTAGGAACTTGAATATTGTCGCTCTTTGAAGTAAAGAATTCTGGATAATGTGCGGACCAATCCATATGAGCGGGATTTAATGGGCTATTTATTATTATACATAAATAAAAAAAGGTTTTTTCAAAAGAATTGAATTGATTGATTATATTTGAAATAAATAAATACTATTCAAGGTAATGATCCGAAAATGGGTTCGAATGAGCTCGTTGCCGAAAGTATCGTTTCTGAAAAAGATTGGAGCGTGTTTCATTATTTATGAATCGAAAATTACTTAAGAGGCAAGTGATTTTTAGCAAATAAGAATTCACCTGGGGAAGTTTAGCTGACATGATAACATTTTATAAGAAAAAGAGATATTTTCAGCATTTTACGTGTCTTATAATGTCACATGATTTATGATTTTAATGCACCAACTGATCGGCTTTTTTTTTTTGTAGCATATGTTTTCAGATGAAAATTATCGCCCGTTTCTTTGGACAAGTTTAAAAGCTGCGCCACGCATTATGTTAGGAGGTCGCACAAAACATAAAGAACCAAACCAGTTTTGTAAAGTCACAACCCGTTCCCGACGAACAGTCTTGCTCTTAAAACTTCATAAACTTTGACTCTCTCTTTAGTATCACTAGAAGAATGTCGAGCAAATACAGTGCACTTCCTGATATTGTAAGTTATTCTTTCATAATACTTTATCGATTAGTTATTGTACGAATTCTTCCAAAAAAATGGTTTATTTTTACTCAACTAGCAAATACTTACTTAACAGGACACTCAACAAGATGTTTACGAGACACCCGATTCCCCTGATGAAGCCGAAGTCTCTGACGATGGAGTGAGTTAAAATGTTCTTAAGTTTGAAATTTTAGTCTTTAAATTTCTAATTATTCATTAATAATTACTTTGTTAATTAGTTTTTAAACGTGGAAGAACCTAATGAAGATATTGTTCAGGACAAAATTTCACTCAGCGAGGCCGCGGACAAGTTTAAGAGTAATGATGCGAATGGTGATGATTCTGGTATGACCGATTGTTGATACATGTTATGATTTGCTGCTTTCAAATTTTCGGAAATTTTTTTTATTAATCAAATTGAATCATATTGACCTTTTAGAACTTAATCGAATCACTCGCCATAAGAAACAGATATACAAAAAAGTTGTCAATCAGGCATTTTTAGACACGACTGAATATGAGATTGTTCCAAGAGATCCTACATTGCAGGAAACTCCGGTACAAAAACTGAGAAGGTTGATGTTCGAAGTACAAGAACTTGGAGAGGAAATTGAGAAAAAGAAGGTAAATTTGTAATAATATTTTATAGTATTTTAATTGTGTGTTTACATGATGATAAATATAATTAATTATCTAGGACGATGTAGCATCACCTCAAATTCCTCAGAATATATTATCATCGCATATAACAAGCTTAAATAACGAACTTTCACGCATTAGTCAATCCTTGGATGGTGATTCAGATGACAAAGATGGCACAATAATAAAACAAGCTGAATTAGGCAAGAAATTAATCCATCAATTGCAAACATTTAAAAATATGGGAATGCCCAAGGAGAATGGAATCTCATCGGGAGAAAAGGTCAATGGTGAGGCAACAAACGGAACTGTAGATGAGAGCGCTAAAAACGTGAGCGATATTTTTGAACATTTTTGAACTATAATTTTTCATTTTAATATTTAATATTATTTTAATATAGATGGTTACATATGAATTGTATTACTCGCCTGAAAATACTAAACTTCACACTTTAGCTAAGACTAATGAACTTGATGAACGTATTGCTGCCTTAGAAAAACTTGTTGGTACAGCTCATGGTCAAAATTTCGAGGATCTTGTAAGCATTCTCTAAATGTTAAAATTTTTAGATCGAATATAAATAATTAATTTTATTTAACTTTTATAATCACATTCAAATAACTGACATGCAATAATACAGTCGATTTCGATAACGAATACCAACCTTATTGCGGCTATGGATAAGCTCGATCAACAAATGCAAATTTTAGCACAGCCACGTCATTTAGAATCAGTTTCCCGAAAGGCTAAAACCTTGGTTGGAGAATTGGAAAAAGTGAACGAGTTAAAAAATAAAGAGTTATCGAACGGCGGTATCATTACCTTTGAGACAGAGGAAAAGGTATTTCAATTTGTCATTATGATAATTTGCATGTTTTACTTATTTTGAAAAGTAAAATTCACAATTTCTTGAACATTTTTATGTAAAATAAATAGATCAATTATCTTTTCGCTCTTTTGGATAAATTAGACCCTTTAATGTCCATCGCACCTGCCTTAGTTAATCGTCTTAAATCTTTACAACAGTTGCACCAAGAAGCTACTGTGTTTAGTGAAACTATTAATATGTTATCCGATGAACAGAGTAAGATTAGGGAAGAATTGAAGAGTTTGGATGATGTTACCGAAAAAGTATGTGTTTATAATTATTAATTAATTTAAGTTATAATGTAATATACTCATCATAACATTTTTAAAAAAATTTAGCTTGAGAAATCCTTTGAGATCAATGATGCAACAGTGAAAAAGAATGTTGAAAATATGGATACACGTATTACTGATCTTGCACAACGCTTAGATAAATTGATGGGAAATCGGAAATAATTTTATTCTGTAAGAATTAGTAGAAATAAAATTTTTTTTTTTTATTAAAACCAGTGTCAAAATATGGTTTAAATGGTAAGTAATAGTTAATAATTATATATATCTTCAGGACATATTAATTATTTGAGCAGAGCTCAGCTGTTGCATTATCACCTTGGACTAAATAATTATTAGTTGATTGTATTCGTTATTATATATACATATATATATATTTTTGTGCATATATAAATCATAATATTCAGTTTACTTTTCAATCAATTCAGTGACAATTTATATAGAAAATATTGAAAGAAGAACTTTGAATTTGTTAAAACTATTTAAGGAGTAGTTTAAGCATATTTATTTATTTATTTTTGTAAATCTAAATTATTTTGTGATTATTTTTTTATATATATATATAAAAAAGATCTTATTTATTTATTTTAAAAACTTATTAAATTATAATTACATAAAAGAATTTTATAATGCATTCATATACGAATTTAATAAAATTAATAAATTAATAAATTAATAAATTTATTATATATATAAGGTATTTTTTATTACTATTAAATAAATTAGATTGTAAATTTAAGATTAAAAAGCTATAACATTATAAATTCTGCTATTAACCCAGGTGATTTAACCTATTAGTAAATTTTATATAATTATATAATTTTGCCCAAATTTCCAAAAAAAAATGTAAATTATGGTCAAATCACAATCAAAAACAAAGAGACATTATCAAGAATGTAAGAAAACTTGGTCATTATATTCTATAATATCCAAATAAATAAAATCTATATAAAGTGAAATGAATAATAACACAAAAAATTTTTTTTTTTTAAAAAAAAAAAAAATGATTGATGTAAAATATAAATTTTAAGGGGTTGATTTATCCAGGTGATTTAACCCAGGTGGAGGGCAAGTTAGAAAAACTCTTTAAATTAATTAGTACTGAAAATAACAGATAACGAATTATGATACAATAATTAGAATAAATAATTAGAATATGATAAAATTCAAAGTGAACTGTGTAAATCAATAATTTATTATTATTTAAAAATGTGAGCCAATTCAAATAATAGTAAAATCAAATGATAGAAGACAAGACATCAAGTATAATAATACATCATTAATTGAATATTTAGATGATACCGATGATAATTTATTTACTAAATCAATTATTTATTAAAAAAAAAATGGATTTAATAAATTAAATTAGTGTTTTCTATTTTTCAAATATTTTAAATAGGGATATTTTTATAGATCAACTTGTTATTACTGTAAAATGTTAAAAATCGTAATATTATTGGATTGGATTTTTAATAATTTTTTTGCAAATTTAAGAATTTAGATTAGTACATGTAATAAATGTTTGTAATAAATGTTAGCACATGTAATAAATATTATAAATTCAATAATTATGCGAATAACAGATTAAGTGGATAAAATGAGAAGTCGCAATTGGGCTAGTACAAATAATCTATTACTAATATCAATCATTTCTATATTTTAAGCTTTATTCAGAATAATATCTGTTATCAAAGTTAATTTTACAAAAGTCATACTGTTATTTATTGGCTTATTGGCTTAAAAAACGGTTTATTGTTTCTTATTTATATAATAATCATAAAAATTATACGTATAATATAAACCATCGCATTTCTTATTAATTTGAATATTTAACGATATTAACACGAGTTTTACGTACGAAAATTGATTCTTCGGAATCATACCGATAAAAAGTTAAAATACGAATGCGTAATTAATTTATTTGATTCTATTTTACAAAATTTCGTTTTTTTACAAAAAAAAAAAAAAAAATGATTAAACTACGTTTGTGTTGGTAAGTGTTTGTGTTTGTGATTTAATGTTCGAAAAATATCGATAAGTCCATCAGCTAAACCCGCTAAATATGTCTCCCTCAATACTTGAAAAGTATTCTGGTGTTTTTTGAAAGATTATATTAGAATCCTGCGCCTCGATTAAGTTTGGCAAGTCATGTATTATACTTTGTTGAATTTGTTGTGAGGGATGTGAGGGAGTAGGAGATGGGGGTTGTTGAATTCGATTCTGATTTTGATTTTGCCGATTTTGAATCTGCAGAATTTGTCGATTTTGATTTTGATTCTGCAGATTCTGATTTTGATTCTGCCGATTTTGTTGACTTTGTTGATTTCGATTTTGTCTATTTCGACGCAAACGATTCGGATCTCGTTGAATTCTTCCATTTCTTACTGGTGTAAAACGCATGATAACATTTGTGTTTCTTTCAGTGTTTCTAGTGTTTCTTGCTAGCATGTTTTATGAGAGATTTTTTTTTAAAATATTTTAATTTTTGTTTTTTTTTTGTATTTTTGTTTTTGTTATTTGATTCTGAAAGAATCTGGCTCTTTTTATAACGATTTTTTTTGGAATTTTTTTTTTTAGCTGTTTGCTTCTGGAAAGTAATCTGGCATTTCTGGCATTTTTATAATGTTTTTTTAAATTAGATTTGAAGAAAAAGATTTTTTACCGACGATCCTATTTTAATATAATATACTCTGTCCGAACATCAAATATGTATATAAAAAATTAAAGTAATAAGAGTAACAATAAAGCATAAAGTCAATATAATTTTAGTGTAAAAAGTATAAAATATAAAATAGACTAACCAATTATAGTCATCATTACAAAGGTGATTTTCTTAATAATACAATTTATATTATTGATTAAAATTTTAAAGTACTATTATTTTATGTTAAAATATATATTTTTATATTATTTAATAATATAAATTGTAATTGAAGTAATTGAAGTAGTAATTGAAGTAATTTAAACGCTATAAAAATATTTTACTTTATTATATAGATATATATATATTTATATTTTATTTATATTATTTATATTATATACACATATAAAATATAAAATATGTATTTATATATATGTATATATATATTTATTTCTTTTTAAAAAAAAGAGGAAAATAACGAACCTTAAAAAAAAAATATTTTTTTTTTTTTTTTTTTTTTGGTTTTTTTTTTCAAAAATTCAAAAATTTCTTGAAGAAAGGCCGGATTTAAATAATCTGTCTGCTCTTTCTTTTAAATGTTTACTAATACATCATTTCTCATATCTCTTTCAATCGATTTATTCTTGGAATATCATTTATTATTAAATGACAATGTGTGACAATATAATCATTACTTTAAAGTTTCCTTTGAAAATCCCAAACGAAAAACCTAACCATCTTTCTCTTTCTTTTATATATACAAATTTTTTTTATAAAAAAAAAAATTCTCATATATATAAAGATGAATGTTTTAATGTTATTCAAGAAGAATTTGCTTCGTTTGACTTAGATTATGGGATTAATAGAGTAGACTTTCATATGATTCTAGTACCAATTTGGTATTTCTTTAATATGCTAGTTTTACTCTATTCAGTGAATATTTTCATTTCAAATAAGAATCTCTCACAAATTACAATATTAAACTTATTCGTATTACATGACATATTGTTCAATATTTTTAATTTTTTATTATGAATGGAAATGGGAATATTGCATACTAATAATATTTCTTTTTTTTTTTTATAAATTGACCTTTTTTCATTTTAAATATAATTAATGTATTTGTGACGATGATGTTATAACTTCTAATTGGTTCGTTTTTTATACAATTATTGTTTATGCTAATATCTGCTTTTACAATATAAACACGTGTTCGTCATGTTATTATTTCTTAATTTAGATAATCTAGATCTTTACAAAATTCTCCTAATTTTTGGGTCTTTGAACTTCTAAGACAGTTTTTCTTTTTTTTTTTTTATTCCGTAATTGTATTGTAATATATTATTTTATTTTAGTTAATTTAATAAATTTATACAATCATTTAAAAAAAAATACGTTTTTTATCTCAAACACATTAAAATGCAAACTCATCTGCATGTCATCATCTTATATGAAAGTTTTCTATCTAATATTGCTATAATTGTATTATCATTATCATTATCATTAACAGTTAATAACTTCCATTACTTTTTTACAAAAACTGATGAATTTCTAACATGCATAAAATGATAATATGAGCATAATATATATATATTATTATATAATTATATTATTTAATTTTTAAAAATATTTAATTAATTTAATAAGATAATTTTATTTAAAAATATTTAATTAAAAGCTATTTGATAAATTACAAAAAATGTACTTTTATATTTATAATTAATAATATTAAAATACAATTTATATAACCCAACCTTTTTTTTTAATTTTTTTAAAATTTAAAATTTTTATCAAAATTATTAAAAATATAATAAATATATTTGTAATTATATGATATATATTATATATTTTTAATTTTATAATTTAAATTCAATTATAAATAGTTTATAAAATTATAAAATATTTAAAATCAAATATATTAATATCATATAAAAATAATAAAATAATAGATAAAATATTACAAATATTACAATTACAATATGTACAATATGAATAAAAATTAATACATTTTTAATAATAAATTAATAATATTTTAATCTTTTTTTTTAAGTAAATTTTCAATTCTTTTAAATATTTTACTTTTGATATTATTTAATAAAAAATAAAAAAAAAAGTAAAAAAGTTGGTTTAATAAAAGATTTATTTTATTAGTTAATAAGTAGTATGATTAGTAAAGGTAGAATAATAATAATTTATAAATACTAGTTTATATAATAATATTATATTAGATATTTTTAGTTATATTTTAAATAATTATAATTTAATAAAAATGGATGATTATTTTTAAAAAATATAAAAAATAATATATTTTTAATTATAGAAATATAACCTATTTTCCTTATAGAAATTGCTTTTAAATCAATCCCATTGGGAAACCAATAATAATTAGAATAATATGTTTCTAATACCAAGAAGAGTTTATACTTATTATAACTCATCCTATCAATTTTACTGATTTAAGTATCTATTTGGTACTTTAAATACTTTAATAAAAAAAAAAATAGAATTAATTTATTAAAAACTTAACTAATTAATTCTTTTTATTTTGATATCATGTTTTCAAACTAGATTTCAGGTTGAAACTATTTTTTTCTGGACGTGCAAACTAAATTGTTTCTGCATGTTTATGCAATGTCCAGCACAAAAAAAATTAATTATTTACTGATTAAGTTAGACTGTAGACTACATATGTGTGACCATTGTTTAATTATCAGGTAATACTTTCCTTTAAAGATTGTAATGCATATTTGTACAGTAATTCAATATATAGGGATGGAAAAAGGTAAGTTTCTCCACCAATTGACCAAATTGATCGTTAACTTGTGCATGATGAACTAATGATTGATAAATTATGTATATTATGTATGGTAAGGTGAACTTTGTTCAGCCATTGAAACATAATTGTGTAAAAGAACAGTTGTTGCGATAGTGGTGATAATGAGATGGATTCTTAGTCATCAAACCAAATTTATCAACGTTCTAGTAACGATGATCAGGTAGAATTGTTACAGTACTTTGTGCAGTCGAATTCTCAAATTGATCATTATTTTACATCAAAGGAGCGGTTTGTCATTGTGGTATTGATGGGTATTGATGACTGTATAGAATTTGAGAAAATTGTGATAAGGTTATACCTTGTAAGCTCACGTGAGTGCGATATGTTTGACTGTGGTTGTTGGTTGACGATATGCCAGATAAATAGCTGGTTAAATTTTTCTTTTAGTTTACTAGCTTGTTCAACTTGTCTCCTGGTATTTTTTTTTCTATGAAATGGAATTATCGGGCACAACACACTTTTATTTCTTTTATTTGAATTCATAATGACAAAAAATAAAATAAAATAAAATAAATTATAGATGCTACAAAACGTGTAAACGGTTGCTGTTAAAGGTTTCTAACAGGATATTGGAAAATTTTTGTCATATTCGTGTAATAGTTATTTAAAGCGGAGTGTGGCAGAATGGTTTATTGCATTCTGTAGTTCCTGTGATTGAGTTATTTGTCTTACCTTCCCTTTCACATTGAATTAATTTTGTGATAGAGATTTTCCTCAAAACATGCATAGAATTTTCTTTAAACCTATACTTTTTTTGTTCTTATTAAATTATTAAATTTTTATAATTTAAATATTAATACAATACTAATTGGCAGATAAATAAATAATTTAAATAAATTCAAATTCTTGTTTAAAGGAATTTAAATCCCTTTCATCGCATTTAGATTCTAAATCAGGCCTATCTAAAAATCCACAACACATTTTAAGTGTATCCCAGATATTCGAACTCATGCCTTTTTCAGTAATATTTTGAAACGAACTATTTTCAACGTTTAAACTATTATTTGTGATCCCATCAGTTTCTCCGGCTTGCAGCGCAAGAGCAGCAAGTAAATGTTCAACCGCATCTCTATATTCTTTCATGTTAATGAAAGAAATGGCAAGATTATAACGAGCACGAACATACGATGGGTTTATCTCGAGTGCATTAAAATAAGCATTAGCGGCTTTTTCGGGTTCACGAGCATTTGCCATTGTTGCACCAAGTTTATTCCAAAGAAGGTAATCCTAAATAAAAGATGTAAATCAAATTATCCTTTAAAAAGGAATTAAAATTATAAAATGTTGAACTTACGTTCGGTCTCAAGGAAAGTGCAGATTGGAAACAGTCTATCGCCTTATTATATTCTTCCGATACATTGTATAATATTCCCAAACCAATTTGAACGTCTGGATCAAGATTTTCTCCGGGATTTAAAAGTGCTGCTTGTATAAACAGGTCCGTGAAAAATTTGTGAGGATCAACAAAATTTGCTTTTGCACGTTGCTGTTCTAATAATTTTTTATATTTAGAATTATGCTCAAACCAAGATTCTAATACATCATATACATCATCACGACGATATTCGTTCGTGTAAGAAACTGCTAGAGAAAGCCATGAATCCAATATTTGAGGATTCAAGGTTGCAGCTTTACGTAATGCTGCTATTGCTTTCGGCTCCTGTTCATTCTCTTGTTGCCTAGTACCAAGTTGATACCATGCATATGAATCATTCGGATCAAGTTGAACCTTCGCTTCTAAAATCAATATAGATTCTGCTAGATTTTGACCTTTCATTGACGAAAGATTTGGCATATTAAGGAAAGGATTATTTTGAGAAAATTCGTAATCGTTATAATTGTATGAATATCCCGAACTAGTAGCTTGATAATTTTCCCAATCTTTTTTTAAATCTTCCATAGTTTGATCAACAGATTTTTCTAATGAAAAATCTTTAACCCAGTTATCTGATGCTGTTCTTGTACTGGAAGTATCATTTATTTGATTGTCAGTTTTTTGAAATTCTGTAGCCCAATCACTTTCTCCATTTTTTGTAGTACCTGAAAATCTAGTATTTTCATTAAATTCTCGAGTCCATGAATTTGTCTGTTTATTTGTAAATTCCGAAGCCCAATTATTATTGTTTTGCTGCTGACTAAATTCGGAAGCCCAATTTTCATTTGATATTGGGGCATTTTCAACAATTTTGTTACCTTCAATAGAAAGTTCTTGTTTACTCAATTTTTTCATGAATTGAAAAAATGATGAACTTTTAAATTTTGGGTTTGTTTCTCCTTCAACAGATGCAACTAACTTACTAGCTACGCTAGCTAATTCAGTTTTTGCATCCGCGGCTTCTTCTTGTTGTTTAAATTCATTTGCCCATGATTGTTCTTGAGCTTTAAATTCGGACTCCCAACTCGCACCTATTACAGAAAATCATATTAAATAGAAGTATCAAGGTAGGTCTTATGATGATTTTCTTGAATACTTACTTTTCTTCGCATCCTCAAATGCCTGTTCAAATGCGGTTATCTCTTCAGGATGTATCTCGATATTTCCTGCTTGTCGTTGTTGTTGAAACTGAGATACCCAATTATCTAAAAGAAAAATATATATATATTTAAGCTTGTTAGTTACACGAACGAACAAGAAACCTCGAATAGCTAAAAGTCACTCACTTTGATTTTGAGCATTTTTGTAGATCATGTTGAATTCTTCAAATTCCGGATGTACATGGTTGGGTATAATTTTTGGTTGTTTCAAAAATTCAACTGCCCAATCCCCATTTCTTGGTATGTCGTGTCTAATTGCTTCGAGTTCTTTACTCATTTCGTCAAGATTATAAAGATTTGGTGGATGAGAAGATTCTTGTCCCGGATATTGAAAAAATTTTTGAGCATACTAAAAAAAAAAATTTCTTTAGTTTTCAATACTTGTAATAACCAAATTTGCAATGTTCCAATGTTCTTATCTTACCTCATCTTCTTGCCGATTAATATTTGTTTGTGTTCTAAATGCCTGATTTAAAAATTGCAAAATTAAAAATATAAACATTAGCGGTCTTTTTTTTTTTTTTGAAAAAAAAAGTACTTAAAAGAATATAACATACTCCTCTAGAAGAACCCTCGCCGTAACGTTCTGTTGAGAATTTATCCTAAAAGATCAAATGAAATTATTTAATTATTGTTACAATACATATACAATACACATGGATATATCTAAAAAAAGTGCATTTCGAGCAAAATTACATGTTGCGACGAACTATCTTGCGTAAATTGCTTCATAAGCCCAGTCATTGGGTTGACTGGTCCGCAACTAGCGTCTTCAGGAAACCACTGTGCCATTTTTTGGTAATTATACTTTGGGCAATTATATGGTTAAGAAATTTTGAGTAAGAAAAAAAAAGTGAGTCCAGATAGTCGACATTTTTTTGATCTATTTATAATCTATTGCATGTGATAAATGTGACATGTAGATCGTTGATGTAATAACTATTCGGTTAAAAGCGGTTGAATCACGAATCACGTTTCTATCTCAACGCGTTTGTTATTCAAACATTCCTTATAATTTCGGAAAAAGTGTCATGGCAGATAGTATTGAGAAACTCAAAAATGACAAAAAGCTTCAAGTCATGGCAAGTGAAGTTCAAGCTATTTGCGGGGAAAAAAGTTTAGAAGAAATCCTTGTAGACCTTTATAAAACACAAAGCGTAGAACTCACGATTAATCGTATCTTTGATGGAAATGTAACTTTCTTTGCAATTTCCTTATTACAATTTTGAACTTTATATATTTATTATATGTTTATAATTAAAAGTTCCTTGAAGGAACACGTTTAGATCCTTTGAAAGTTTCAAAAATTTCATTCCCTATCCACCTATTAAATGAGGATTACGTCACATCGACAAAAAACCAACCAATTAAAACTAATTTTAATAATGAACTTTTATCAACAAATTCTGCAAAGACTAAGTAAGCGATTCGATAATTTTGGAGATTCTTTACTTTAATTCTTTAATTAATTCACGTTTTATAATAGTTCATCCACCTTTATTACTTCAGAATTTGATGATAAAGTATGTGATAACTTATATAATTAGTTTAATTAGTTTTATGTAATTTATTTTAATCTCTTACGCCAAATTATTATTTAATATTTCAAAGCCCAGTTTCAAGAGATTACCATCAGATCTGGAATCAAATTTTATATTTTCCTGTTCCATAGATGATAATATCAAACCAATTAAAAATTCAACCTGTTCAACTGGATTTTCAAAAAATCTTTCTCATATTCAAGATAGAAAAGAAAAGTCCTCAATTAATTTGACAACGAAAAAAAACACAAACAGAAATAGTATAATCGATTTAACTGCTGAAGATGAAGATAGTGATGCGACTTTGAGATCAGAGGATTCACATGAACAAAACTTACAAAAACCAGCGTATGAATTTCAGCCTAAAATAATATCGAATGAACATCAATCCAATGTATTAAAGTTAAATCAAGGAGAAAATAAGAATCTCATAGAAACAACAATTGATAATCTAAATTATGATGATTCCGTAACGCATCAGAAACGTAAACGTAAGGACGTAGTGGGTCAGGCTAATGTAAATCCAAAAATGACAGAAGAAGATAAATTAGCTGCTAAAAAGATTAAAGAAGCCGAAAAATTGGAGAAGGTATTATTTATACTTTTTTTAAAAAATTTATCATTTTAAACTAATTTAATTTAATAACCAGAAAACTCAGAAGGAACAACAGAAATTGGAACGTAAAAGACAAAAGGAAGAACGCGAGGCCGAGAAAAAAAGGCTTAAACAAATTCAGGAAGTTAACAAAATCAAGGGCAATAAACTAGAAATATGTCGAGAAATAATAGTTGATGTTTCAAATGATTTATCGAGTAAATCTCTAGTTGATTACTTACGGGATAATCCAAAATATAATTATATGACTATTAACACTTTTCAGCACGATATTCCTAATATTATTAAATGGCGAAGAAAAGTTACTGCAGAATGGGACGATGAACTTTGTGCTTTCATGCCAATTCCAGAAAAGATTCAGGATGAATCGTTTTTATTGATTTATTTTGACGTGTCAGAATTTATCAAACTTATTAAAGATGATAATTTATCAGAAAATATCAATAGATTAAGAGAAACTTTTATCAACAAGAAATTAGTTATATTAATTGAAGGTTATGAAAATTATTGTCGCAAGAGAAAAACACAAATTAATCGGAACTTTACCGATGCTGTTCGATTAGGTATAGAAGATCACGATGTCGAAGATATGGAAACCACTAGGGTTCCAACAAAAAAAAAGAAAAAGAATTATGAGCAAGAACCTGACCTCGAGGAAGTGGAAGAGAAGTTTTTGTGGTTGCAGATTATTGCGAAATGTCTTATTATTCACACAAAAGATTTTGAGGATACAGCAGAAACGATAGGCATCTTGTCAACTGATATTGCAACTATACCATACAAGTAAATTATCTAATATCCTTTCCAATATTCTTATAGCATTAATTTGATAATTTTCTCTTTTCATTAGGAATCGTAATTGTGATTTGAACTTTTGGGTTGAGGGACAAGTTCGTGTTGGAACAGGATCTAGTGATACTTGGCTGCGTATGTTACAAGAGATTCAACTTGTGACTGAGCCGGTAGCCAGAGGGATTATTAATATATATCCAACCGTCAAATCGTTATATGATGCATATAAGAAGTGTTTAACTAGAGAAGAAGCAGAAAGTCTTTTGTCGTTTGTTGAGGTAATTCTATCTTTCAGTTGTTGATTTTACGTGATAAATTTAACGTATGTATTATTATTATTTTACAGATTCCTAATACTGGTTTTGCGCAACGTCGATGTATTAATAAACCTCTATCAAAAAAGATATATGAGATATTTATGGGAACTGATCCGGATTATATAATTTCTTAAAAATATTTATTTACATGAAGGAATTTAATTTTATCAAAAAGTAATTTTCTTTATCTCAAAGAACTTTATTCAAGATTGCTAATTTGTTAGAAAACCTTCATTAAAGATCGAAATTTATTATACCGATATAACTATTTGATAATCTTATTTTATAATACTGGCTTTTTTGATAGTAATATTATATACTTATTTAGTTCTAACAGATCAATAAAAAAAAAAAGAATTCTTTTGAACGAAAGTTCTTAAAATACAAAATTTGAATTCAGTATTATACCAAAAAATAAACGTTTGAGATCAGCTGCACGTGTGCTGTTCTTTCACCCCGCTCCGGACAATAAAATAACTAACTACGCTTACACATGTAAGAAAAATGTCAATCGTTCGGATTTTCTTGATATAACATGAAATTGACTATTAACTCTTACAATAACGTAATTAATGTACAAGATGAAATTAAAGTATGATCGTGGGTAAATAATCACTTAAATTAAAATTTTGTACGAGATTATAAACATATAAAGTAATTATTTTTTGTAGTTGACAATTTTTTATGCATATCAACATTTGAATGACGTTTGTAATTTAAAAACGGATTTTTTGGGAAAGTTTAACATAATCTCTTATCATACGAAATCTCTGTAAATGCCGCAGATCAATTTTTTTTTTAAATTTCTAATAAACGTGTCAGGATACTGGTAAAAAAAAATTAATGTAGATCTACGGTTACACATATAATTACAGATAACGATAATGCATTTTCTTTTCCTCCCAACTCATTATCTACTATGTCTACCGTCTCAACGTTAACGCATGATTCAAAAACAACTGACAAAGAAGTATTTGATTCTACAATACCATCCTCACCAAAATCTTTATCCAAACAATTCCATGAATTCTTGATAAAAATATTAAAATATGGAAAAATCCCTCAGCACATTGGTTTTATTATGGATGGTAATAGAAGATTTGCAAGAAAAATAAATGTTCAAACAGCGGAAGGGCATTATAGGGGATTTCTTAAAATGGAAGAGGCAAGTTATATATATATATTTTTTTTTTGCTTTTTTTTTTTTTTTTATTCGATAGTATAAATATATTAAAATTGAACTTTATTTAGGTATTGGACATTTGTTTACAGCTTGGTATTAAAGTTGTTACTGTATACGCATTTAGCATTGAGAATTTTAAGCGACCAAAAGAAGAAGTAGATGCACTTATGCATCTGGCTAAAACGAAGTTAATAGAATTGTGTCAGAGGTAATAATTACTGAATTGAATATTTACACGTATTTCTTTTTTTTTTCAAAAAATTTAAAAATAACAAAAATTTTCTTCAGCAAAACCGTGAAAAAGTATGGAGTTTGTGTCAGAATATTAGGAAATATGTCTTATGTTTCACAAGATTTGAGAGAAGTTATAGAAGAAGCAGTTGAAATGACAAAAAATAATAATCGGTAAATAATATTTTTTTTTTTTAAAAAAAAAAAGAAAAAATAAAAATATGAAATTATATTTAATTTTATTTAATTTATAATATTTATTTAAAAAATAATAGATCTATATTGAATGTATGTTTTTCTTATACTTCAAGAGATGAAATTACCAATTCTGTAAAATCAATTGTAAAAATGGTAGAAAATAAACAAATACAAGTAGGAGATATTAATGAAAATTTAATAGAACAATGTTTATTTACTCATGGATGTCCACCTTTAGAAATTCTTATTCGAACATCAGGTGAAATTCGATTGAGTGATTTTCTTTTATGGCAATGTCATCAAGATTGTTATATACATTTTGAGAATTGTTATTGGCCTGAGTTTTCTATTTGGAAGATGTTACAAATCATTCTAGAATATCAACTATCAAATAAGATTACAAGAAAAAAATCCTTTTTTTAATTTATATAAAAATAATTAATTAAATTAACACTCATACTTAGATTTAATTTTTTCAAGAAATATAATAATACTTTTAATTAAGAACTTTTCCAGTTAAAGCAATAAATTAAACTTTTTTAATTTTTGTTTAGACAAGTAATAAAAATATGGTAAAATAATACAGGATCTTGTTGGTATTATAGTTGGTATTATAGTATTTTTTATCTAGACTCTAGACTATAATGTATCAGGACATTATAGTATTAATATGTAGACTATAATGTATCAGGACATTAATAGTCTACATATTAATCAATTAGATTATAATGTACCCAAGTAGACTATAAAGTACCAGGACCACTTAGGGGTTTTTTGTGATTATGTTGGTGTACCAGGACGTTATACTCTATTTGAGTCAACTAAAGTGTAATGTATCTATATAAACTATATCGTGCCAGGCGTAAGCCTGCTTTTACACCTTTGTTTCTGCGCTTAAGAAGCTTACTCTGGGTTGCCAAAAAATCGCCTTGATAGTACCCAGGTGGCGCTGTAAATCTGCAGTTAATTCAGCCAGCTCTATGCTATAATTCTGGCCGATATTTAGGATAGAATATCTTGCCTTTCAGTGAATGGATTCTTGCTTGTTAAAAAAAAAGCATGACGAGAACTTTCCAATAATATCAGAATTGCATGAATTGGATGGCTGGAATGCTGGATGCTGAACTATTGCGTCCCAAAGTTAAAGTTGAATTCATCTGCAAGGACGCCTGAGCAAATCCCTTCATAAAATCTTCCTTCTTAACTTTGATTATACCAAGGATACTACCTGTTGAACGTTCTATTGCATAATCGAGATTTCCTTGCCCATTTCAACCCTATATAAGTTTTCCGGTATGAGTTTGAAATTATCTTTATAAAATGAGAGCAGCACTAAGGTTGCAGGCGAAACTCCATAATAAATGCGAAACTTGGTAAAACTATATTAAAAACTTAAATTGGTAAAACCTAACTATAAAAATTATATGTAATGGCGAAACTATAATAAATTCTTATAAAAAAATTGTCGAAACTGAGGTTTAGACGTTTTGCCAAATTCAAAAACTAGTTTAACCCGCAACTATAGAGAGCACTGACAAGTTAATGATGCATTTTAGGAACGACCAATCTGATAAAGGTTTGATGGCGCCTCGATGAGCAATTGTTTTTAGATATAAATACACAGAGCATTTCACAAAGATCTTGATCGTTTCGAGGCGAATATCTTCATGAGTACCGCCCCATCATTTCAAGGCGAGCGGTTGATACATCATACGTATATAATCTTTAAAGACGTATGTTAGTCTACTTATTTGCCTTCCGTCTCGGGTGAACAACGATGGAGTGAGTTTTTCATAGTCTAAAAATTCTATACTTAGTAAAGGCGAAGCAAAAAATAATATAGACGGACTTGTTGAATAATGCCTGCAATGAGGTGACTTACTCAAGTATTCCTGTTCACGGCTCGACGACTAAGACATGAATATGTTCCTTGGGAGGAAAGTATTTCGAAATCCTTTTTATTAAAAGGAGCTCGTCCTTGTCCCTGAGTTAGAGATTGCTTAATCATCATACTAAATGTTATAACACCAAATAATTTATCCCAAATTTCTTCTTTATTAGAATTTGATATTGCCTCCAAAAATTCTTTAACAATAGAAGGCAAAAGCCTGGGAGACAAATTATTTTTTGCTAAAAATAAACAGCCCGCATTATACCAATAATATGATTTGTATTTGCATTAGAGGAAACAAATTCTTTTGTAATGACTCCATATTCCTTGTCTTACATGTTCTAGTTTCTCTGCATCTTTATGATCCTCAGCATAATATGTGAATGTTATTTAATTGCTGGGTTTTTTTGAAACATTTGTTACTCCTGTAGCAAATTTATTCCTTTTCTTGCGCTGCATACAAAATATACTGTACAATATATTTTGACACTTAAATGTTTTACTATTGTTTATGCGGGATTTTTTAATGTCTTTGTTAGAATTATCTTTAATAATCAAGTGAGTCGGTCGTTTCTATGTATTGTAACAATGCGATTTTTTTTTTTTTTTTAAAAAAAAAAAAAAAAATTCCATTTATTTGGGCGATACAAAAAAAACATCTTTTTCCACGCGGCAAATACCCTGTCACAGTGTCACACCAACATTCTTTGCGACTTAACGTAAGATATTATAATAACCGCAATTTATTTAGCATAACTAATTGTATTTTATAATTATATGAAAGTTTGGTACATTAGTAATACATATTTGTACACAAAATAAGTAATTAATTAAATCATTTCATATTTTTATGATGATTAAATGATGATTTCACTTCATGTTATTTTTCTTCTTTTTCTTTTTTCGTAATAGTTAGTATCTGAAAGAAAGTGGGTAAAAAAAAAATTAAAAAAAAATTAAATATCAATAACTAATACTGCCATTTGATTTTTTTTTCATAATATTCATATATTATTTTTTGATATTTCCTCATGATGACTAATGTGGCTTTTGTTCAACACAATTAGTAGTAGATAGTCAGCTGTAACTTTTTTTTCAAATGTAATTGAAATTCTTTTAAAATAAAACGATTATGTTTTTATTAGAATTAGAATGATCACACGTCAAAATATATTGAAATTATTTACAGTATTATTGATTGATTTAAAAAATATGCATTTAAAGATTTTTGAAATAAGAAAAATTCCTTTCTATAGTCACAATTATAATATTACATTTTTATCAACTGACATTCTGCTTACATTGATTTATTTATTTATATTACATGATACAATATTATTATGCAAATGAATAAAATTTTTTTATATAAAAAAAAAAAAAACTTTTAAATTAAAAAGCTTTTGTAAAGGTATATTTTAATTTGGGTTAATTAACCGGGAGGAAATTAACCGGTAAGGAATTAATGTTAATCCTGGGAATGGGTTTACTTTGGAATTTTCTTTTTTAAAACAAAAGAATAAAAAACAATAAGATCTTATTATAATAATATAAATAATATAATATGATACATTTAGTGATATACAGCATATATGGATTGGCTGAATGGGGAAAATCCTGATCCCCCAAAACTTGTGAACAAACAAATAAAAAAAAGGATCCCGTAGTTATTATATTTCAGTTATTGGAAATAATAATATCTATAGGTTACTTTAAACGATTGTTAAAAAATAATGATATATTCGGACGACAAAGCTAATAATAACGGATTCAAACCTTCCAAAATTATACAAATCAATTTCCAAATCATGCAACAATATTATCGCAATCTGTTAAAAAAAAAGCTGTTAAAAAAAGTAAAAGAAATTTTTATTTTTTTTTTCTTGCGAATAATATATTCGGTAATATAAATCAAATGGTTTATGCATATAATAAAATAAAATAATGAAATGCATCGTAGTAACTAGTAACGTAACGTATTACACATAATCGGCAGAAAAATTGTAATATAAACCTCCTTTCAAATTTGAGACAATCATAAATATATATCAAATGTGTAGGAGTTGCGTGCGAGATCTGCTACTGTTGTGACCGCTTCGTATGCACTTCGTATGCATGTAAGTTTCCCACGTTGTTAGCATATAAGGCGTTATCATAATTAATTAAAAAAGATGTTACCGTTACAAAATGCGGACTGCGGGTTGAAATCTATAATATAAAATATTTATATAATTGTATCACATTTCCATTTTTCATTATATTTATAAAATACACATATGGTAACCGAAAGCTTTGAAAATTTTTTAAAAGGAGGAAAAAACTTCCATGTGATTAAACAAGACAAATCTGGAACAAGCAATAACCGAAGAGGCGAGGACAAAATAATAATAATAATAATAATAATAATAATAATAATCATGAAAGAGTCATAAAAAATAATTATTAATTTTTTTTTCTTAATCTTTTTATTATTATTGTAGTACTAATTGGAGTGTACAAATATAGATAAATTAAATAATTTATTACCAGGTTTTAACATCTTTAAGTGATAAATATGGTAAAACACAAAACGCCATTTAATTTTTGTAAATAAATCGCTACCGGGTATACAATTTTTCAGTTGCCATAATATATATAATTTACTTTAGAGTCGAGACTCTTTGTTGGCGGTCAAATGATCTTTTTTTGTTGATTCGAATTTTATTTATTTTATTTATTTTTTTTTACAAATATTTAAAATGTATTATTATTATGCCAGAAGAATGCAACATCCACTGACGATGTTATGACATATTTATAATAAAGTAAATAAGTAATATGATATGTTAAATATTTTTTATATTAGTTGTGTATAACACTGATATCGACGTTCTTATATAATCAATCAAGTAATCGCCCGAAGGTTGAAAGAACTTTTTACTAGCATACAGCCATGATGCCGTTTTTTTAGGAACCACATGTTAATATGTATGCTAAATATGGATAGGTTGTACATTTACATTTTACCCGGTTTCAACGGTAATACAAAAGCATTATAGAGATGATCTATTTACCATATTTACTATATAATATACATACAGTACATCACTATCATTTTTTGCAAATTTAATTTCTTACGATTATATTTTTTTTATTATTAAATTTTAACAATCTCAAATTAATTATCTAAACAAATTATTCTAAATTTTGAGACTAAACTTGGTAATCAAAAATATATAAATTACATATTATAGTATAAGAAATAAAAAAAAAGTAAATGATGATGTTTAAATATTAACAAAGAATTATTATAATTATAATTTTTATAATTAAAAATGAAAAATAAAACAGAATCACTAATAGAAATGATAATTTACAGAAAATTTCCATCGACCATTCCGTAATACAACATATATATATATATATATATTACATAATATATACAGTATAGTTGTATATAATACATTATATATATAAATATATTACACATATATATATAAATATTATATTTTGCATATATATATATATAATAAATAAATATATACCAGATATAAAATATATTATATTACAGTTTTATAATATAGATGGTGTCAAACTAAAAAATTATAAATAAGCAATTGAATCAGCAAAAAAAAAAATAAAAAAAAATAAAAAAATAAAAAAATCAAGTAAATTCAAAAATAATCATAGCAAGATCATTTTTTTAATAGTGATCACTTAGCAATACTTTTCATAAACATAAAGATCAAAGCCATTTTTATAACGTGAGAATTTTTTGAACTTTAAAGGAAAATATAATTAAAAACTACGAAATCTATCATTTTATATAAACTAGAATAAAAAAAATTTGATTGTTCACAAATTCCACGTTAAAATACCAAGAGAACTTTTTTTTAAAGAATGTCTGCACCAGCACCACCAGCAGCAACAGCAACAGCAACAGCAACAGCAGCAGCAGCGGCAGCGATAGCGGTAGTTAATCCTCCTAATCCTCCTCTTCCGCCAATTGCTCTCGCACCTCAACCACCTGTACTCCCGCCATCTCCTGTCTTCAACTTGGTGGATGAACAAGACTATGATAAAATATTTCATAGAAGTGGCACTTACGATTTCGGCAGGGACAGCGTATTGTAGAGGAAGCGTTTTCAAAATGGTGTAGCCTAAAAAGAAGGCCAGATTAATAGGCTACACCATTTTGAAAACGGATCACACATTTCGATTTAATAATTCGTTAATATCGTTAATAACATTAATATTCGTTAATATCGTTAACATTAATACTTCGTTAACTTCGTTAATATCGTTAATAACATTTTATCGTTAATAATATTTCGTTCGTTAATAATATTTCGTTCGTTAATAATATTTCGTTAATACTCCTTTTATTTCGTTAATATTCTTTCGTTAATGTACTTATAATAATTCGTTAATGTACTTATAATATTTCATTTTTTATTTCGCTTTACTTTATCTTTATTAATACTTCATCTTCGTTATTATATTACAAACACAAACACGTATAGATTATATAAATCACAAACACAAACAAATTATTATGAATTAAAAGTTTCTTTTTTTTTTTTATTTGCTAATGACAGTGTTTACTTTGTCATGATCTTTGGTTAGCTAATGTAGCAATGCTAAAGACAATTTGTCATTGAATATAGTTTATTAGATATACAGTAAATCACCTAAAAAAAAAACAAAATAATTGCCTTCTATGTAACTTGTAAAAATTAAATCACGACTTTTATTGCTTAACTAAATCATATATATTTAATATAGATTTACTAATTAAAATGTAATACTAAATTACTAAGGATTTTATTAAAAACATAAATAAACCAAATTTTTCAATTGCTTCCCAAAAAAAAATACTGATGACGTCCTTTAAACCCAATATTAAATGTAATACATTTTTTTAAATTTTTTTNTTTTCTAAATAAATTTTTTTTTGTACTATTTCTTGTAAAAAAAAAAAAAATGCAGCAAAATAAACAACTAAAGTATGGTTTAAATTTGTCTGTTAAAAAAACTTTACAAAGATCTATATTTGATGAAGATGAAGATAATACTACAACAAAAGAAGTAAATTCAACAAGAAGAGTTAATAGAACTTTAATAAATAAAGACACTTCTTTAAGTAAATCTGTACAAGAACAACATAAAGCTGCTTTGGAGGAAGATCCTACAGTATTTTCTTACGATGAAGTTTATGACGATATGAAAAATGCTGAAAAAAAAACAATACAAGCACTTAAAGGAATTAATAGCGCTTCTTCTAATAAGGTATTTTTATTATTTTTATTTATTTATTTTTATTTATTTATTTTTATTTTTTACTTTTTCTTTAAGGAAATTCTTTTAAAATTATATATATATATAAGGATTAATATGAAAATATATTTTTTTTTTAAATAAAGCCTAGATATGTAAATGATTTATTAAGAGCCTCAGAAATACGCAAACGTGATTATACTCTAGCGCAAGAACGTAAAATACAAAAAGAAAGAGAAGCTGAAGGAGATGAATTTGAAAATAAAGAAAAATTTGTTACTCAAGCGTATGTAATTTTTTTAAATTTTTATATAAAATGTTTTAAATTAATTTCATATTAATCTAATTTCTTTTAAACAATAATAGATATAAAGTACAACAAGAAGAATTGAAGAAAGCTGAAGAAGAAGAGAAAAGACGAGGTAAGCAAAATCAGAAAATTTTTTAAGCATCTTTTGATATATACAGTCAAACCTTTATATAACGATATGTCGGGACATATATGAAATTTTTAGAAAATATCGTTATATCAAAGTTATACCGATATTTATATGTCCTCACATATAGTGGGAAAATAAAATTTTATCGGTATAACAAGTTTTTAATAGTATATCGGTATATCGAATATCGGTATATCGAGGTTAGACTGTATATACATCTTTTGATATATATATATACCTTTTGATATATATATATATATATTTATGTATCATAGAATTCAATATTTATAAATAATATTTTATTTATTAATTTACTTACCTCCTTTGCTGAAAAAATAGAAAAAGATGCAAATGGTTCAACAGATACGACAAAATTTTATCGTAATATATTGGATCAAGCTAGTACAGCAAAAACAGCAGCGATAGAAGCAAGTAGATCAGCATTATCATCTAATAAAAAAAGGACATTATCTGAAGATGGTGAATATAATAAACAAAAAACTGATAAAGAACTTGCAGAAGAAGCTCGTGCATCTGGTAAAATTGTAATGTTAAATGATGACGATCAAATAGTAGATAAACGACAATTATTATCAGCAGGGCTAAATATATCCAAAAAGAAGAATTCTAGTTATTCAACCTCATCATCTTCAAAAGATTATTATGATTCTAGATCTTATAATAGTAAAAGATTTGGTGAAAATGATAAATCAAAATATTATGAAGAAAAGCGTAGGCGTGAAAAACAAAGTCGTGAATTAGAAGAACAAATATTAAAAACTCAAAGGGAGAAGGAAGAAGAGGAAAGTAAGAAACAAGAAGAATTGGCAAAGAAATTCGCTAGAAAAGCTGATGAGAAAACAATTTCTGATGCTAAAGCGAGATATTTAGCAAGACAAAAAGAAAAAAAAGAATTGAAGAAATTAAAAATTGAAGAGGAAGAACTATAATAATAATACTTCATATTTTTTTTTTACTAAAAAGATTATTGATTATTTTATAATTTTTTTTTTTAATTCATAATCTAATTTAGGTTTATAAAGTAACAATAAAAAATTGGGACTATATAATGATCATTTTATTAGATTTTTATCCCGAATTTTTTTTCGTTATGGGAGTTTGTAAAATAAAATAACTTTTCACGATATCTTTCTTTGTATCAGTATAGACTCTAGTAATTCTATTCTTCGATCAACATGTGCAAGTCATGTGAATCTCTTTCGACGATCAACTAGTCTTTATCATGTTTGATTTCCCAACGAAACACTGACTAAACGTTAATAGTAATTGTCACGATGGCCAACATTGTCACAGGGTTCAGCAAATTTAGAAATCTATTGCACTAATTGTACTACCACAGCAATGGATAAATTTTTAAAGTTGCATGACATTAGTATTTGGATAACTATCCACCGTCACTTTCTTAATTCCCTCCAAAACATTTAAAAAAAATGCTCACATTAAGTGAAGCCAAGAAGTTAGCGGCATATAAAGCAGTAGATGAAAATATTACTAGTGAAAAAAAAATCATTGGGATAGGTTCAGGAAGTACTGTAGTATATGTAATAGAAAGAATAATACAACTCAAAGATTCGTTAAATAAAGAAAATATTTATATACCTACTAGTTTTCAAAGTAGATTATTAATTACCGAAGGTGGATTAAATTTGGGTGATATTGATACGTAAATATCAGAGCTTTAAAAAAAAAGTGTTTTTTTTCAGACATATGAGAGAAATAATTTCTTTTTTTTAATGTGAAGGTATCCAGAACTTGACGTGACAATTGATGGAGCTGATGAGGTAATGATAATTTCTTTTAAAAAGGAGGTTCTTAATTCTACTCATTGACAGTATATTGAGATTTAAGTACAGGGATTTGAATTCTTCTTTTGATATAATCACTTGTTAACTATAGGTCGATGAAAATTTGAATGCGATCAAAGGAGGAGGAGCATGTCATCTTCGAGAGAAGTTAGTTGCAGAAGCGGCAAAGAAATTTATAATTGTAGCAGATTATTCTAAGCGTTCAACTACGCTCGGTGAAAAAGTAAGTAAATTATTTTTTTTAAAAAAAAGGTTCTACTTTTTTATTTATATACGTAATTTTCTCTTCATTCCCTAGTGGAAACAAGGAGTACCAATTGAAGTTATTCCATTTGCATATCTACGAGTAATGAACTCGTTAAAAGTATTAGGATGTGAAAATCCTATTCTACGTATGGCAAAAGCAAAAGCAGGACCCGTTATAAGTGATAATGGTAATTTTGTTATTGATGCATACTTTGGATTAATTAAACAACCAAAAGAATTATTAGAAAAAATTAAATTATTAACTGGTGTGGTCGAAGTTGGATTATTTGTTAATATGGCAAAATGTGCATATTTTGGTAATGAAGATGGAAGTATTAGTATTACTTAAGAGAAAGAAAAATTATATTAAAATATGAATTTATTAAATAAAGAATATGATATTTAAATTATTTTTAATCTTTCTTAAAATATATTAATTAATTGCCATTTAATTGACTATTACTATTTGAATTAGTAGTATCATCAACACTCCAAATTTTAACTGTTTTATCAAAACCACAAGAAATTAATAAATCCCTATCTTGATCAAACCATATATCTCTAACAATATCTTTATGACCTATTAATTTATGTACAATAGATTTGGTGGTAACATCATAAACTCTGATAAAAGAATCTATACCAAAAGTAAAGAAATATTTTCCATTTGGATGCCAACAATGTCTTGGATTTGTTAATTTCCTATTAGGAATCACTTCTAAATCATAAAAATTATAAATTTGTTGAGAAGAATGAGTACGAAATAAAATTATTCTACCATTGTCATCATCAGTAGAAACCAATAAATATTTTCCCCGATTCCGCGGGGATGGAGAAATATCCATCGGAGTAAATGAAACCCAATCATCACCATTGCTGTTCATATTATATTTTTTATCACTAAAATTAGTTAAATTAATATAATGAAGGTAATTATCACCACGTACTCCTACAACTAAATATTGATTGTCAGGTAAAAAACACATTGATTCAATATTTCCACCAAATCTTGTCGAATGAATTTTATTATATTTTGGTAAAGGTGTATTTGGTGTTGAAGGAGTTAATGGAGTATAGGGACTTGTTGGTGATAAAATTGGATTACTTTCATCATTTACAACCTTATAAATATTAATTGTGTGATCATAAGATGCTGTTACGATCATATTTCCATCGATTGAAAATCTTGCTCTAACAACATATTTTAAATGATCTTTAAAAGTTTGTAATACATCCAGAGTAGTAATATTTATTAATGCACATGTTGAATCCATTGATCCTGTTAACACTAAACGATGATAATTTGGATGAAAATCCATACAAAGTATTCCTCCTTTATGAATATTATTACAAACATTAAATGTATCTCCCGTAAGTAATGATGTTAATCGAATAGATTTATCTGCTGATCCTGTGATTATAGTAGGAATTTCTGAGAATTGATATTCTCCATCACTAAAATTTCTTATTGGAAGTGTTTGTGTGCGTACGCACAAAATATTATTATTATGAATTTGTGGAAATGATTCGCAAAGATATCGAGGAAATTTATTATCCCCTGGTGTAATCAAATAATCATCGATACTTCTATTATTTGTATTCGAGAAAAAAGAAGATAAAAGAGTGTTAATAAAAGAACCTGTTTTCAAAAGTTACTTTTCATTATTTACCTTTCTAACGATATATTTTCAACATTAGATCGTAATTGATTAAATAAATAATCTTGAATGATGGTCGTTAATGGTTCATTAATTTGCTCATTATCTTGTTCTTCTTCAATAATTTCTTTTGCTTCTTGACGAAAAGCTTCTAAAGCTGAAGTATAATTATGATTCTCTAAAAATTTTAATACCAAGATATGCGTAAGTGCTTGAGGATGAGAATTCGGAGACATTTTTTTTTTTTAAAAAAAAATGAAATGTGTTTTATAAAACAGGGAGGAACTTTTCACTGTGGGAGATAGTGAAAAAAGAAGTTTATAAGGATTTTTTTTTTATTTACAATTCCTAAAATATAAATAAAAAGTGAAACTTTTATTATAATTAAGAAAAGATTATCAATTGTTAAATTTATTAAATCGTTGATTGTCGATTATCAATTGTTAAATTTATTAAATTTGTGATAATCGTTGATTGTTGCGATTTTTCCATCAATTCTATCAATTTCTTTTTTTAGAAAATATAATAAAAATTTAATGTAAATGTACAATATGAGTTATCATTTGTATTAAAGTGAAATTTTGATACGTAATACACTAATACGTGAAAATAATGCTATTTTATTTTCATATGGATAATATGCATAATAGGAATATTATACCTATTTATAGAAAAGTTAAAATTACTAAACTGCGTATTGCGTAATAAAATATATCCCGTTAATTCCCACAATAATCAGATCAGTTTTTTTCACTGCTGTGTTCCTAACTCTTCAGCAGCTTCTTTACCATTCCAATATAATGTTATATAAGCTTGTTTTACTCGGGGCTAACGGGGTTGGCAAGGTATTATAATTTTAATTATTTTATTTTTAAAAAAGTAAATAATATATTATTTTTTATTTTTTCGTTATTTAGGCTGCTCTCACAATTCATGTTCGTCTTTAATATTAGACTTTTGAAGAATTAATTTTTTTTAAAAAAAAGTTGTAGTTACCTATGAAATTTAATTTTTTTATTTTTATTTTTTATTTTTTTTTTTATTTTTTTCCTATTTTTTACATGATAAATATTTAAACAGATATGCCTAAATCATTTCAGTGGTAGGTTTTGAAAGGAATTAATATATTAAATTGATCTCATCTTATTTGTTTATTAATTCGGGAATATTTATTTTATTGGTTATAGAGGTGTGTGTTTTCATCAATTAACCATTTATGAAATTCTACAGATATACGGTAGTATAAAGTTATTATTTGTTTGTCATCTAATCGATGCTATATTAATATTAGACATACGATCCAACAATCGAAGATTCATATCGAAAGCAAGTTGTCATTGATGACCATCCCTGTATACTGGAAGTACTTCCCATAAAGGGTGCGCTATTTAATATTTAATTGTTGATTCATTTTTTTTAATAAACGAAACAAATGAACTTTATAAGAAGATATATATATATATATATAATTTGATATTTTATGTAATATATTTATAATAGTAAATATCATTCTTATTATTGACAAAGATTTCTTTTTTATCTCTTTTGATTAAATTTAATAGGAGAGTATAATACATTACGTGATCAATGGATTAGGTAAATTTATGTAACCATCGGTATTGCTAATGATATAAACCAATTAAATTATACATATTACTGAGGTGTCATTTATTTCAATCTACTTTTTTTATTGAAATATTGAAATCATACTCAGAGACGGACAAGGGTTTCTTTTAGTCTATTCTATATCCGAACGTTCAACATTTGAACGGATAGAGCATTTCTGGGATCAAATCGCTCGTGTGAAAGGCACTGTTGATAATGTTCCAATTATGCTTGTTGGTAACAAATGTGATAAAATTACTGAACGCGAAGTCTCAAGAGAAGAAGGGATGAATATGGCAAGAAGACTTAATTGTGAATTTATTGAAAGTTCGGTATTGATGTGTGTAAATGTTGAGAGAGCATTTTATACAGTAGTTAGGATGATACGCACAAATAGAGATAAAAAAGAAAATAATGAAAATGAAGTAATTATAAAGCCTGATCCTACGATTCTTTTACAAAAGAAAAAAGATCTTTTTTTCAAATTACTTAGTTAATAATAGTTTTCTTTATTCAAGTTATCATATTTTGAAATTTTTATTTTTTTGATCATGTATATAATACAATTGAATGATTTATTTTTATTTATAAAATTTACAAATCAAATTAAAAATATATAAATAAAACAACATCCCAAACTGGCTAGAATTAGCGAAATTTTCTACAACCAGGACTAACTGTTGAAATCTCGAATTCCTATTTCTTCAAGGGATGAATCGGATGATCCAAAACATTCCTACATTATATTATCCATTGTCTTTACATCCATGTTGACAAGTTTAATTTGAATTTTTAGTCATCTTTTGTGTCAAATTTTGCAACAGTTTATTTACATGTAGATATAACTAAATTTCGAATTTCGATAAGCATTTTAATTACAATTACCAAAAGTACCTCAGGGTCCTTGCATTTAATATCTTGAAAAATCTCTTTTTTTGCAAATTGGACGAGGTTCGGTTTCTTGAAGAGGCAAATAAAAGTATAAAAATATATTTATACTTTTAAAAAAAATTTCTTCAGTATACTTTTTGTTCTATTCATCGTTCTAAATTATGATTCCAATGTTTGGTATGTACAGTATATGGTATTTAAATAAAACACTTCACCGCCTCTCAACACATGGGAGTTTACCGTATTTTGCCAGCTAAAAGAAAATAAAAAAAAAATAAAAATAAATAAATAAATAAAAGAAATAACATCTAAACAATTACTAAATTTGTCCATTCAGTACTTCTATGCCTCCCAATCCCAACCCATGAAGTGCATCTGCTCCTGACTAATTGAAGTGTATCTGTTCACCTTATTTCTTTCACTATCACGTGACTTCGATGGTCGTACAGTGACACCTCTCGCACTATATAAATTCTCTTTAAGTGCACGGCCAACTTCTTAATATTTTACTTATATAAATGCACACCCTCTCTAAGTGCACATTCTACTATTTTTTTACTATGGTCCCACACTTAGAGAGGTGTCACTGTATATCAGTAATATATATACAAATTATACTACAGAAATTTTAGAGACATATTTTTGTATCGATTTGCAGCGTGCAGTCGTGATGATTGGTTGCATTAGTAGCATATGGTTCGTTTGCAGAATTATGTTTTAATTAATTATTGTAGGAAGAGACTAAATAATTAAATTGTTTTTGTTTGATACTTAAATAAATATGTAGTTTTTCTTTTTACTATATTCATAATCCCTATTTTTTCATTCTAAAAGAATAAATATAAGAATCAAAAAACATAAAAGGCCTATCCTATAATTTTCTAAGAAAAAAAGAAAAAGGATTTTTTCAGCTAACAATAATTCGATAATTTTCTAATTTATTTGAACACAAACAAAATATATGTATATAATATGATTTGTTTGCTTACACCTTCTACTATATTTAAACAGCAATATATACAGCAATATATAATATTTATTTGTTTATTTATTTGTTTATTTATTCGCAAATCAAAGAATTTATAAATTTAAATTAAACAAATACTAATTTATAAATTCAAATCAGTAATCTTTAGTTATTAAAGTGTATTAAAAGAATTCATCTTATTTTAAAATTCTAAACTCGTTAATAAATTGTAAATGATATCCTACATTTCTACTATTAATAATAATATGTAAGAATTTAATTTCCATAACAATTAAATGTAAAAATTATGTTAGATTATATGGCTTTCTATATATTTGAGAAGCATAAATATTGGTTAAATGATTCGAATTTATAGAATTTATTATTTAAAATATATGTAACTTCCAAAATAATATTAAAGTCTATTGGCTTCTATTATAGTTTAATTTATTAAAAAGGATTTAATTCACCTAACAAGTTGCTTTTTTTTTTTAAAAAAAAAAAAATGTATATAAAAAGATTGGAATAAATAAAAATATTAAAACAAATTTGTTAAGTATACATAAATCAATACAAATAATAAATAACACCAACACTTTTTACAGAAACCACTGGAAAATTAACGATAAAATTCAAGCTGATCTTTACACAGAAATTATTGTTAGCTAAGTAATCTAGAAAAATTCATTTTCTTTTTTCTTAAAAAAATTATGGGATTAGGTCTTTTCGGCTTTTTAATTCTTATGTTTATTCTTTTTTTCTTTCTTCTATATCCACCATCCCTATTTGCACGTATCATCCTAACTACTGTATAAAATGCTCTTTCAACATTCACACATGTCTTAGCCGAACTTTCAATAAATTCACATCTAAGTTTCCTTGCCATATTCATCCCTTCTTCTCTCGAAACTTCACGCTCAGTGATTTTGTCACATTTATTACCAACAAGCATAAGTGGAACATTATCAGTATCCTTTACGCGAGTGATTTGATCTCGAAATCGTTCTACCCGTTCAAATGTTGAACGTGAAGATATAGAATAGACCAAAAGAAACCCTTCTCCATCTCTAAAAAATAATTGAAATAAGTCACAGGTAAGTCTTGTTTGTACAATATTAGCAACTGAATATAATAACGTTTAATAAATTACTCATTCATGAAAATGACACCTCAGTTTACGATATAGATCGTTTAATTAACCATACCATCAAATAAAACAATATTTTGGTGACAGATTCACTATAATAACTTTAACTATATCTATTTTTATCATCTTAATAAATTACCTAATCCACTGATCTCGTAAAGCAGTATATTCCTCTATAAATTTAATTAAGAATACATACATCAATAAATATTTATAATTAAATTAAATATTTCAAAATATGGAAATATCGTAAGATATGAACCTTGTCCAGCGGTATCCAGTACTTCTAATACACAGGGCTCGTCATCAATGATAACTTGTTTTCGATATGAGTCTTCAATTGTTGGATCGTATGTCTATATAAAATTATCAGTTAAGTATTTTGAATATTTGGAAACAAATTTAAAATGTTTGAGTGATAAAACGCATACCTCTATAAATATAAAAATAAATTTCATGGGGGATAATTATAATTTTATTAGAATTAACTAATAGACAAATAGATACTTCAATTGTTAAACTAACTCAATATTGTTCCCTTTTAGAAGTTTCGAACCTACCAACAAAATGATTTAGGCATAACTGTTAAATAAAGTATTATTATTATACAAGGAAAATTTCATCATAAAAACGACTTTTAAAAAAAAAAATTAGACAAACTTGAATTGTGAGAGCACACTAATCAATGATAATAATATTATTAATATTAAATTAGAATAAAATTTTATCAATTTCTTAAAAAAACGAATTTCTGAAATGTAATACCTTTCCAACACCACCATCCCCGAGCACAACAAGCTTATATAACATCATCTTGATATACTCTGTCGAAATGGCTTTAACTAAGGGTTATATTGAAAGGATTAATGAGGGGTTGGTGAAAGTCCTTCGGACAGGACTGCGGGATGTTTCAAATGAAAAACAAAATGAGAGTATATTTGAAATATTGGGTTTGAAATAAAAAAAAAAAATAATAATTAAATTTGCGAAAAAACACCCAAGTACCATCTTTGACATCTACTGTGTGTATTTAATATCGCAAAGATCGGCTGGTAAATCTTTAATTGGTTCTTGGTGATCCCAAATTTAATTTTTTTAATAGTGGGACATGTCATCAATTGTGATGACCAATTGTTTTGTTTATATAAATAAACCCTTGAAATTTAAAGATTTTACCGTAAAAATAAACCTTTGAGTTTGGCGATTTATTGACTCAATATTCTATAATTATTGTAATATGTTTTATTATCCTATAAATTTTATATAATACTAAATTATAATACAACTTCAAATACTGTACTTTAGAACAATTAAGAGCGAAATCTCAGGACAACACTTGATAATCGTGTAACTGAAAAAATTTTCTGCAATATTGGGGAAGGAATTTATAATTTACATATCATGGGATTGATGGAAATGGAAATTTTAAATATAAATATAAATATTATACATTTAATTTGATTTAGATATTTATGAAAGGACAAAAAATTATTTTTATATCAATTTTGTAACTTCCAATAATTGAAGCTCGGATATTTTGAAATATGTAAATGACACATGCCAAGATTCAGATTTCACATGAAAAATTATTGATAAAATTTGGCGGGAAGGTTAACAATTTTTTTTTTTTAAAAAAAAAAATTATATTTAACAAATAAGGTTTTCATTGAATGAGTAAGTCAGATATTACTGGACGATGATCACTAATATACATGTCATCATCATAAAGGTTCGAAACCACTCCATGATTAATCACCTTGACAACTTGTGTTGAGATACTACTGTTATCAGCTAAAATATAATCAATTCTTTCTTGTTCTGTGTTCTTCGAGAATCCGGTAAAAGTATTTGAAAAACCAAATGACCCTCCCTTAAGACCACTTATCTCGTAACGGGTGTCAGCAAAAACTAAATCTTTTTGATCCTTTGAGTTAATATCTTGATATTTTCCTCCTGTGATTAATTTATAAGGTTCTTCATTTTCTTTGCAATTAAAATCGGCCGATAAAAACAGCTTTACATCCGACGAACTTGATGATTTTAGTTGTCGAGCACGATTTAATAACAACTTAGAACTTTCTAATCGAGATTTTTCTCCATGATGGTCAAGATGAGTATTGATCCAAATAAATGTCGAATTTGTCAATAAATCCTGAAAGCTATTAAAGAATTACAAATTTTTAAACGAATCGATAAAAATAATAATAATAAAAAAATAATAATAATATTAAAGAACGAACGTTGCTTGAGTAGCGACACCTATTATTACAAAAATAACGATAAGTCCAACATTGCGTTAATAATATAGTTTTATAAAGGTTTCTTACGTGTAAGTTGTGCGTCCCAACCTATACTACCGGGAACATCTGGATTCTGCAAACAAATAATAATAACATTCTGTTAAACCGGAAAAATAGTATCCTTTACAAATATATTAACAGAAAGAAATTGACCTCAGAGAGCCAAAAATGTTTAGAATCTATTAGTTTCAATCGATTTCTACGTTTATAATATTTTAGTTAGAGGAATATTAAATAATAAATAAACTTCAGTAAGAAAAAGGAATAATGTATAACAACTTGTTATAAAAAATTGGTACAAATTCTCCTGCTTGTTTTCCATCATCTCTCCCCACTCCAATCCAATTCCAATTAGAACCAAGCAAAGACTCTAAATCATTGACTTGATTATATAATGCTTCCTATTGAAATAAACAAAGGTTCAATTTATATAAATTTTAATTCAGGAACAAATAATTAAGAAATAAAAATAGAGTCTATGTTTTACCTGTATACCGACAAGGTCAATTTTGTGAAAAAGAATTGTATCTACAACTTTAACCCGTCTAACATTCCACGGAGTTTCACCTTGAGTAGGTGAACCCAAGTCAAAACGAATATTAAAAGTTCCAACACGAAGTATTGGCTCACTCATGGTTGTTTGGTTATACACTAATATACAAATTCAATTCGGAAATTTATGTTCTACACACCAAAACTTTATCTATAAACAATCGGAAAAATTTTATTGGCATTTAAGAGATCTGCATAAACAAAAGCTTTTTTAGCTTTTTTTGCAGCCTATTGTGTAAATTATATTAGGACCATTAATTAAAAAAACGTGACACGAATTAAACACGCGGAAATGCATTGAGCCTGCATTAAAGATACCGTAATAAGGTTCAAATTGTTTGTCAAATTGTTCTCTTAACTTTTTTCAGCCGCTTCACACTTTTCTTTCTTTTATATATAATACCTTCTTACCAAAAACATGGTTGGAACCTCGTCTCAAAGTGATTTTTCAAATAAAGAGGATATGTACGTACACAGTATGACTTTGAAGCAGGCAAAAAAATTATTGAATAGTCCTCGTTCTCGACAAGTTATTACACTTGCAAGCTGTGGTGGTAAAAAGGTCGGTGTAGTAGAATGCGGCGACCCAAATGGTTTTCCTGTACTTTGGTTTACGGGTCTGTATTTTATACAATGTTCATAAGAAATATTTCAAACACAATAATAACCTTACTTTATCTATTATATAGGTAATATGGGTCCCGCTCTTTCAATTCTTTTATATCATGATATTGCCGAACGACATCGTATTCGTTTTGTTTGTGTTGACCGCCCAGGATATAATTCTAGCGACGATATATATTCTGAACATGGAGTTCCAGATCTTTTCGAATTTGCCGATATGGTCAATGAGTTAACATTACTGTTAAGAATGTGGCAATTTGGTTTGGCAACTTTTTCTTTAGGCGCAGTTTATGGATTAGCATATTCATTAAGTTTTCCCGAGCGATTAAAAGGCCCTATATTTATGGTTTCTCCTTGGCTTTCAGTAAAAACTCCGGGAACTTCAACAATGTATAAAGGAATTGCTAGATACGCCCCAAATTTTTTAATACGTACAACTTTGAGCACACTTCCCCATATGAGTAATTTTTTAAATATGTGGAATACATTAGGTTCCTCCCCTGTAAAAACATCAAGACGTACATCATCCTCAACTTCCTCTTCAATGTCAGCAATGTCAGATGATGATGACATTGATAATGCAAACATTGATAGTATAACATTTTCAATTGCACCTGGAAGAAGTTATATACATAATCAAATATATAATAATGGCTTATGGAATCTTCAAAATAGAACGGGTGCCCATCTTGATGCAATGGTAGCGTTAGAAAAAATAGATTGGGGTTTTACATACGAGGAAACAACTTATCCAATAAAAGCTTTTGTTGGAGATATAGATGAGAATGTTCCAATACAAGCTTGGATGTATATGAGTAATAAAATGAATAATATTAAACTTAATGTAATTGAAGGTGGTGGGCATTATTTATTATATAGAATGGATTTTATGGAAGATTTATTTGCACAAATTGAACGTTCCGTTTACCCTTAGAAAATTTTCAGAGTCTCAATACAGCATTTATTTATTTATTTATTTATTTCAATGCATTACTTAAACACTTATTTTGATGTTATGTAACAATCATTTATTATATATTTTCATATTATCAAGTGAAATTTTTAGAATTTTGAATTTACTCTCATTTATTTGTTTATTTGCAACATTCTTTACAGTAAGTCTTAACGATGCGAAATAAGTTGATGCATTATCTATCGTCCTTATTCCGTCGATATTAATAAGGCTGCTGATGGAACGAGATCTAGAATTAAAAACTGTATGTTAGTAACGAAGGAAGGATCTAACATAAATAAAAAATATGATATACTTACTTAATTCCTTTAAGGTTTTACCCTGTTCAGTATCCTCAAAAACTTTTCTATAAAACAACCACGGTTTAGAATTAAAATAGACGAGATATATGTTTCTTTTTAACTTTGTATGGTTACCTTGGAAAAGTTGTTGACAATTTAAATGGTCCAGTGATGTACTGGCGAACAAATTCATAAACAACTTCTAAAGTATCCGTAGCCTGAAAAGTATGAGTAAGAGGAGGTCCGGAAGGCCGTCGAAGCTGCGGAAGGGAGAGCAAAACTTAAAGTAAATGGTGATCACATAATAGTAAATTATTTACTGTTAAACAAACCTGTAATCGTGTTTCGGTGTAGTCTTTTGAAGCGGAAGCGGCAGTAGCGGAAGCGGCGGCTTCTTCTTTTTGTTGGATGAGAGCTGCCTGTTTAGCAGCTTCGCGCTATATACACAAATAAAGTCAGAACAATTTCAACGTACGTAAAAATATGGGATTATATACCTTTTCTATACGTTCTCTTTTGTCTGCTTCAATTTGAGCCTTAATTTTAGCTTTAGCTATTCTTTCATCTTCTTTTTCCTTCTTTTTAGCCAACATTAATTTTTGCATCTCTCGTTGTTCCAATTTTTCTTTTGCATCCGTTAGCTCTTTACCGGACTTTCTTCGGATCTTCTCGCGGCTTAACTCCTCTTCTTTCTCTTGAAGGAGACGCATTTCCTTTTTTTCTGCTAAAAATTTTTTCACTTCTTCTAATTTAGCTTTCTTCTCTTCCTCTGTAAGAGGCTTGATAGCAGTTGTGGATTCAGAAAAATTCTCATGGCCTATATCAAATTTTATATTATTTTATCGACTTCGTAAATTGCGATGAAAACTTAATTGATAAAACTTACCTGATTTGCTCGCGTGACGCTCCGCAGCATTTACTAATTATGTTTCTTTTAGATAAATCAATTATAAATACATTAAATAAGTTAAATTTATAAATTGGCCTACCATCGCGGAATAATTTTTTACAATCATCGCATTGTAATGACTGTGCCGTTTGTTCTCCATCCCGAATTTCTCCTTCTGAAATCATTTACAATTTCTTTAAATCAATTTAATAAAACATAATCAATATACTTAAAAATCCTAAATTACTTGCCATCTCCATCATTTGCACTTCCCGATGCTTCTCCTGAAGGTTGTTCACCTAAAGCTTGTCCGCCCGCCGGCTCGTCAAGATCTCCGGGGTGAGCAATTAACCTGTTAAAAATGATAATTATTACAAAAATTAACTAGGAAACTTTACAATAAATTAAATTATAATATATTAACTTGCCAGTCCATAGCAGGCTGTAGACCTGCTCCTTTTGTTGCTTGCAAAGCTCGTGCCCTATGTTATACATAATTGTTAAATTTAAAAATAACACAAAAAAAAATTTGCGAAAGTTTACTTACACCTTCTCAGGTGGGAAACCCATTTCAACTAAAGTATCATGATCCGAACCCATTTTAATTCGAGAATTCGAAAAGAAGGGTGAGGGCTTTGATCGGTATTATAATATTCTTAAGTCATTGTGATACGAGACGCAGATCCCCTTTCTGCGTTATAAAAAGCAATATGTAAAAAATCCGATTGTCCGAATATCTCTCTTCAAAATGTCTGCACTATTTACAAAAAGACTTTCTAAAGAATTAGTAGATCTTAAAATTAACCCACCGGTAGGAATTGAAGTAACGGAAGCAGACACATTCAAAAGTTGGAAGTTAACCCTTGACGGTGTGGATGGAACACTATATGCCGGGGAACGATTTACTCTGGAATTTCGGTTTAGTCCAAACTATCCCATGGAGTCTCCCGAAGTTGTTTTCACGGGAAATATACCAATACATCCACACATTTATAGTAATGGACATATATGTTTAAATGTCTTGTATAATCAGTGGAGTCCAGTCCTGAGTGTTCGGTCTGTTTGTCTTTCGATACAATCAATGTTATCGAGCTGTACGTGTAAGGAACCTCCACCGGACAATAATCATTATGTAAAGACTGCTAAAGCGTCTCCTAAACAAACTCAATGGTCCTTCCATGACGATTCCGTTTAAGATATAAATATTTTTTTCTTTTAGGTATTAGAATTTGTAATTATTTTTTTTTTTAAAAAAAAAAAATCAATTTTTTTTTGGGTACAAGACTGCATTCATAGTTACTGTTAAATATACAAAGTATATAGTACTTTTAAACCTTTTAAAATATTTATTGTAATTAGCACAGTTCAGTAAACTTCGTCTTGTAATTTATTTCTTTGACGATATGATTACATAATCATAATTTTTGATATTATATAGACTTTGTTTTTCCTTTTATTAATCCACTTTATACAACACAATAAATACTTTTTTTTAATGAGACAAACTTACAAGAAATCGAGATGAGTTATTTATTAATTCTTAAGCAAATGCGCTAAATCTACGTTCATTTACTAAGATGTACTAATTTCTTCTCCTGCGATAAAACACTTTACAACATTGAGATCGTCATCCAAGAAGACGAAATCAGCATCTGCTCCTACGTTAAGAGTGCCTTTAAAATTTTGAATACCTAGAAGTTCAGCCGGATGCAAAGTGGCCGCTTCAATTGCTTCAATTACACTGCACCCGGTAAACTTTTTAAAGTTTTTGACGCAAGCATCGATAGAAATCACAGATCCCGCTAATTTACCATTTTCAACCACTTCAACTTTTTCATTACCACTTTTACGTACTGATATTCCACCTAAAGTATACTCTCCTTTCAGAACATTGCAATAAAAAAAAATAAATGCCAGTAGAATTAAAAAAAATTTATATACTGCAAAAAAATTTAACACGGTAAGACCTACCGGGAGGAAGACCTAACGCTGCCATTGCATCTGTAACTAAAATTGCACCTTTCGGATTTGAATCGTAGGCGATCTTTATTGAATTTGGATGAACATGAATGCCATCACAAATAATACCATAAAATGGTCTCGTTATACGCGTGGTTCCCAAAAGGCCGACTATCCCAGGATCGCGATGATGAAACTACACAAAGAGCAAGGAGAAGTGATAACAAGTATAATATAGCACGTAAATTGAAATATAATGTGCTACGCTTCCCCAGACCATTAGATCAAATAAAAAGGCTAAATCTACCTGTTGCATAGCATTAAACAAATGCGTGATACATTTGGCCTAATATAATATTAGAATTGGGTAAAAAAGTACAATAGTATACAAAACCTCATTCAAATCAGTAAAAAAAATTACCCCCTTTTCAATTGCTGACTCAGCTTGAAATACGGTCGCGGACGAATGACCTTAAAATTGATATCTATTATTTATGAAACAATACGGACAAGAAAATAAGGATACCTATGATACCTATGCTGACAGTTATACCAAAATTAACCAACTCTTCCAAACTGTCTAATACACCCTCAACGTCAGGAGCCACAGTTATAATTTTTATTGGATTGTCTTTCAATTCATGTAATCCATATATATCAACAAAATCATTAATGCCATTTGGTGCTGCACGAAGACAAGATTCTTCATGAGCGCCGAGTTGACTTGATGTAATAAAAGGTCCCTCAACATGTACGCCCAAAACTTCTGCGCCATTATCTTTATTCCCTTTACGTGGTTTTAGTGTTGGTAGTACCTATATCGTTGTGGAAGAATAGGTCACTTTTGTATTATATAATATAATTATTGCTTTGATTCTTTACCTGATGATAAACTTCTTTATGTGAACTAACGATTGTAGGAACGAAACTTGTACATCCATATTTTACTAAGCCCTTTGCAATTTTATCCAATCCTTCCTTCATTTGTTTATCGCCTTTCCAGACAGAAAAATCAACCCCGAATGCACCATTAATTTGAACATCGATGTAACCTGGAGCGATCAATAATCCTTTTGCATTAATCAAGACATCGGGCGGATTTCCACACGCAAAAAAATGATTTTGCGGATCGATAATTTTTCCATCGTGTATATAAAGTACATCATCATTAATAATCGTATGATTACGAACTATACGGCCATTAACGATTTTTATCAGACGTGAATTTCTGTTTTGACGCGTTTTCTCTGAGGATTGGAACGGCATGTTGTTTATGTTGTTTGTTTATATGTATGTGTAAATATAAATAAAATTAGAAATTGGATCTGTGTAACATAGCTATTTTGTAATCACGAACATTCACGTGTTATACTTTTTAAGATCATAAAAGTAATAAAAGTAATGGTAATCAAATGTTAACGCCAATTGCTTATAAAATCCAATAAATAGAAATAAGAATATATAAATAAATAAATATATAATCGTATCTTTTAATTCTCTTCCTCCTAAAAAATCAACATCAAAAATACAATGCCACCCTTATTTTCAACTCATGTCTTCGAAGAAAAAAATTTTTCAAAACTGACTCATTGTGACTATTGCAAAAAATTGCTTTGGGGAATAGCAAAACAGGGTGTTTGTTGTCGAGGTGAATATCATGATTTTCCTTTTAAATTTCCATTATAAAATTTTATTAATAAATACATCATATCAATGAATAAAATTTAAAATTTATTATAGTATGTGGTTACGTCTCACACTTTAAATGTCAAGAAGAATTATCAAAAGCAAACGCACACTGCAAATTATCCGAAGCATCAGATTCTCTTGCAGCAAGCCGCAATATTATTGCTCACAGAGAAATCGAACCTTCTTTAAATAGTACTGAATCTATAAAATCGGAACCTGTGCCGATTCAAAGACCGAAATCTTCCGCACATGTGGTGTCCGAATCACTCCCTACAATTAAAGTAACTTTTGAATTGGATAATAATAAAGCAAAAGAACAAAATAGTAATCCCAAGGAGCTATCTGCAAAATTGAAGCGATCGAATTCTGCTGATTCTATTACAGATTATTCTTCAAATTCTTCTAACAAGACAAAAGTTCATAGGCCTTTACAGTCTTATGCAACACTTCCAAGTCTTTATTCATCATCTAAATCTGCCAAATTCGCGGATATTGCTCCAAGGGCTGCAAAACCAATATCTCCGGTTAAGCCATCATTTGACGCCAGAACGATTCAAGATGTACTCATTTCTTCAGTAATTAATGTTTCTAATGCATCTAAATTGCCATCAGATTCAGCTCATCCACCGTTGAATTTGAACACAACAACCAATAATTTTCGAAAATTCGTACAAAAATGTGGCTTTATCTTTGAGCTTCAAGATGCTGTTGAAGACATAATTATGTGGAAAAATACACCGAATACCTTATTGGCAATGGTTATCTATGTATATATTTGTATGTATATCTTCACAATTTTACCATTTTCATGAAATAATTTTTTTTTTTAAAAAAAAAATAAATTTTATTTAGGTTTATATCCACAATTGTTGATACTTTTACCATTTGTTGGATTGTTTTCAGTTTTATTTTCATACTATCAGAAGAGATTTCCTGATGAACAATATATGAATATAAATGGAAGAAACGGAGGAAAGAAAAGATTCAAAAGATCAAATCGTGTTGATGATCCTTATCTTCCTCCTGAAAATTCGGTTGATTATTTGAAGAATATGCAAAATATACAAAACTTGATGGGAATGATTTCGGACGGATATGATTCGTTTATTCCTTTGCTTAAACATGTGGATTGGAGCAACGAATATGAGACATTGAAAATAACGCAAATTATTATTGTTACTTTATCCATCCTTAGTTTGACAGTATGGCTTGTTCCATGGCGATACATTTTGGTTGTTGCAGGATTAAACGTTTTTATCGCTAACACGCAATTTGTAAAAGCGTTGATCAAAGAGATAAGTCCAGTTTTAATTCAACGTGGACGAACACTTACACAATCTTTAGTTTCTTCAGAAAAAGAAAAGGATAAAGAAGGCATGAATAATAATGGAGATACAGAAGTTCCAGGACGAGTTAATGTTGATCCAAATACTGCGGGCTCTTAAATCACAATTTTGCTATTCATAATAATCGGCTGAATTCTAATTGAATGATATTAGTAAACACACCAATTATATTTTGTTGGTATGCAAAGATGTTTCTTGAATCGAATTCCGATTTTCCGTGTGAAACAACGGATAATATTAAAACCTTTATTTGGAGGTTTATTGTTGTACAATAATGGATCTGAGATAGATAGGTCACGGATTTTTTAACATAATTAAATGGTTAACAAATTTATTTTGCGGTTTCCGGGAGTATTGGCTTCTTCATGTTATTATTCTTAGTTTCACTTTACTCAATTAAGTATGACCGTCCATTATTTCCGAGATAATTCTTTTCGATTTAAGAACTATTACTCTTAAAAAATCGGTTGGTTTTAAATATTTATTATTCTAATTTTAATAAACGTAGATTTCCTAAAATTCCGGGTTATAAAACCATTCTAACCAATAAATTTTGATTATCTATATAATCACATGAATTTTTTTTGGAAAATTTTAGCCATTTTGAGCGCTACTACACTATGATAAAAATAGCGTTTTTTTATCTATTAAGTAGTTATTATATCATTCCACTCCCTTTCTCTATCTTCATAATTTTTCCTTTTTAAGTAAGATAATTTATTTTTCACACGACTATTTCTTTTAACATTCTTTTTTTGACGATAAAATATTGGATAATATTTATATTCAGTCTTAAAATAACTTCCATCTGCTGCAAAAAAATCGTAATTTACTTCGATGCCCTTATTATATATTTGATTGACATTATCAAATACTTTATTTAATAGTTGAATAATATCATTACTTTTCCATTTAGCCTTTTTTTCATACATACTTCTTAATACATATAACATAACTCCCTCTTTTTTCCTCTAGAAAATGTCTTCAACGCTCGCACCACCTTCGCCACTATCAGACAATAGTTCTCGGCCAACTTCATTTATTATGCCAACAGAAACACCAATATTAGATCAGTCTCATCTTAAACCGGGCCATAAAGCCTCCTTACTTTCTCACTCACAAACTTTAGAATTGTATAGACAAAATGCTAAAAAAACAAATGATCCCGACCTTCAGTTTGAATTCGCAGCATTTATGGTGGAAGCTTCAAGAGCTATGAACGATGAAGAAGCTAAAAAAAAAGATGACCTTGTTAAAGAAGGCTTAGCTCTCTTAAAGAAATTAGCTGACAGAGGGCACGCTAATTCACAATATTATCTTGCAGACTGTTACGCAAGCGCTATCGGTACTTCAAAAAACAAGCCTGATTTCGATAAAGCTTTTCCTTTATTTGTGCAAGCGAGTAAGCATGGTCATCCTGATGCAGCGTATCGTGCTGGTGTATGTTACGAACATGGTTGGGGCTGTCGCAAAGACTTTGCTAAAGCTTTACAATTTTTTAGGTAATTTTTTTTGGATCAAGTTACTTGAGTTTAATTTTTTTTTTTTATTTATTTTATTTATTTCTTAATAATAATAGAAAATCAGCATCAGCTAGTCATCCTGGAGCAATGTATAGACTGGGTATTGCGGAACTAAAGGGAGAATTAGGATTATCCAAAAATCCTCGTGACGGAGTAAAATGGCTCAAGAGAGCAGCAGAAAATGCAAATGAAGAATTTCCACATGCATTGCACGAATTATCAGAACTTCATGAAAAAGGAGTTGATAACGTATGTTATGTAGATATAGAATATTCAGTACAGTTATTAATAGAAGCAGCAAATTTAAATTATGCACCATCAGCATTTAAATTAGGAGAATTATATGAATATGGAAAAATGGGGTGCCCACAAGATGCTGCTCTGTCAATTCACTATTATACTATTGCGGCACAACAAGATCATAGAGAAGCTTGTTTCGCTTTAACAGCTTGGTATCTTGTAGGTAGTCCAGGTGTATTGCCGCAAAGCGATACGGAAGCTTATTTATGGGCGAAAAGGGCTGCTGAAAAAGGTTTACCTAAAGCCGAATATGCTGTTGGATATTTTACAGAAGTTGGCATTGGTGTTAAAAAAGATCAAACAGAGGCTAATATGTGGTATCGCCGTGCTGCTGAACACGGCGATAAAAGAGCTCAACAAAGATTAAAAGGAGCCCCTGTTGATGATGAGAAGAAGCCTAAAAAAGATGATTGTGTAATTTCTTAAAAAAAAAACAATTTATTCGAAATCAAATCACTTTAGATGACATTCTTGGATAATACTTAAACGTGATTATTAAATAATTATAGCTAATATGATAAAATATAATACGCAAAATATATATAAATATATAAATATATATATATATATATTTTTTCGCATGTACATTATAATTATAAATAAGCGTTATATAATATTATTATAATTTATTTTAATCTATTTTTATCTTATGTCTTATTATCTGCCAATCATGGTAATAACCAACAAACCTGTAATAATATACATAACTAAATTTGGGTACTTGCGGAAATTTGCTGAAGCTATTTTAGATGATTTCCGGGAACATCACTATGGAACGGAACGCCAAGGGGCCTAAATTAATTTTGATTTTTTTGGTAAATAAACGCACATTTTAATTAAAAAAAAAATCCTTGGCGAATAAAGACATCATTTTAAAAAGAGAGTTTGATTGTCGTTCCAATAAAATTATTTTATTCGATATTTTAAAACCTTTACTATTATACAATGAAACGCTATTTTATGTAACACTTTTTAATATAAATATTGCTCTGACTTTTCTTTCTTTTTTATTTTCTTTTATTGTGGAATAATTTAATTTTTTACTCTTGTTCTGAAGGGGCAAAAAAATGTATAAAACTATTTTATTGTTACCTATATTAGTACTTTTAATTATAAAAAAAGCATTAGCACAGAATTATGCAATACCAGCACCGGATATAGCAGATTTTCCACAACCAAATTCTACTCAAGGAAACTACGAATACACAAAATTGTTAGCATATTCGTTGTATTTTTATGAAGCACAACGTAGTGGAAAATTACCATTAGACAATCGAGTAACTTGGAGACATGATTCTGCATTAGAAGATGGTAAAGATGTTAATTTAGATTTAACAGGAGGGTATTATGATGCAGGAGATCATTTGAAATTCTCGTTCCCGTTATCATGGTCTCTTACTTCCTTGTCATGGGGAGCTTACGAATGGTACGATGGATATCAATCTGCTCAACAAACTACCAGAATAAGAGATATGATCAAATGGGGTACTGATTGGTTAATTAAAGCGCATTCTGATCAACAAGTCTTATATGTTATGATCGGGGATGAGAATGTCGATCATAATTATTGGGGACCTGATACTGGTATACCATTACCAAGACCCTCATTGAGTATAAATGGCACTAAGCTTGGAACTGATGCAGCAGCTCAAGCTGCTGCTGCGATGGCAGCGGCGTCATTATTCTTTAAGGATAAAGTACAAGACATAGATTATTCTAATACGTTATATCTTCATGCTCAACAATTATATGATTTTGCGAGCATAAAACCATTTACCAAATATCAATCATCTGTTAATCAAATCGAAGGTTTATATGCATCATCAGGTTTTGCAGATGAGTTAGTGTGGAGTAGTCTTTGGTTATATAAATTAACTAAAAATGCAACATATTTTGATCTCGCAGTAAATTATTTCAACGAGTTTAAATTATCTGGAAGTAATAATGTCATTAATTGGGATAGTAAAGCTGGTGTTGTATATATTCTATTTGTTCAATGTGCAACAGAATTAAACAGAGATGATGTTAATAATTGGAAGGCTGAAGCTGAGAGATATTTGGATACTGTTGCTTCGCAATCTTCAGATCAATGTAAATTAACTAAAGGTGGATTATTTTATTGTGACGGAGATAGTGATGCTGCTTCATTGAATCCCGCGTTAAATGCTGCTTTCGCATCGTTATTATATTCACCATTAAGTTCATCACCTTCAAAAAAAGATAGTTATATTAACTTTGCCATGTCACAAATCAATTATTTATTGGGAAATAATCCGGCGAAAATACCTTATGTTATTGGTGTTCATCCAAATTCGCCTCAAAATCCTCATCATTCAGGTGCGCAGGGGGGAAACGATATGAATGGACCAACTCTTAATATTCTCTATGGAGGCATTGTAGGTGGTCCCGATAAACATGATGATTATGAGGATAAGAGACCTAATTATATTCAATCTGAAGTTGCTTTAGATTATAATGCTCCTTTTCAAAATTTAATGGCTTATCAAGTTATTAATTCTAAGGATGATCCTTATTATGTTACTTTACCTCCCGGAAGACCATCTCGAACAAATGTTGCTCTTATCGTTTCATTGGTTATTGTTGCTATTATAATTATTATTGGTATTGGTGGTTTTATTTATTGGAGGAAAACTCGAGGGCAGAAATAATAGACAATTTATTGTTATACTATATTATAGAGTAAAAAAATGTAATTTAATAAATTTTATAGATTCATAATGGAGAAAATTTATTAATAATAAAAATATAATGGGACTGATATTATATATGTCTATTTGGATCAAAAAATTTCTCACACCAACTTTTCTATTCATATCAATTTTTATTAAGAGGTCATTGAATTGTATTTCGCTTAATAGAATAAATAAAGTTTAAGTAGCTAATATGACCCTACGATTCATATATTTTGAAAAATATTCGCCATCTAACAAGTAGATATTTTTTCACTTAGTAAGCTTCAACCTAAACCAATTTTAGATGCCGACGTCACTTCTGCTACTTTGCTAGAAATCAAATTAGTCGTGATTGTATGAAGAGTTTTTTCCAAATTCTGTCAACAAATATGTTATATGCATTTCAAAGTTTAGATGTACACAACTTTAAGATTTATTAAATCATTATACAGTAATTCGTCAATCAAAATTTTTTCAGAGCTTATTGTTTACATATGGGGCATACTGTAACATACACAAATAATTTAGGGGCTAAATTAATTCAATAAGATTCCATAATTAGAAATCGAATTTAATAATATTACACAAACTTTACTCAATAAAAAAAATTGCTTTGAACCTTTCAATATCTGTCCCAAATAGATATTTTACATGGATGCTTAATTATTCAAACTGTCCACGTTTTAATATCTCCTGAAATGGAATTGTCCTGCAACCGCTAGTGGATATAGTGGATATTTTTCCATTAGTATACTTTGTTATCTTGGTGCAATCTAGTGATGCTGTCCCAATGACGGCAAAACCGTGTGAAACCCAATGTGCCGTTAATGTTATTAATGCCATAACTTTTACTGTGGCCAATGACGCCGTAGAGTATAGTAGATAGCATAAAATAGTTTAATATTATACATAGCTTAACAGTATAAATTTTTAAATCTCTCCGAATTTGTTATAAAAATTTAAAGTTTCCATACTGATTTAAATAACTTCTTTGATTATAAATTTCGTGGAACAATAATTTTAATAGTAATGAAGGAGAAAAGAATGAATAATTAGAATGATATGATATATTATAGAGTATAAAATATAGTATGTAAATATGTTTTTAAGAAAATTTAAATTTTAATAAATATTACACACGAGTTATAGTGACTATTTACGGTACATATACCAGTTACGGCGCATTTACCAGTTCCAATTTGCTGTATCTTAAAGTAAAGAGTTATAACTATAACTAGTTATAACTCAGTTGTGATACGGCTCATCCCAATGTGATCGAGTTCCAACTGCATCTCTAGTGCAATCTCTCAAGATAGAACAAAAGTTTTAGTCTGTTATCCACCAGAACTATTGGTCATGGGGCTGCCCGTGAAGTTATAGATAGTGATATATTGCAACTTATTTCACAGGTACTTGGTCAAGGGATTGTGGTTTGTGGAACACTGGAAAATGTAGCAAAATAACCAGACCATAACCAAAAGAAATGAGCGATAACATTTTATACCAGAGAAATTAATCTTTTTGAAAAAGAAATGTTATAGGATAACGAATATAATGTTAATTAACAATTGTCTCATAATGTCAATATCTCTTTCGCCACCAGTACCTTTCAACTTTAATCACGTATCCTGGGTAATAAGTCCTTCAAATGTGCACGTGGAAAGATTCTTGAAGGAAGTTCTTTGGCGCTTACAGATCTTTACCATGAGATCTTGTCTAATAATGATAAATTATAGAAATTTAACTGAGTATATCAAAATTCTTTTCCCGGAATCCTAGTAAGCCGGATGACATCCGACGCCCAAAAAGAAATAGAATAATCCCTCCATACTAATATCGAAATGTATTACAAACTTATGTACCAATTGTGATCAATTGATTGATTATAACCTTTGGTTTGCAAGAGCTTATAAACAAATATGCTTAAAAACCACAAAATTTATGTACATAATAATTTACTAAATAAATTGAAATGGTTGTAGCTTTGGTTATTCGTCAAAATAATAGAAATTACAGAACGTGAACCAGTAAAACTAGGCACAATTTAAAGGTGTGTCTTAAATTATGTCGAAGTCCATAAATCAATTATCTATGAAAAATCTCTGTAGTTTGTAAGAGCAATGCATTCCATATCAGGTAACCCACAAATCAAATAATGTGTTCCTGAACGGACTTATGCTATAGATGTGCAATTCAAGGTTCATGAGGAAGAGATATAAAGAACATTTAGTCAAAGCCAAACTGGAACGAATTATAACAAAATATCAAAGATGGCGGAGGACACAGAAAGTCTGTTGATCATTAAGATACCATTCTAATGATACTATAACATTAATGTCGTTGTACATGATTGATCGTATTGTCTTGGTCCCCGCAAAGTTCGAATTTGGCATCCGAGTTAAAATAGTGCACGAATAAGTTAATTATATTCTTAACGAGAGAGTTAAAAACTAATTCGGTTATTATAAATGTATTGAGCTCAATTTGGGCGGCTCATGTCTGTAACACGGAAGTAATAACTGATTTGCAGCTTATGTAATCCATGTTATTTGATCTAATCTGACTATTATGATCTTAACTTCAATTACTAATCTCCAAAAACAATGCCAGAACTTATTAATGCAAACCCAACGATTTATACTCCTTCAAAAAAATCTCATAGAGTTATAACGCCTGAAGAAGAAGACGAAAATATTGAAGATAAAATTGACTCTCGAGAAGTATTTGGTATGTTCTTTCGCACTTCGAAGAATGTTAAATATTTCCCTTTACTAATTATTAACCCGACATTAGATTTAATAAGATCAATATCAGATCCTGAACATCCACTTACTCTTGAAGAATTAAATGTAACACAACTCGAGCATGTTACAGTTGATGATAATAATGATCGTATCGTAATTGAATTTACTCCTACTATACCACATTGCTCTATGGCTACTCTTATTGGTTTATGTATTCGTGTTAGATTGCTTCGTTCTTTGCCTGAACGTTTCAAAGTTGATATTAATGTTAGGAAAGGAACTCATCAATCTGAACAAGCTGGTAAGTACAGCTTCTTTTTTTTGTACTTAGAATATGTATATTTGCGATTTACTTATTATAAAAAACGATTGAATTTAAATAGTTAATAAACAGTTGAATGACAAAGAGCGTGTTGCTGCTGCTCTCGAAAATACTCATTTACTTGAAGTCGTAAATCAATGTTTAACAACCGCTAATGCTCGTGGTAACATTGATAAATAAATATTCATGAGAAAGATAACCGATTAAAATTTAATCTTAACTGATGAGTTACTTAGCTATGAAACTAAGAAAGAATGTGTATGATTTTTTAATTTTAATTTATTCAAATTTCAAAATGGTTAATTCTGCATTTAATCTAAAATTTCAATTCTATATTTTAAAATTGTTTAAGTCGGAAAAGAGATTTAAGAAAAGAATGTATAAAGTGGGATAAAAAAGTATAGGAAGTCTTGCTATATATTAGAACAAGCTAAAAAAATTGTCTCACAATATCTATGTAAAAATAGTATATATTTCTTTTTTTAAGAAAAATTCTCATTGATCTATTTATTAAATTCACATGAATTTAAATGTTTAAACATTATATAAAAGTTCTTATTTGCAGTATTTATTAATGTATTAACACTTGTTATTAAATAAAAGAATGAATTTGTTTTACCTGTAATCGGCTTTATCCAGTCTATCACTTTAATGTCATATCGGGAATTTAAGATTGTCGATAGGGAGGATTCACCAAACTTGTTGTACTATTAAATAAAAATAAATAAAAGTGAATAAAGAAATAGTATAATTTATTTCCAAAGCTTAGGAATTTTTTGGTTCATTACCTCGCAGCTTTTGGATCAATCGTTGATAAGAATGCACTTGCTTCATTTTTCGGTTTATTTTTTCTTTTGTTCTTTTTGTTATTACCAATTGGAACCATATACCCTGATTCTCTATCTGATGCAACAGAAGTTTCATGCTCTGATGAATCGTTCATCAGTTGGACAGCTATTTAAACAATAATTTATGTTCATTCTTTAAAAATAAATAAAAAAAAATAAAAAAAAATCCTTTCTTTAATATAAATACCTAAAGTCTCTTTAAAATTATCGGTCTTTACTTTAGGTGGCAAATCATCAGAACTATTTTCCAAGTTCATCATAGTAGGTTTAGGATGTGTAACAACTAATTTAAGTTTATCAGCTTCGAATATTCTAGATGATCTAATTCGACGTGCTTCATTTTTGACTTCATTAAAACCTTCTTCAGGTTTCCACTCTGTCATCAATTTTTCTTCTACATTCGTGTCATCAAAATCTAAAATTTCTTTATGTTTACAAAGTATCGAAACTATTGTTTGTCGATCAAGCCATATATTAACCGGTTGTAAAGTTTGATTATTTTTGTCTTCATCTTCAAAAGACGCTGATAAATCTACATTATCTAAATTATTTTCTGAAGGTATTACATTAATATAAGTTGACCATTGACATTTTTCTACACGTTCTTTTTGTACCTAATTAATAAATAGTAATAAATGAAAGTTGTAATTTATTAATCAATTATAGGAACAATTTAAAGTTAAGTTATATAAGCTTACCATTTCTACATATTGCTGTAATTCTGTAATGCCTAAAACTTGAGCGATATTATAAAAGTATAATGTGATAACACTAGCTATAGCTCGTTGACGAGCAAAGTTATTAAGTTTTTCGTCTTTAGCTTCAGACTGTAATTTGAAAAGAACTGGAATTCCTCGAATAACTTGATCAGCTCTAAATCGTAACAATAATGAACGTAATATGAAAAGTAAAGCTACATTATCAGCAGGTTTTGAATTCTCTAATAATGCGTATTGATACAGTGACAAGTGAAGCGTATTCAGAAAGTGAATAGCAGGCTGATTGAAATATGTGATCTAGTACAAAAAAGAATTAAAAGAATTTAATATCAAATTAGAATTGAAACTTAAAATCAATTCAGAATTACGGCCAAAACTAAAATCAATTGAATATTGAAAAGATTTATTCAGTAGATGCTTTTACCTGTACTGAATCAGTTTCCTTAGATTCCTTTGATGAATCGACATTATCCAAAAATGTGGAAAGAATTTGAGCATACATAATTCTTACATCTATAATATCAAAGAAAAAAAATTAGTATAGAATAAAAAAAATTACAAGGTTACAAGATTGCTTATTTTACAGATAAAATAATTTACTTACCAAGGTCTTCGTCCATGCATAAACCGATAGTATTGTGAAATACTTCAACAGGAACTTTACATATTGACATTTCCGATGATCTTTTTTCAGCCTTTTTATTGGTTTGTATAACTATACTCAAACATCTTAATAATGTTTTACGTAATATATTGAGAGGTATTCCTTCAGCAATAAAACTACCATTATTATCCTGTTTGGTTTCAGGATCGGTTTGTAAATTTAAATGCTTAATAATATGTTCTACAATATCACTGATCTGTTTGGCATAGTAAATATGTGTCACAAGACCACCTTTAAAAATAATATTGATTAATTTGATGAGTTTAACTTATAAATTTTTTTTAATTCAACGGTAATCTTAAAAAAAAAAAAAAAAAATTTTATGTTATTACCAATGCAAGTTATAAGTCTCTGTACAATCATTGTTTCCAAATCTTGGGCTTTTTCAGTCATTATATTACTACCTTTAAAGTTTATACTTATTTGTTCAAATTTAATGTCTCCATTTTTCAATGAGCTTAGTAAATGGCTAAGCAAACAGTCCAAAACTTCTAATACTGAAAGTCCAACAATAGTTAAATCGCTTGTTAAAATAGATATTAACATTTCAATAAATGTAATTTTTTTGGATAAACTAGAATTGTCCGGTAAAGAATCAAGTCGCCGTATTATTTCGGAGACAAGTATATGACGGCATTGTCGCTATTAAATATAAATACAGTTAACCTTTGTGCATTAAATATAAATACTTTTAATGAACGAAAAAATTAATTCTTCACCTGAATAGAAGAAAGAATAACTAAAGCTAAACTAATGGCAAATGAATTTGGCCACCAAATATCATTATCTTCCAAAAACTTAAAAACAGGTTTAAGAGAACATTGTAAATCAGAATCTGTGTTCGACACTATAAATAATTGTTTTAAGCAATCATACGCAAGATGAGTATTATCTTCAATCGAAATAATTGTATTATTAATTGAAAATCGTCGTGATTGTGGCATGGAATGTTTTTCGTCGACCGACTCGTTATCACTAAATAATTTTGTTAATAAAGACGTAGCACTTAACATGAAACGCATCTTTATACTTACATTTTTTGTAAAGTTTCTAAATCGTCAGTTAAATTATGTAATATAGCAGGAACGATATATTGCAATTGAATTATAGCATCGGTCGCGTGTAAGGCACTGGAGGTTACTACTCCTTGAAGAACATAAAGGCCAATGGAACGGTACCTAATTTGGACGACATTTATAATCAGTAAATGTATTAATTATCTAATGCCAATAGAAATCCTTACCTTCTTTCTAAATTCTGATCAGCCTCATATTTATATGTAGCATAATTAGCAAATCGTTCGATCAAATTTTCGTAAATAATAGTAAATTCCGTATCAACTCCAATTGTAGATCCATCATGATCCGCGCAAAAAACGATGAACTATAAATACATAATAAATTTTTTATATTGATAATAATATTTGAAATAATTTAAACTGAAATAACATACCACTGAAGCAGCACGTGCGACTAAATCAATGTCATTTGTACTTAACGATGATGCGATAATTTTAACAACGTTCTTTGAAAATAAATTAAGATCCTTTTTACATTCTTCGAGTAGAGATTTTATAATTTGTAAAGAAATTTCTGTATCCCTAGTTCAATAAAAGACAGTTATAAATATAAAAAAATATTGATTTGTCAATTTTTATAAACTTACTGCTTTCTTTTCTTTCGAATGTCAGTAACTACTCTTTTTTCCAAATAAACACCACATTTAGTCAGTTTAGCTGGCTTTGATTTAGCATAAAAAACGAGATAAGAAAGTTCGCTTGACTTCGGACGAGTCTCTTCAGGGCTCGTAGGATAACAATTATTTATAAGGGTGGCATGTTTTATCCAACCTTGACAAACTCCGGTACAAGTCATACTCATTCCAACGAGTTTTAGTTTAGCAAATAGTGGTAAAGAATGTTAAAGAGTGGTGAAGAAGGGAAGGGTGGGAAATTTGTCAATTTCAGACAAAAAGATTTGAAAGGAATAAACGAGCGTTGAAATAAGTTGGTAAATCAGACAGGACGCACTTTCTGGATGCGGACAATTGTAAAGCTGTAAATTAAAGTCTATAAAATATATAAAAAAAAAGGTTGAAAAAGTTGAAAAAAGCTTTCAGATGTAACACTTTGTACTTGTTTGTAATATTTTACTGCATAACGTTCAAAAAACCTGTATTTCTAATTTTGTATCAACAGCGATTAAGTATTGGATCACAATTTAAAATCCATTTGAAAATCGCGTGACCAGAAGATTACTATAGATTTGGGTTTTGTAAAAATCTTGATTTCTAATTTTAAATTAAAATTATCCATTTCCGAATTGAATATTCCGCAAAACATGTCAACAGCTACAAATTGGCAAGCAGGTTTCCATCCGGTTACTCCTCGTACCAATTGTCCACACCTTCACGATAATATTTCTCCGAATTGGGCTGAAGTCACTGTTGACGTTAGTAAACCCTGTACCGAATGTAACGATGCCAGTGAAAATTGGCGCTGCTTAAGATGCCAAGGCGTGTATTGCAGCAGGTAATTATTTTCTTTTCAAGTTTTTTTTTATTACATTAAGCAATTTTTTTTATTTAATTTCAATAGATACATCAATGGTCACGCTGCTGAACATCATAAGAATACTTCGCATCCAATATCTATTTCTTTTAGCGATCTTTCTATTTGGTGTTATGATTGTGACGATTATATAACTAGCCGGGTGAGTGTATATGAATGTTATACGGTAATCGTTAAAAAAATATTTACAAATTTATTTTAATTGTAGCTTCTTAAACCTATCACAACTGCTTTTTATGTCTCTAAATTCGGAGAAATGCCTCCAAATTCAAATGATATTGAAATTGCGAGTGAAGAAGATACTACAGGAAGTGGGGAGGGTCCCAGTAATTCGGCAGGCGAGTCAGGTCCATCAAAATCTGACTAGCTTGAAAATTTGCGTTATTAAGATAGTCCTCGTTTTACGTATAGTAAATAATTGTTATCGCAGTATAAGCTATTCAAATAAAAACCAATTTGTATATCATACATATTTGTTCAGAATTTGAAATACACGTTCAAAAATAGAAATAGGACTCGGGTTAAACATCCGAGCTATTCCAAAAGATGGAAAGTTTATTGGACCATATCTTGAACGTTTTAATAATAAAGGACAAGCTAATAATATAATAATTACACGAACGCGATATAAGAGTTTAATATTATGCACTAAAGTGTACGTGTTTCGAAGAATTTTCGTTTTGTTCATGCGGAAGAGTTTGTACATTTTCATTAATCGTATTCTGAATTTCTCTAGTTGTAATTGAAGACGTTGTTTCCTGTTCCAAATCATCGGATGTATTAGTTCTAGCTTTAGGTGGTGTTGGAGGTCTCGGGACTGTACTACATGAAGGAAAAACAGATTCATTTTCTTCTTCATCTATAATAACTTCTTCGAATTTTGTTTTGGTTTCAGTCATTTGATCAATCTTATTTTTATTACTTTCTACTTCTACTTCAGAATGATCCAAATCGCTATGATCCGCTTCATTTGAATCATCGGATATAGCTAAAGACGATCCACCTACATGTTTTCGATTTGAAGAGCTGAAATTAAAATCCACATTTTCACTATTCGGTGTTCCTTTAGGCGGCGTTGGTACAATAAATCCGGTTGGTGGTGCGGATGAGGGTGAATTTATATCAGAAGTTGCTATTGGTGCATTGACTGGAACTAGATTTTTTGATTGAAGCTTAGGAGTCCATGCAGAAAGAGCGGCAGAAGCATTTGAAATAGCTTGTGAAGTCTTCTCCTGTCCTATTATTGTATAAAATAAGACTTTACTATAGGAATTAAATTAATAATTTATTCTAAACTTTCTCACCTGTATAAGTTTTTCTGGGCTCATCAGGTGGTGTTGTTTCCGTTGAAATTTGTTCAACGATGTCCCTGCTGTAATTGGCTATAATTATTATTTTTTCACCAAACTCGAGAAGGGCATCCAATTGAATTAATAATGCCGTTTGTAATTTTTGCCGTTTAAAATCTTCTAAAGATGTTTCTTCTGTATATATTTAATATGTAAAAATATTAAAATAAATTTTAAACAAATAAATAAAAATATATAATCTTCAAATTGCCTGCAATTGTTTCTTTCTCGATTTTTTCCAATTCTGTATGAAAATCTTTAAGTTTTTGTTCAGTTGCTTCAGAACGTTTTGAATTACTTGCTTTTCGCTCTTCCTTTTCAATTTTATTCCAAAGTGCTTCCTTCTTTAGACGTTGATCTTTCATTGCTTCTTCACGTCCACGAATATCTTTTAAGTGTCCACGATATTGAGAATAACGATCCGCTAAATTCAATCAAATATTTCTCTGAATTAATGAATATTTATCATATTAATTCAATTAAATTTCTTTTTTAATTAGCTTACCAAGTACACTTTCAGTTTCCGATAATTTTGTAATTAATAAACCATACTTTTCAGTAATGTCACTTAAATCAGCACCTTCACTTTTTCCCCAAATTGCAAGATACTTTGCAGCTTCACTTTGCTCATATGTCAAATTTTTTAGAGAAGTCCCTACACCGCGTTCTGCCGCAAGTAATTTGGATAAATGCTTTGTATCATTATTTACTAGAGAAACGTAAAAAAAGAAGCTTATAGTTAAATATAAGATTTTTTGAAAAGTAATATAAAAAGGATTAATATTTACCAATAGCATTTATTGAGGTGAGATTACGACGAATATCTGTTGCGACGTTGTCTAAATGAAAATTTTTGATAGCCTTCATTACTACCTACTTTAGAATTATAACGAAAAAGTTTGTAAACTGTCAGCTATAATAAAGATCGTTTTTATAGAATTTCTTATCAAATCTTTGTTTATTATGCTTGTGTTATCACCATTTTATTTTAGTAAATTTGAAATAAAATTTCCTATTATAGCTGAATGATAAATTGCGCCACTTGTAAGGTCCCATAATTTTCAGCTTTTATTAATATAGAACGATAATCCGCAGCTAACCATTTCTTCACAACGCAATTAGTTAACAATTCTATTAAAAGCACTTACTCATCAGATAAATAAAATAAATATATTTATCAAGGACGAATAAAGTCGTCTCAGAATTGGAGAATAATTTTCGACTTTGATCTTGGGTGCGATCATTGAATTAAATGACAATTAGTCTTCGTTACTGCTTGTTTGAATTTGGTCGCAAGGATTAATGTTACAATATATATGTTTCTAACAATTTAAATTTTCATATATTTAAAGTTAAAACAGTTTTTTAATTTATTAAACGATTTCTAATTTTCTTTACAATTTAATAAGGTGTAAAATTATTATGAATTATATTTTCTCAATTTACATGTCAAAAAAATATATGTATAATGTATTATTTTTCACAATCCAAAATTATCTAAAGATATTAATAATAATAATTAATTATAAGTTTCAACTGTCTTAGTTGTTTTATTAATGGTCCATGAGGTGATCAAGTGATATTTCCATATCAGGCTTTTTTTCAAGTACTTTCATTTTACCAATTGCATCAATGATCGGTTTTGCAGGACAACCATCTGGTGCATAATGTACAACGAAATCACCATTTATATATCGGGATGGGAAAGTATTAAAAGTACGATCATCTTGGTCTAAAAATAACGTCTAAAATTTAAACATTAGATTAATCTTTTTAATTACGATAATAATAATGATAAAGCAAAAATTATAATTTTCAACTTACTCCAGGTGCCCATTCTGGTTCTTGCATAAGATCCCACATAGCACGTTGTTCATACATATGTCCCAAATAAAGATCTCTTCGCTTTTGTGTAAGTCTCAAAAAATCTCGACTCCATTCAGAATTTCTCATTATAAATACTCCAGCATTAATCATTTTATCGTTAACTGGTCTTGCAACAATCAAATGTTTCTTATCAAACTGTTCCTGTCCACCAGCTTTTTCAATAAATTGATCAATAAGTTTCTCAACCGTTATAGAATAATTCATGATTACAGTATCCATATCAAGCCAGAATATCCAGTCATAATGCGGAAGTACTTTTTCAATAGCATCAAATTTGCCCCAAACAGTTTTACGTAGTTTATAAGTTTGTTGAGCAAATTCGGCGGATCTTCCTACGAAAGAGTATCCATGTTTTTTAGCATAATCGCGTTTATTCTCACCCGTCAAACGAGCTGCGGGAAGCATACAAAGATTATCATAAACGAAACTGCTAGTTATTACAGCAATATTTAACTTATTTGGATCATTTCTAGGATGACAAATTAAAGTTTTGGGGATGGAAAGATGCTCAAACAAATCCCTTATATCTTCTTCCAGGAATATATGACCAACAGCTATAGTTTTTTCAATTGAAACATTTTCTACAGCGTTTGGAAATTCTATAATTCCAACGTCATCATTTACAAGATATAATCCGCTATCATCAGGATATGCTTGGTAATATTGGAAAGCTCGTGTAATCGTGTTTGTGAAGTTTGAGTCAATAACTTTAATACTATTTTTTGAGTCAATAATAGGAGCAACAGCATCACGACCAAGAATAATGGCCATGTCATCAGCATCTAACGTCATAAATGAACCCCAAACAAGTGTGCGTTTTTGAGTTTGTGTTAATATACTTCCGTGAATGGATGATTCTTCCAAGGCTTGTTGGAGCTTTTCAAGATTTATAAGAGTTTTGTCATTGATAATTACGAGATAATTATAAGTAATGCCTTGTTTGCCAAGATCTTGTGCCTATAATAATTAATTGTATAATAAAAAAAAAAAAAATTTATCAATTAATAACCACGATTATTGATTATCATAATTATCAATAATTTTACATACCCATTGGAGAATGGATTCTTGAAATTTTTGACCGCTGATATTTGGAAATTCTTTAATGTCATCATATTCAACGAATTCGGCAGTAAAATCTCTTAATGTACCTTTGTCTACACTTTTATACGGTTTTATTAAAAACTTATAATAAACGTTACCATCCTGGACCATACATGGTTCCAAATTATTCTTGATACCAAAAAATGCTTCTCTTAAAAACCTCCTTTGACGTATATCACCTACTGTTGAAGCAATCGCAAACAATAAATTATAATGTCCTGAAGTGTTTGGAGCTCCGTCATCGCTACCTACGAAGGGTTTGTTCTTTTTCTCATCAGGAGAAACTTGAGAAGGTAAGTCTAGAATTTCGTCATTAAAAGTAAAGTCTTGAACTACATAGGGTGAAGACAGCAGAAAAATAAGAAATGCTATAAGAAATGCCGCTACGTATATGTTTATTTTACGAAAGTGATATACGGGCATCGTTACTGTCTTTATTTAACCCTATTTGATTAATTTGTTAAAAGGAAACGAGAAAAAAAAAATATTTTTTTAAAAGACCGTTGTCCGAACACAGTAACTTTAAATGTTTAACTTCTTTCATTTATAAATAGGCAATCCCTGCCGATGCACAACTTTAATATTTTGAGGACGTACTTAAATTAGGATTTTATTATGGTAATAAAATGGTAATAAAATAAAAATCAGAAAACGTGATAAGATCCAATAATAGACAAGAAATAATTTTAGTTAAACGAGTTTAACGGAAAAAAGGTAATCCCGTATATACAGTAAATATAATAGTGATTATGAGTTCTAAGAATAATGTATTATTGTATAAAAAAAAAATTTAGATGTTATATGTGCTACGTATCTTCAACGATGGATTTTACAAATTCTAGTTTAATTATTCAACGATTAGAAAATTGTTCTAATGATCCTTTAAATAATTTAGATAATATAGTGAATCATTTGAAGCGGATTATTTATGCAACTCAAAGTAATTTAGCGTATAGGTGAATTAATTAATATCCATAAATATTAACATCGATTATTATTAATTGATATTTCGTTCCTTAGAGAGACTTTAGGACAAGAATCTCAGTTCTGGATAGTTACAACAAAACTTTGGGACTGGACAAGTGAAAGGTTGTTAAAAGACGAACTTTCCGTTTTGCCTATAATATCAGAGTTAGTTCGACTTTTTCGGAATATTGTAGCAGCAGTTTTAGAAAATCAAAATCAAGCCTTGTATGTCTTGCTTTCAATTTTATAATAAAATTTAAATTTAATTATTAAATTATACTTTCTCTAAGGAACCAAAAATGGAATGAAATTACAGAGAAAATTTTATGGTATTCCATGCTAAAATTTGATGATAATAGATGTATGTATAAGAAAATAGATCAAAATTTTATTATTGGATTGACAATAATTTGAATTTGGCGTAAAGTCGTTCCGATATTAAGGTTTGGATCGCAAGCATTATCCAATGTTATAACAGGGAACGTTGATGCTCAGGAAATTATTTGGTCAGATTTTATGAATCGAACTGAACCTAATGATATTTTAAGGTATTGAATAAATAATCTTGTACATATCAAATAATTTCAAGAAATCTCTTATACAAGTGACTTGTTATAATATACAGTACGCTTGTTAATTGTGAAGACTGTGTTGTGTTAACGAGTGTTTTAGTCCTCGTGTATAATTGCATACATGAAAACGAATTCCGAAGGTAAAACTATAAATAAGATCTATTTCTTCATAATAAAATGTTAACTAAAATTCTTCTTTTTCTTGAAGTAAGACTTTAATCGAGTCACATTCGGGCATACGTTTTTTAAAACTTTTATTAGAGCGCGCAGATACTCTCCTTGAAGATGAAAGTTCCCAAAATTTTGAACTAATGTATTGTCATTTTTTTTTGAATTGCAAAAGAATTAGTATTTATGAACTCAGTTATAAATCATTATTATATACAGGTACGCATTAATTTCACGTTTAATAGACTTTGGTTTTTTCCCATCACTTTATGATTCATTAAATCACCCATCAATGTAAGAATCAAATTTAATTATAATACTTTGAGAATAACAACGTTCTTAGATCATATTTTCTTATATTTTTAGACAGGTTCCAACACGACACCAAATTATACTTCTAAAAATTCTTGATTCGGGTTTTTTTTCATCATCCTTAAAGATCAATGAAACTTCTATTTCCTTATGCACTCGTATCGTAAAAGGCTTCAACTCAATTTGCCCTCGAGTAATATACATAATGCAACAAGCTGAGAATAATTCCGTAGTGATGGAGAATTCTCATTTATTATATACCGCATTAGTATTATTTCTGCAATGCATTGGAAAATTGAGTCAGGAAGGAGATAGAGAAATGTGCGAGTGTTTGTTTAAAGAAGGGATTATAACTTCTAGTATTTGTAAGTTTATTTATTTATATTATTTATATAAAAAAAATTAATATAAAGTTTCTATTTAATATTCTGTTAGCACTTTTGTTTCAAGCAGACAAGACACTTCCACGTATGACTAACGCAACAACCCTTGTGACACAAACACATCAGCAGGCCTCTTCGGATTTCAAATTTGTCAAAAGAGACATTGTCAAAATAATAGGAAATATGGCTTATGAAAACAAGATCGTTCAAGATGAAGTTCGTGAGTTAGGTGGAATTCCTTTAATATTAAATCAATGCAATATTGATGACAATAATCCATGTGAGAATCATAGTTTAGAATATTTCATTATCTTTTAAAATTCTCATTAAACAATGTATGCACATTATAGATATTCGGGAATATGCAATCTTTGCTTTACGAAATCTTTTAATTAATAATCCCGAGAATCAAAAACTTGTTGAACAGCTTACACCAATCGAAACAGTACAACATCCGGCCCTACAAGATGTTGGTATTATGACAGAACTTGGACAAGATGGAAAAATAAAATTTTCGATTGACCCATCAAAAAATGGCCGAAAATAAAATTATTATATTATATATAGGGTTTTGTCAAAAAAAAAATGTAACAAATACTGATTTGATATTAAATATTAGATAAAGTTACTTGATTACCAACTATTATGAACTATATTGTGGTTCGTTTACTAGTTTCCCTACATATTCATATTTTGATGCAAAATGACTATGCCATTCTTTAAGACTATTTAATTCTTCCGAATCCAAATCTTCCAAAGTGTCGAGAGGTTGATCAATTGGAGTAAGTACATCCATCTCAAAAGAATTTTTAGCTAATCCACGAGAAGCATCACGTCCAGCAAAATTTCCGTAAGGGCCGTCTATAGAAAATCTGTTAATATCAAAATGTTTATGAAAAATTTATAAATATTGAAATTGTATATACCTGGACCATAAAAGTTGCGCCCCCTAGATACATCATAGACTTTACCACAAACGCCCATGTAAATTTTTGTTTGTGGAGTTCTTCCGTCGTATTCCCTTAGCTGTTTTGGTGTATATTCTCTGAAGATAGTTGTCTCGGGATGTTTTGCAATTGGTAATTGATAAGGTGGCGGTGTAAAATAAGAATAAACGACATAAATAAGAAAACTTGAAAGAAACCAGTTTAGAGGGTTTTCTTGAAGCTGAGTTAATAGTGATTCAGTAAGTGTTGTCATTTTACAATTTAGAAATTTAAAAATTGTTTGTCTTACAAAAAGAGAGGAATAGGCAAATTTTATACTGAACAGCCAGTTTGTTAGTAAATCCATAAAATTAGTGATAAAAAAAAGATTCTAAGCAGCTAAGCCATTTATAACGATATGGATATTATGATTTAAAAAAAAAAGGGTTAGGCTTTTGCTTTTATAGTGGTTCCTGTAACGCCCCAAGCAATAATGAAATTATTCGTCTAAATATAGCTAAGAGTTGCATATATCCACTTTTCACTATAATTGTTAATTTTATCAAGATAATTTTTTTAATTAACATTTATTATTTTCAATAAAAATACTTTTTCTAAATTCTTTATAAAGTAAAGATAACAATTGATTTTCCTTAACAATAATTTAAAACTATCACATTCGTGTTTATATCACTATTATATATGATAATTTTATTGAAAATCTGTGCATAAATAATATATTGACAAATTAAACATAACCCTTTACAGTTTTATATAAATATAAACAAACGTTAAAAAAAAAGAAACTCTATCGACCGTAACAATAAAGTTTCAAAATTAAAAATTGGTTTCTTTTTTTTTACCTAAAACTGAACTTTCAGGTCTTTTCCCGATATTTTTAGTAAATTTTTATTTCCGTAATAAATTTTTTTTTTTAAATCCGAATGAGACTTGCAGCCGATTAAGACTTATAGGAAACAACAATATGAGACTGCGCAGATTTGCTTTCACTCCTGTGTGCTCATTTTTATTGTGGGCGCTTATCATTTGCTTTTTCCTTGTTTTTCCTTATGCTAAGTCCCGGCTTGACTCTAAGGAACTTATACAACTTCGAACACCTTTTTACAAACGTATAGTTGGAGTCAATGCTCTTCCTCCTAAACTTAATCTAAGCCCCATTAATTTAGTGCTAATTTCAACACTGGATGGCAACCTGCACGGTGTCGACCGGTATACTGGTCAAGTTTTGTGGAGTCTAGAAGGTGTCGCGGATGGTTCTCTTATTAGAACGTATACGCGTTCTTCGTCTTCTAAACAGCAAAATGTCACAAGTAATAAGGAAGAAAATACCAACATTATGGGGGATAAAGAGAATGATGTCAATATTGACATGAGTTCTCAGAAACAGAAACAGGATCAAAATTATTCCGGGGATCTACATGATGATTCTCAACTCACAAAATTAAAGGATGATGTTGAAGAAGATGATGATTCTGATCGAGAAATTACTTACATTATTGAACCAACCAATGATGGTACATTATACTTATTTTCTCCAAAGACTGGTCTGCAGGTAAATGAATTCCCGATAATATTCTATTATTATTAGATCTTTACTACTTTATTTTGTTTGAACTATTTCCTGGAATACTCTTATTGTTATTTTGAAGGATATCTAAGGTTTACATTTTTATTATTAAGACATTATTATTGAATGACTGTTAATTAAACGAAAAATAGAAATTTCCATATACCGTTAAACAACTCGTTATGACTTCACCATTTCGCTCTGCTGATGGTAAAATATTCATTGTTGGTAGTAAATCAACAAAATTCTTTGCCATTGATCCTACTACCGGAAAAATACTTCAATTTTTCAGTAGTGACGGTGATGAGAATGAATGTCCATCTATGGGGTCATTGCTTAGAGACGCTATATTTATAGGAGTTAATGGTAATTATATAACGTTATAATATAAAACATAATAACAATTGGATTATATACAAACTTTCATGTTTAATTTATTAAATAGCGTATAAAATATCTATCTTTGAACGTGGCGTATTGAAATGGAACACTACTTATACCGAATATGTACCACATAGTTTTGATACAAACATCGAGCATTTGCACAAAACGTCACCCGATGGCCTTTATATTGCATCAACTCATAATGGAGAAGTTCTTTCTACGGATTCTTCATCTGGTAATTTTCATTTAATTTCGATTTTATTTACGATTAATCTCTTTTTTTTTAAAAAAAAAATATCAGTTAACCGTTTATGAATAAATTCTCTCTCTTTATAAGGTCAACATGCTTGGTATCATAAATTTCCTTCTCCGGCTGTTAATGTGTTTGACGTATTGGCATCAAAAGACCTACCAAGTGGTTTACATATTGTAAGGCAACCACGACCTTCTATCAAATACCATGAACATTTAAAAAAGTTACACCCTCCTCCCCAATTAGCCGCATATATTGGTGACATTGACGGCACATTATTTGCCATGTCTGTTGAGAATTATCCATTGACACAATTCATCGCTGACTCTATATGGTTCGATTATTATAACAAAAGGATTTCTAGTGATAAAGAATCGCAAGAAAATAGAGCACGTTGCCGTCCTGGATCCAGTATATATCCAGCATGTTTAATTGGGAAGCATAATTTGGTTATTGGAGAACAACGTCCAAGCATTGAAGGCCCTCGTACCGAAAAAAGCCGTAATAATTTCATATTAGAACCAGGAGCAAGATCTATAGCGCAAATTAGTTTTTCTTGGGCCTTGTTTTTTATTGTCATTGCTTGTATTATATATTGGAATAAAACACAAAAGAATGGAAATAGACCTTTCTTCGAAAAAAATTTGCTATCTTTTTTAGAGTTTAAAACACAAACCGCTAACGATGGTGTTCCTATAAATAATGGGATGAAAGAAATCTTTAACACAAAGAATAATAACAAGAAAGAAATTGGAAAGAAGAAAAAGAAAAATAATAAAAATCCAACTGTAAATACTAAAAAAGTCGAGTTAAAAGATGAGGAAAAAGGAAAAGTTTCTTCCACAAAAGTTCAATTTGCTAAAGAGGTATTACAAAAAACAGAAGTACCTGCGGATATTCCACTTATAAATTCGTCACCAACTATAAGTGTTGTCACTTCACCTGAACAAAATAATAATGTTATTGCCAACGCTAATGGCGAAATGAAATTGAATTCGTTGGTGGTATCTGATACAATTTTAGGTAATAATTAAGGTATTTATTAAACTTTTTTTTTTTGTGAAGATGATTATTGACTATCTCTTTCCTATTAAATAGGATACGGGAGTCATGGTACAATTGTATATAAAGGAACATTTGAAGGGCGTGATGTTGCAGTTAAACGGTTGTTACTTGATTTTTATGATATAGCGCACCATGAAGTGTCACTTCTTCAAGAAAGTGACGATCATCCAAATGTAATTAGATATTATTGTAAAGAACAATGTGATAGGTTTCTATACATCGCTCTTGAACTTTGTCCGGCATCATTATACGATTTAGTTGAAAGAGGCTCAACATTTCAGTATGCAGATTTGTTGACAACATTACATCCTTCTAAAATTCTTTATCAAATTGTTGCTGGTTTACATCATTTACATTCAATGAAAATTGTACATCGAGATATAAAACCACAGAACATTTTAATAGCACCATCAAAGCATAAAAAATTTTCCAAAAAAGATGGAGTTATTCAACAAACCTCTTCCGTGAGGGTATTAATTTCAGATTTCGGATTATGTAAAAAGTTGGAGGGAGATTCTAGTAGTTTTCATAATACAACAAACAATGCAGGTGGTACTATTGGTTGGCGAGCACCGGAATTGCTGTCATCATCGGTTCCACCATCCCCGGATGGAAATAATAATATTATTGAATCAGTTTGGACATCTGTAGATCGATTAAATGATAATTCATTTACTTCATCATCTACAGGATCAGAATATGATAATGGACAGCCACGTAGAGTTACAAAAGCAATAGATATTTTTTCGGCAGGATGTTTATTTTACTATGTATTATCAGGAGGAGATCATCCGTTTGGAGATCGTTATTCTAGAGAAATTAATATTTTAAAAGGAGTTTACGAATTATCAAAATTGGACGGAATGGGGGAGGAAGGTATTGAGGCGAAAGATTTAATAATGAGAATGATAGAACGAGATCCCAAAAAACGGTATGTCATATTTAATTTAGATGTATAACAAAATAATAATTTGATAAATTTTTAAAAATATATTTTGTTTTTAGACCAAAAGCGGAAATTGTTATGTTACATCCGTATTTCTGGTCACCGTCTAAGCGTCTTGGATTTCTTCAAGACGCGTCTGATCGGTTTGAAATAGAGGAAAGAGATCCTCCCTCACCATTGCTTCAACGATTAGAACAAGGTGCAGTTGATATTATAGGACCAGATTGGTATAAGCGAATTGATAGAATAGTAGTTGAAAATTTAGGAAAATATCGAAAATACGACGGTTCAAGAGTAAGAGATTTATTAAGAGCACTAAGAAATAAGGTTTTTATAATTTGTTTATATATAATTAATTATTTTAATTATTTTGAAAATTTCTCTATATTTATTTAATATTTACTAATTCTTTACAGAAACATCATTACCAAGATCTTCCTGATCATGTTAAAAGGTCCTTAGGTGAAATTCCGGATGGGTTTCTTTTCTATTTTACATCAAGATTTCCTCAGTTGATGCTACATGTATATTACGTGATTGCTGAATCGGAAACATTAAAAGATGAAAGCATGTTTAGACATTATTTTGAATTACCCGGAGAAGTTTAATGATTATTTTTAGTAGAGAAAATTTATAGCTATTAGATACGCGATAAATTTTATTTATCGTTTAAAATTTTGTAAAAAAAATTTTTATGTAATATATCAACCTCAAAAATATTAAAACAATAAAATCAATTTCAAATTAAATAATGATAAAAAATCATATTGGGTAACTTTGTAAAATTCCGAAGCAAATTTAATTAGTCGTTGTTACATGAACAGATTTTTTTATTTTTGACCCTTTTTCCACATATCATATCTGAGTCCAAAGTAATTAATTAAAGAAAAGAAAAGAAAAGATAAACTAATAGAAAGTTGAAGGACGTTTGGCCAAAAATGTAGTCTTCGATTTTTGTACACGATGAGGAAGAGGGAATTTGATATTAGGTTCAAGTAACTGTTTGATATATGGACGTCTCACCTAAAATAATAATATAAAAATAAGAAAAGAAATATATCAAAAGAATTACATAGGGAAAAAGTTATAGACGTTAATTACTTGGTTAGTCTTCAATTCTGCGACACGCATAATTTGAATTGAAGAAAATCGAGCACGATGACGGGCAGCCATATCTTGATCTAGTATTTTAAAAAGAAAGTAAAATTTTGTAAAGTAATCCTAAAATAAATTTATATTAAATGTGATAACTTACAACAGGAATGAACAGCATCAGTTCTAAATTAAAATTGAGAATAATGATATAGTTAGTATAAAAAAGATAAATTACATTTATTTATTGAATTAAAAAAAATATATATATATAACCTGGTCAATTCCCGATATTCTTTGTACATATTATGCGTGCCAGAACGGGAATCATACCGGAGCCATATACCGAAATTCTTAATTAGTAAAGGTCTCTTTTCAAAGATCTAAATCATATAATGTTATCTTAATCAATCGTTTAAAAAGTTTCTCTTGATTTTAAAAGATAATTAGTTAATATATACCTCATTGATGGATACAATTTCGCCAGCAGCTTTTTTCACTTTTTTGAGCTTTTTAAGAAAATACCAAAACCTACTCTTCGCAACAACTTCATTAGGGGCGAAAAGTCTCATACGATAAAGTCTTGGAATAGTGTCCTTTACATTTGGAAGTTTACGGCCAATTACTTGATATTCGTGCAACTATTAGTAAAGAAAAAAAAAAATGGAATACTTATTCCTAATAAAAATTATCGGTAAATGTTTATGTTATTATTAACTTACTCTACCCATATTAGCGATGGATAATGGATGTAATGAAGAGAGAATCAAAAAAATTTTTTTCGATAAAATAATAATAATAATCACGTGAGTTAACAAAAAGATATTTGTGTAATGATGATAATCCAAAAAACTCGGCTCCATTAAAGGAATTCATTTTTTTTTTATTATTATTTATTTAAGAAAGGGACAAAATGTTTACCCTTCGAGCTATTCGCCCTGTTGTGGTTAATACCACCCAGAGGTATGCATAAGTTGTATTTTTAGTATTATTTCCTTTAAAAAGAGACGTTCAATAATGAATTGATAAGCATGAGGTCTTTTTTTTGAAAATAAAATAAAAAAATTTAAATATTAATTAAACAAATTGGGTGGTTAAAAACATTGGCTTCAGTATTGGTTATCAAAATCGTAATTATGCTACTCTAAAAGAAAGTAAGTGTGATATTACTAAATTTTTCTTTAAAAACAATTTACGAATAAATGATTAATTTAAGGTATTTGATTAGTTCAATTACGGTTAAAATCGATTAACAGTATTGCAAAGGTCTCTCTCTTTTTTAATTAACAAAATTAAAAATCTCATGTTTGCATTGAAATTTGAATTTGATATTTAATATTTGAATTTGAACTAAAATTAGATTACAAAATCTATGAAGATGATTGCATCGACAAAAATGACTCGGTATGTTTTCGAGTTTTTCAAAGCGATTTATTGAAAAGTGTGCTCCAATATATGTTTATTTATTCAATTATGTTAAATTTTAAGAGCTCAAAAGGCAATGGAAATTGCAAGAGTATTTGGCACTACTCAAACTGGTGAGTATATGTATCTTTTATATTTTACTTTTACATTATAAAATTTTAAAATTAAACTAATTTAGTTTAATTTTATAGGACTTTTCACTTATGCCGATACGAAACCAACAGAAGGAGGAAATACTTTAGTTATTACAGTTTCATCAGATAGAGGACTTTGTGGTGGCATTCATAGTAGCGTATCAAAACGATCAAAAAAATTTATTGAAGAGAATCCAAGTTCTCAGATAATTGTTTTAGGTGATAAGGCAAAAGGTCAACTTCAACGTACTGTACGCGAAAATATTAAACTTTCTTTTAATCAAATTGGGAGATCTATTCCAACTTATAATGAAGCAAGTTCCATTGCTGATACTATTTTGAAAGAAAAAATTGATTTTGATCAAGCTGCTATTATATATAATTATTTTATTTCCGTTATATCTTATGAAGCGAAAATTATTCCTGCTTTTTCTGTATCAACATTTGCGAAATCTGGTAAGACTTCAGAGTTTGCTAATCTGTTTACAAGATTTTCTTTTTTTTAAAAAAAAATGAAATTTTTTTTTTGCAGGCAATTTTGATTCTTATGAAGTCGAAGATGATGTTTTAGAACATTTACAAGAATTTGCTTTTGCAAACTCAATTTATTGGGGTCTTGTTGAGGGTCATGCTGCTGAAATGGCTTCAAAACGAAGTGCTATGGAAAATGCTACCAAGAACGCTGGTGAAATCATTGAAAAACTTACAATGACTTATAATCGTGGTCGTCAAGCTGCTATTACTAATGAATTAGGTAAATATAGAAATGATTATTTATCTGCACTTCTTTTTATTAATCCACAAATTTATACAAAATTTTCATTAATGCCTTTATAGTCGATATCATAACTGGAGCGTCTGCTCTTTGATGAATCTATGGATTAATTATATATTAGAGATTTTGTAATACAATAAATTCTTTGTTTTTTTTAAAAAAAAATACAATTGGAGTTGTATTAGTTGTATTCTAATTGTAATGAAATTATTTACGCCATCATAATTATTATTAAATTTTAAAGCCACTCGTTTAAAGGAATCCCTTCTTGAGATCTAAGAAAACATTCATATTGGGAAGTTAGATATTCCTCCCTCTCTTTTTCATATCTTTCTCTGTCCTTTTTCGCTATATCTTCCCATATTTTCCTCTCAGAAAAAATCATTTGTTTCCATCTATCATTAATACTTTTGGTTAGTTCTGTTTGTCGAGTTTGAGAACCATGTTTATTCTTTCCATCAAATTTGACTGCCTTCCTGTAGTGTTCACATGCAGTTATGCAAGGCACAGGTACTTTGAGACCATATATTTCTTGTTGAAATTGTTGCGTGCTACGAGATTTATAAGAATTCGGTTCATTATGGTTTGCAATATTTACATTATTACGTGGTTGAAGCGGTGTGGTTGATTTTGATTTATTGTCCTTTTTATTTTCATGAACGTATAAATTCTCATTTTCCTTGCTGTAAGATGTAATAAAGAATTGAGTTTCAAGAGGTTTATTATGTTGCTTATCTAGTCGATCGGTTAGTATGTTTTCTTGAGGTGATGGCGTATCCAATTGTGTATCCAGAACTATTTTTTCACTAACAGAAAGATCCTTTTGGAACATAACTTCACTTTGACGTTGTGGAGTATCATTCGAAGATATTAGAGTCAATTCCTCATTCTCAATACTCTTTTCATCCTTTTTAGGTGGTTGTTTATAAGGTTCGCTATGGAAATATGAAGGAGTATGAGTCGATTCAATATATTGCGATTTTTTATGATTATTGTATGTGTGCATTAATCCTTGAAGATAACATTGATTTGATTCGTCTACTTCGGAATCATCAGTATTCAACAAAAAATCGTAGTCAGATGAACTATTATTATATTCAGTATTTGAAACAGAATTTTCATTGCTCTGAATATAACTTTCATGATCTTGTTCAACAATTTTTTCCCGTTGTTCTGGAGACATGTTATTCCAATCATTGAATAACCCTTTTTTAATGCTTTCGGGGTCCGTTTTAGGATAATATTGCAACATTTTTGGTGTGTTATCAATAATATGATGTGCAAGTTCAGATGAGAGTTTTTTAGGTAGGTTGTTTGACGCTGTAGAAGGAGAATTAGTATATAAATCATATTTATATGATTTTTGTGTACAAATATTACGATCATCTATTTCTGACACTTCTTCATCGCTATCTTGTTCATCATAATCGCTTTCGCTATAATATGAAAGGTGCCTTGATTTTTTGTGTTGGCGATCATTTATCTCGGAATTTTCACGACGGGTCCCTTTCAATTTATTAGCTAACTCTTTTATGTGTTCAAGATGCGCGTTCTTTTCGTACTTTTTTGATAAAACGCAGGATTTTAATATAAACAGGTGAATAACATAAACTTCAAAATACTATCTAACCTCGCTGAGACACTTCCAATTCAATTCTTTTGCTCTTTCGGCATATTCATTTTTCTTTTCCTAAATAAAGTTAGCGTTAGTATGTGAAACATGAAATAAAATATAAATAAACATACCTCAGAAAAACTTTTCCAACTATTAGTAATGGTTATGGAAAGTTCCTTCGCAGATATATTAGGACACTTTTCCAAAATTTCAAGCCTTTGCTCGTCGTTGTGAAGTAAATAACCATAGACTGGTCTTTCTACGGTTTCTTCATAAGTAAGAGCAGAAGTTTCAGACAAATCCATTAAAAAGATAAAAGGAAAAAAACGAAAAGTTATTTGCGTGCACCAAAGACTTTATATACATTATATACATTATAAAATATACGGCCGATCATCGCGTTAAAAACTTACGCGTTTTTTTAACACGTGTGTAATAAATTTGGCCCGACATAAAATGATAACGTCACGAGTTCACGAGTTCACGAGTTCACGACAAACAAGTGAATAAGCGAACAGGATAACTTGAATTATTTATACACTTTACATTCGAATAAAAAAATACAAATTATTATCTGCATTCTTATGTAACTTTAGTGGGTAAATTTCTTAGAATACAACAATACAACCGAATATCAAGGGTATTTAACTAGAGTTGCGATCCGTCAATCCGTAAATAAACACATTTCAGCCATTTTATGAATATAGAAAGAATTTTTTTTTTGATATGAATTTCTATCAATACATAATATAATAAAAAAAAAAATTGTCTTCAAAAATAAAAGTAGATTGAAATTCATCCGGATCGGATGAAAAATCAATCCGTTTATTTTTAAACTACTAGATTGTGCATTGGATGCAGTCTTATAATATATAAAAAAATTTAATCTTTAGAACAATTTGAAAAAAGGTTCATTAATACTACGCCTACAATTAAATCTATGTATTCCTTGTCAAACCTCTCATTTCCAATAAGGAAATATACATGTTCTGCAAGGATCAAGATCCCAGGGGTAGGTCCCAGCGTTCGACTTTTAATTTTGTTTGCGAGCACCATTGACGTCCCGATCAAGCTCAGTTGAACAGCTGGGGCAACAGAATCCACCCATTTTTTGATGGATATATCCACAGTGCTCGCAAGTTTTACTAGTATTCTCCTCAGTACATAGAATTACTTGACACCATGGATGCTCACGAACCTTATGTAGAAGATATTGGCGGAATCAGAAGTGTGACCCCATTTGGCAAGTTTATGGTGGCAATCATTAATAAGACAACGGAATTTTTTATGTATACGAAGCATGACCCTGTGAAGCTTGTAGCATTTTCGTTTGTGTAATTTTCCATGAAAAGTGTCATGTTTGCTTTGAATTTTATCATATATGTGAGAAAGCCGATATTTTAGGAAGAAGTGTATACACTCCTTTAGATCTATTCCAATGTTTTGATAAAATTGGGATGGATTGTTGATGATCTTTCTTGAATGAAATTTAAATGACTTCTTTTTCGCAGCAAAATTTGATAGATGTACTTTTAGTAAATCATTCATTGCTTCGTCACAAATATCATAGGGAGTTTTAAGGACCCATTTAAATTCAGTGTTTTTGAAGTTTTTGGCATTAAGACATTTGCCTGCAGATCTTTTTTGTTCACTTGATGCCTTTTTTTACTGCAGTAAGACATCGGTTGTAAGTCCATTGGGCTGTTCCGTTTTCTGAGTTTTAATTGCTCTTCTTGTGTAGGAAAGAGACAGATACGGTGTGTCTTGAATCTTGGAAATTTTGATCTTTTTGGATTTGAATAGTTACTTGTCTTCTTCTTCTTCAGTTGTCAGCAAAGCATAATCCATTATGTCTTGCCATAAATATCATTATCACATTATGATTGAGAGTAAGTCTTCTGCGAGTTCTCCTACTTTATTGCTTTTGGCACTGACATCTGTACAAAATATCATGAGCTGAATGCCATTCTTTTTAAAGATCAATTCCATAAGCTTAAATCCAAAATGATACAATTGGTCCTTTTGGGTAACCACCACTTTCTTAATTCCCTTCTTGTGTATTTGTTTCAGAAGGGCAACAAAACCCCTATGTTTCCAGTTGAGTTCTAAACCAATATTGCTGATGATTTTATATTTTGGGTAATATTATTAAAGATTTGTGATCTGTTGTTTAAGGAGAATTCTGCTTACTTATAATAAGGTTACTGTCCTTTTATTAATGGTTTTTGTCTTAAATTCTATTGAGCTAAAAAGGAAAAAAATTATTTATAATAATGTAACATAAAATTTCCTAATCTGCAAAGAATTTTATATATGATTTTTACCTTAAGCCTGGGGTGATCTATTTTATAAGTAAGTGGGATTCTGTTTAAAGTCATTTTGCTGATACTTTAAACTGATTTTAGTATAATAGATCTTGATCTTTTGTATATTTGTGATTAAATATAGGCGTTTTCTACCAGATGTTTTATTGTTTTAACAATAGCAATCTTTTCATAATTATTCTTATAAAGTTTCAACTGAGATGTCATATGTTTCTTGAATTTTATTTGTGCTTTTGTAAGTATCCAATTGTAAAAAAGGCGGCTTTGTTAAAAAACAAGAACTACCTGATAGAATTGTGTTTATTAAAATCACTTTTCCTTATATTGATAATAAAACATGGTGATTTACACAAAACTGTATTAGTAATCAAGTAATTTATTTGTAATATGTAAGGTTGCTTGCCTAAACCTCTCCAAAATCTTATAATTAATTTCTCCAATATTTTACTATAGTTTTATTATAGTTTCGGCAAGGTTTCAGCAGTTTCAGCATTTATAATAAGTTTTGTCAGGTTTCACTTTTCTCCAGAGTTTTACCAACTTTTTAATAAGACTTTCATATAGTTTTGGCAAAGTTTTGCTATTTTGGCATTTCGCCAACTTGCCAAAATCCTCTAGTTTCTCCAGCAACCTTAGTAATATGAAAATTGTGGTTTATTCTAGAATTTGATTTTTTGTACCACAGTATGAGATATTAAATCAACATGCTTAGTAGGTAGGTCACCTGAATTAATCAAAGAATTTATAGCTCTTCTGGTAATTGTCGCGTTGTGTAGATGAATCAAGGGCTCACCAAGCTGATTTACGTTCATTAGATTCTAACCAATTTCTGGATTCTTTATAATAAAACCGATCAACCTAGGCAAATACTTAGAAAATTTAATAGTATTCTTGACCAGTAACTTCAAAATTTCCATTGATTTCATTCATCCCACCAAGTCGCCTTGCAGGCTTAACATCAGATGAGCCCACAATTCACCTGATGCCTCAATGGTGCAAGTGCTAGGGTTATCCCTCAGGTCTGTGCATCAGACAAGCTCAGTTTATCTGTGCCATTGTAGCTCGACCTGCAGACTTGAATTATATAGATCCCTATCATACCACTTCTTTCTTTGCATTTCTAAAAAAAAGCCCTTATCTTATAATTATCCAGCAAAGTCGTGCTATATCATATCTTGGTTTTGAGGGTATCAGCTAAAGTCTCAAAAGATATAAAGTAAACTTCTATTTCATTGAAATGTTTCCTCATTGAATTTCTCTAAAAACTCCCGAATATTCCATTTCGTAGGTTTCGATCGAAATATTTGTGCACTCCGTTAATTATACTCTGTAGACAACTCTGTACAGTATAAATTCAAGGAAACGTAATTTTTATGGTTAAATGTTACAATCATTTCCTAAATAAGGCTTTTTTGAACCAATCATATTTCGAATTCGCAAGAATATTTTTACTTTTTTTATACTAGGGCAATTTTAAGTGCTGGTCGGAACGGCGCAAAGCAAATGTAGTATATTCCAAAAATGCTGGATCAATTTTTTTTGAATTTTTCATAGAAATAAATGAGCACATGATTTTTATGACGGAAAAGGTTATGAAAAGCCCGTTTTGTGTAGCTTTAATTCTGTGGTAAATTTAATTAGGTAAAGCAGCGTGAGACATTGAATTTAGTATAAAAAGTAATTTAGAGTAGCATTGTACCATGATACATTGGTTTCATCAAATGTATCATTAGATTTTTGGTAATAGTTATGATAAAAGCTACAAAAACAACGGCGAGAATAAAAAACTCATCTTTTTTAGAGTAGAAATCCAAAAGAAGAGAGTTATACTGAAAAAGTTCCAAAGGTGTTCTTTGGAAAACACTTTTTAACAAATAATTATAGAAGTCCAAGAGACCTCTTTTTCCTTCCTTTTTATTTATATCGATTCTAACCTCCCCAAATCTATTATTTTCCGTTTTATTTTCTTTTAAAAAATAGTCAAAAATACAATATAATAATATATATAAATATGGCCGAATTTCATACAACATTCCTCATCCTCATCCAAGTTCTTATCTCGAAACCTCTTGCATCACTAACACTCCTCTCAATCATAATAATATCGTTAGCTTCTTATTATGCCGCTGACCCTTGGAAAAAACCAGAAGCTCGAGAAAAGGATCAAGAGTCAGGAAATGTAATACATTTAACAGCAAAACATGCGATCGGTTTTGGTGGAATAGCAAGTTTAGGTCTTCTCAGCATGTTCTTGTTTCCGAATGCAATCGGTAAATAAATTTTCGGGTTATGCTAGTGTGTATAATGTGTCTCTAACAATCTTTTATTTTTATAGTATATTTTAGTCTTGTATCTTTTGGGCTTGGTGGGTTTTTTGGATTACAGAGTGTTCTTGTAGCCGTTTCTAGAAAACTCGCCTTGCCACTTTCAGGTGGCTTTTTAGAAACCCTGCTGGCAGGTGGCATAGTGATTTGGTGGGTGCTTATAAGAAATAGCAGGTATGAATCCATATAGAGGCCATTTCAAGTTATCTCGTATGTCAAATTTGTATTAAACTTATTTAATTGTTATAGCGAAGCATGGATATTACAAAATTTTTTAGGAGGTAGAGCGATTTTATGTTGATCATTTGTTTATATGCAAATTCTGGAAATTTAATATTTTTTTGATAAATCATTTAGGTTTCGTAATAGCTTTGATGTTAAAAGTTCTCAAATTACCGGATTTACAGGTAAAAGTTTACCATTTCCATTTTATATTTGCTTTATGCAATATTGCATTTATTTTACTAACAAATATGTAAAATTTTTTTAGATATCATCGATTCTACTTCTTTCCGCTTTTTTTTATGATATATTTTGGGTTTTCATTTCGCCAAATTTCACATCAAATGGCAAATCGGTCATGGAATCCGCAGCAACAGGTTCCGGATTGACAGTGCATGAACAAGTGCCAATGGTATTTAGAATTCCGCTTAGAGATGATCCTTCATATGGATATGCTATGTTAGGATTTGGCGATATTATTTTACCTGGAATGTTTTTAACTTTGTTAAGAGAAGTTGACGTGAGGTTAAAAGCACACTGGATATCTTTAGTGCCTCAAAGCCCAATGCCTCTTAATATACCTACACCTATGGTTATAGTGGATAGTGTTGAAGGAGAAAGAACTGAAATAATTTTTGACGGAGGAGAAGAAAATAATTATTATTTTGAAAATAATAGTTTTGCTTTTAATCATTCAACAAATTGGAGAAAAAATAATTTATGGCATAGATCAGTTTCATCATTACCATCATTATGGACATATCATTTTACGGGGTTAATTGGTTATTTTATTGGGTTAGAAATGACTTTTATTGCAATGTTATTGACACAAATGGGACAACCTGCTTTATTATATCTTGTGCCTTCAATATTGTTACCGGTTCTTTTATTATCTTTAAAAAGAAAAGAATTTTATCTTATATGGTATGGCAGATTTTGGGAAAACGATGATGATGAAAATATGAATTATTTAAGTTTACCTCAACATGACGAGCAACAAGGTCTTATAAGACATGTATGACAATGAATATAAATTGGTTTCTCTTTATTAATATTTACAAAAAAAAAAAATAATTTTTTAATTAGTTTATTATATAAATATTATAATATTTATTCAATTCTCAATTCTTTTTGAGCAACCAAAATAATTTTAGTTTTTTCAAAAGAATTCTTTTAATGTGTATATTTTTCCTTTTCCCCCTTTTTCTACATATTTATTTTTTTTCCCTTAAATCAATTTTTTGTCATATTTATTACAGTGTAGTTTTCATCATTTATTTATTTGTTTGTTTTTTTCTTTTGCATCATTATTTACAAAAGAATATTGGCAAAAAAAAAAATTTTTAGTAATATATCAATCAATCCGTTAAAAATGTAAAAAAATGTTTTTTTTTTGAATTTAAATAAAACTTCGAACATGACAAAAAAAAGGGGTCCGTGAAAGTTTTTCCGATTGGTTAAATTTAAATATTATATATGTAAAGATGTTCGGAAAATCAATTTCTTTTATCCTTCGTAAAAACGAAAAAGAAAATGGAAGATAATGAAGATAAAGATAATAGAAATAGCAATAATATTAATCAACCGATTCAGTCACCTATTGAGTCAACTAATAAACAATATCAAATAGTAAGTTCCACTATCGTTGCTTCAACATTTGCGCATCGACTTCACGAGGACAGAAATAAGAACAAAAAATACACGGACAACAAATATCGAAAAGGAAATAATAATAATCGCTATAATCATTATAACAATCATTTACAACATAATCCTTCACTAAATTGTCTACAGAAACAACATTATCATCAAGATAACAAAAAAAGATTATTATATCAAGATTCTTTACAACAAAAAACAGAACTTATTTTTAGACCGGATACACCTTTTAATTTAATCGATTTTGTTGGAGGAGTAGATTATACTCCTACAAATGATGATGGAGTAATATTTAATCGTGTCGTAAAATTTTTTAGAGATTTAACTACAAATATTGAACAAGAAAAAAAAATATTGGATTTCAGTTTTTATCTTCAAGAAGACCAAGATCAAAGATTTTATGTTATAATAATTCCATCAGACCCTACACGACACTCACCCTATAAAACATTAAACTGTTTATCATGTGATTCAAATTCAGAAACAAACAGAATTTCAAGATTACCATACCCGACAACAACAAGAGAAGAGGTTTCTGTTCATCATAATTTATGGATAGATGCAAAAGCAAGACCAATGTTTATTATTACGCCAAAACGTCACATAGAACGTTTATCTGAATGTAATGATCAAGAAATCTTTTCAATGTTTTTATTAGCCATGCAAACTATTGAACAAGAAACTCGACTTTCAAATGCTAAGTGGAAAAATGTTAGATTTCTTAGAATGACTTTAAATCATGGTAACGCAAGAAATATTGAACATCTTCATTTAAAAATTAGAATAAGTCATAAGGATCTTAAACATTTTAAAAATTATTGGGATGAAGAAAAAAAGAATAATTTTAAAATTTTAGAAAGTGGTTTATATAAAAGAGATGAAAGATTAACTAAAATTTCTTAAGCATTAATAACTTAAAGAATGATTATAGAGAATCTTAGAATCTTAGAATCTTAACAAATTGTATATTATTATCATTGAACAAGTCATTAACTATAAATCGTATATTTATCACTTATACATTAAAGCGTTTAAATTTTTATGAAAATTATTTGTCTGCTTTCTTCAATGCGTTTTTATAAGCTCCTATGAGTGCTGCTAATTGGATAGTACTATTTCCACCTGTATTAAGATTATGTCTATTTTGTATATATATATAATTAAATACTTTTGTTAACAATTTAAATTCAAAAAAAACAAGATGTTGTAAAAAATACCCACTCAATTGATCGTAGATTTTTAAAGAAATAAGCCAATGCTTCACCAGAAAGGGGGAACTCATAAATTTTAAAATAATTAACCACTTCCGTTATAATATCATTCAAAGACATACTTAAATTTTCCATAAATATCTTAATCTCTATATATAAATGAGAAAAAAGTTAAAGGAAATGATTCATTTAACATATCTAATATCTTTCAATTACCTACTTGAATATGCTGTACTAAATTCATCATTTGCTAGAGAATTCATAATACTTTCCATATCATTTGGATGAGGGTACCCCGTGCAATTGTATATCACAGTTTCATCAATAACATCGCGTGAAGAACATGACTACTCAATCAAAATGAAAATTTTATAAAAAATTAATTTTAATAGAAATAATATAATTGAATTGAAAATTACCTGAAGAATATTTAACACTCTTCGCATATCACCTCCACACAGTTTCAACAGGGCTTGAATTCCATTTTCAGTGATGTTCACACTAAAAAGCAAGAATATAAAGATTGGACTCAGCCAATGCAAAAAAAAACCAAGAAATAATTCGTTTAAATATATTACTTTTCAGCCATTGCAATTTCTTCAATACGTGATCTAATTTGATCTTGTTTCAATGGTCTAAATCTGAATCTTGTACAACGCGATTGCAATGCTGGATTTAATCGTTGAACGTTGTTACAAATAAAACAAAACCGAACATTTTTCGCATAGTCTTCTACAACTTTTTTTTTAGAAAATGAATGAACGAATGAACAAATAAATTAATTGTTTTTATAACGGATGATAAACATAATAAGCTAAAACAAACTCCTTCTCAACGCATTTTGCGCTATGTTCGTCAATCCATCAGCTTCATCCAGAATAACTAATTTAAATTCGCTACCAGTACTTTGGTTAAAAATCATTTAATTTAGAAATTAATCATTATATAAACTGTAAAAACATTTTAAAAAAAAATTTTATTTATTACTTAATACCTAAATAATTTACGTGTAGAAGCAAATCCTTTAATATCCTCTCGAACCATATCTATACCTCTTTCATCAGATGCGTTTAACTTGAAAAAATAATTTAATTAATATTTATTGTAATTTAATAATTTATAATATAGCTACTTACTTCCATAACACTGGCATTCCAGTCTTTACCAAATAATTTTTTGGCGCAAGCTAATATTGTTGAAGTTTTCCCAGTACCAGGAGGACCGTAAAATAGTAAATGAGGAAATTGTCTTTCTTTGATGAATTTATCGACTAAATATAACAAATATTAATGTGAACGTATAATAATTAAATTCGCTATAAATCATACAACTTACGCGTTGAAGTAATATACTCGAGTGATATAAGATCCGATAAAGTATGTGGTCGGTATTTTTCCACCCTAATTTAAATAACGCATTCAAATCAATATATTAATTGCACTTACAGGTAAATATATAACAAATCTAAAATACCATGGTAAGTGCTCTTTGTCGTGTTTTGTCGGAAACGCTTTACCTTTGCCTTTATTTTTAGAAGGTAAAACGGGAAGCGTTTCTTCAGTGTCAATTTCGTTGTCTGACATCTTAATTACGTGAAAAATAATTACGTACGTGAAAAAGAAAGTATGTTTCGATCGGCATTTTCATAGCGTGTCTGCTTGATTATCAGAGTAAATCTAATTGGGCGATAAAAAACTAACTTCGACTAGGTAAAACGTGGTTGACAAATTATATAACTTCCTTTTTTGGGTTAAATCTTACTTTGATTTGTAAGTCTTCTTTTTTATTATATATATATAATTCTGATAGTTCACATTTTCATTTTAACTTGTTCGCAAATTATAAATATGTTGATCTACATAGTCAATACTTTGAAAGTCTTGGCTAATATTTTCCTTTATCTTGTAATAGTGGTTGCTCTTATTGCTTTAGGTATGATTTACCCTAATTCTCGATTTGCTTTAGCGAAATAAATAAATTAATTTGCTGCATTTCTCAAAATTACGAAATAGCATGGATTATTCTTTGGAAATTGATTCTTAATCAAGTTAGCTTTATCCGTGAAATTGCAGGACTTCCAAAACTCAGTAACAACAAACTACCTCAACAACAAACATTACATAGTCCAAAGAAAAGACGTCAATCTTCAGTATCATTATCCACGACGCATAGTAGACAACAATCAATAACTTCAACACATAGTAAACAACAATCAATTTCTTCAACAACATATGGTAGACATTCTACGCCATCACATAATAGACAGCAATCAATTCAACATAATAATATTAATACAAATAATCCAATAATTCATCAAAGAACATTTTCGGCATCAAATCAAGGTGGTGGAAGTGTGTCAATGAGCAGGAGAATTTCTTCTTCAACTAATAAAACTTATCAATCACAGGATGATATAGCTCATAAAAATTATCACCATACAAAGAGCGATAGTAGAACTTCTATCAAAAGTTCTTCAAACAAAATTTTACCTATTGAAAATGATGAAAATTTAAATTTTGAAGAAGGTTATATTTCTTAATTGTTATATTAATAATTTTTATAATAATAGTTAATTTGCGATATAGATGATCAATAAGGTATAATTAGAAAACTTTATTGTTACTAGCACAATTGTAGAATATTTCCATAAAAGCATAGCAATATATTTATATGTAGTAAGGAATGACACTCCTAAAATATTATTCTCCAGAATGTTTTTAGAATAATATAAATTGTATATATTTTTCAGTATATAGGATTTTATAATTATTATTTATTACCTTATTAAGTTAATTAAAATCATGATTTCATCCCAAAATTTCTTTCTCATAGCTATCTTTAAGCTAACAAAAAGGCTTTGCTCTAATTCTTATAAATAATACAAGTAAAATACAAAACCACTAATAATAATTTAAAATGGCTCTTTTATTTTTTAAATATTTTACCAAAAGTCTTGAGGGAATCCACTGAATTCGGCAATATCGTCTACTTTACCTCCTGCTGAAGTATCGTACACAATTCTTAATTTTAACCGAACATTCACCTAACAAATAGACGTAAATTAATTTATTTGATTAATTCTAAATAGAATAATAAACAATATATACCCTTTGTGGGTTAGCAACACGAATTGTTTGCGTTACAATAGCACCGGGTGCAATAGTTGTCGAAGACGGTGGTTGCATTTGTAATCTCTGTGTCTATGATAAAATAAATATATTAGACAAAATTGTTTATGTATATTATATACAAATGATATCATATCTACCTTTGGAACTGCAGCTTGAAATAATAGATTTTGCACATCCGATCCAACTCCAACATTATGGAAAGTAACATTAATGTTAAGAATATTAGGATTATTTTGATCCTTGAAAGGTGAAAGACCGATTTTAAATCCATTTTTATTATATGCTACAAATTGTTCTATAAATAGTGTCTTTATGTTAGATTTATTTAGATTATTATTAAGTGAAGTTGTGAAATTAAGATACCTGGAGCGTTCGTCTCTGTTGGTGGAGATATAGCTGTTGATAGTTTAGTCGAACCCAAATCCATTAGACTATCTAAAGGGTTTACTGTTTGTGTATTTTGAGACGGGGCGATTTGTTTAATAGAAGATAAACCAAGAAGATTCTCATTTGTTGAAGGTAGTGAAGTTGTTATTAAATCATCCAAAGGATTTGCAGATGGCGTGTTTTCTATTAAATTAGGTGAAGTAGTAGTTGTTGGGCCAGTATTGAAAAGACTCATAATATCATCTTTTGGATTTGACCGAGATGGCGTCAAATTATCAGTAGTATCTGATGGTCCACTACCAAAAATAGTTGCTAAAATATCCACTGTATTCTGAGAATTTTCAGAAGCATTAACTTTTTTAACATCAGTTGCGATACTGTCACCATCAAGGTCCAAAAGCGACTGTAGTGTAAGCAACGATTGAATAACTTAATAAAATTGAATATCTAGTAAAATTAATAAAATTTAAAAATAACAATAATACTTACACCACCACCACCACCACCACCAGAAGAAAAATCATCGGCTTTATAAAAAGGTCGAAAAAGGAACAAATTATTAATAAATGCAATTTAAAAGATCAATTATTTATTATGAAAACTTACTTGGACGAGACGTTTCTTCTTTACTCTCTGGTATAGGTATTCTTTCCAAAACAGCTGGACGAATGTTGTCAAATTTAAATAAATTAGTATATTCGATAGCACGTTGCTGAATTTCTACTTCGATGCTAGTATTATATCTTTCAAGTATGGCTTGAATCCTTTGAATGACTGGCGTGGAGGTGAAACGTGATGTTAATTTCATGAGAGCAGTGAGAACGTATTCACGAGTAACTTGATTAGCATACGGTCCGGCCAAAATAGATTCAAAGAGATCGACAACATCCGGTTCAGTAACCTAATCAATAAAATTACTTCAGTTGTAAAAATGCATGTGATTACAAGATATTCAATTTTATAAACGAACCAACCTCTTTTACCAATTCTTCCTCCTCAAAACTACCGCCTTTTATCAATATATCGCCGTATTCACCAATTACCCAAACACTAGCTAATGTCAAGGATTCCTATAAAGTGCAATATTTTATATTAGAAAAATTTCCAATTTTATTGATAAATCATTATTTATACCTGGGAAATATCTGCTTTTAATGCTGCATATAATTTTTGCACAGTATAAGCATTCAAATCCTTTGTTTGGGCAATAAGTCGGATGAAATTCGATAATATCTCTTCGCGTACATAGTTACCTGCCTATTCCCAATTGCATAATATTATAAGAATAGCATATGAAGAAAAGGTAAACTTAAATATAATACTTCACGCACCAACTTCAATACTCTTAAAACTGTGTCAATATGCCATCTTTTATTGGGCGCAAATCTAACAGACAATACAAAAGTATAATTAAGTTTAAAGGATTTAATTGACAAGAATGAGGAATGATTCTATCGTAAGTACCTATCAGCAGCTAAACAAATCTTTGTTGTCATTCCCTGTTTAAATTCATTATCAGCGACTTCCAAAAATGCGAGCAATTCTCGCGTTAATACTCTAACATTAGTCTCATTAATTAACGCAAATGAAAGTTCCAGTGCGCGTCGCCTTATTGAAATATCGCCATCCCTCAAACAATCAAGTATAATATTTCTATGACGTTGAACAGCATTTGTGTCTATTGATACTGTTTTATTTAGTGTTGTGAGTGCAACATATCTATAAATGGTATTACAAATTAGTTAAATCGATTTAAAATCAAATCATCTAATTGAAGTAAATACCTGATATTGTTATCTCTATTTGTTAAAAACTTGCCCAAAATATTTATAGCTAGCACACGAAGACCACTTTCTGATTGGATCTCCATGATTGTTAATACAGTTTCATACAAAATCGAATTTCCAACATTTTTTGACGATTCAGTATTCGTAGCCACCTTGAAGAGAAAATTTTTATTGATCTTCGCAATAGCAATTACTAAAAATAACATATTTTTTCTTTACTAACTTGAGCCAGGATATCATTCATTGCCTCACTTGCTTCAGCATCACCTTTACCCAAAATTCTCATCAACCTTAATATTTTGACCTGTAAAAATGGATCAGTGACACCAGTTACATCATGTTCCGGCGAGAATCCAGCAGAAACCAAGCTTTTCAAGTGACGAACTAACAATGGAACCGCCTATTATATATTCGTTAGTTTAATTTTCAAACATTTTCAATACCATTATCGAAATGTAATAACCTTTCGAAATGTAACCAATGTATCCGGATTTCTATGGCACATTTCAGTAATAAGAGTTGTTGCTGTAAGCAAAACTCCATGATTTCTGTCACTCAATAAGGATTTTGCTTTAGACAAGAAATTTTCTTGAAGTTCAGGAACTTTACGAATTATACGCATTGCGCATAATGCCGCCTTTTATATTATAAAGCAAGTTAATATCAGATCGAATAATATAAAAAGTAGCAGATTATCATAAAATACCTTCTTCCTAATATAAACATTTGAACTACCTAAGAGTTTTTCAACTTCTGCACATAAATCACGTGCCATCTCGGGAGAAGATATATTACCCAATGTACACAATGCTAAACCTACGATGTACATATTAGAGTGATTCATATCACTGTATTCGTAAAAACAATTTCGCGTTCAAGGAACAATATCTTATGATCATAGTCGATTTAGAGACTTTTTTCAAAAAGGATACTTTTTTAAAGAATTCGTTACCAAGGTTAACACTTCTTGGTTTTCATCCAACAAAAGCATGATTCCCAAGTATCCTAATCTCTTATCAGCAAATCTATTTGATGCTACTAATTTTAAGCATTCTATTTGACCAAAATGTGCTGGATAACCCAACATGTGAATATATAATAATTTAGCCACGTTAGAATGTCGAGCATCATTATTTTCTTCCTTGAAGCTAGTACGAATAGCTGCAGACTCTTTCTGGATTACCGCTCTTTCGTCAGCGGCAGTTTTACAAGCACGAATCGCTTTTATAAGATCTATGAAAAGTAATTAGAAACTTATTAAATACAGGGCAATAAGTCATTTCATTTACCTTTAAGTCGATAATATGGCATTTTAGTTATTTTTCGACCAAGATGAACGTGGCTTTTTTCAGTTTATAAAAAAAAATTCGGATCTTGAAATATGGCCGTTCATAATTGTATAATTTCATGGCCGAAATTTGGACTAATTCCAGTAGCCAAGATAATATCACGTGATTTAATCAAATTATACATATATGCTCGCCAATTGTTTAGCTTGTTTGATCTTAAATTTTCTCAAGCATGAGTAATATATATATTCAAGAACCACATACAAAGTAATTTTCATACAACAAATTATCACTAATTTGTTTTTCCAACATATATTTATTTTATTTAAATTTTTAGCGGTAAGGTCATTCTTCACACTACATCGGGAGATATCGCTATAGAACTTTTCTCGAAAGAAGCACCGAAAGCCTGTCGGAATTTTGTGCAGCTTGCATTAGAGAGTTACTTCGATAACACCATTTTTCACAGGTATGCCCTCAGCTCCTAATTTTGAATTTTAAGTTGATTTACACTATCTTGAATTCTTTAGAGTTGTCCCCGGTTTCATTATACAAGGCGGAGATCCAACTGGAACTGGACATGGTAACATTCAACATCAATAAACAAATTTATTATGCAGTTAATTTAATACCTTATTAATTATTAGGGGGTGAATCAATATACGGAGGTCCATTTGTTGACGAATTTCATACGAGGCTACGTTTTGTACGGCGTGGGCTTGTGGCGATGGCCAACGCTGGAAAAAATGACAATCGTAGTCAATTTTTCATTACGTTAGATAGAACCGATGAATTACAAAATATGCATACGATTTTTGGGAAAGTAGTTGGTGAAACTTTATTTAACGTGTTGAAAATTGGAGAACTCGAAATTGACGAGAATGAACGACCACTTTATCCGCCTAAAATAACTTCTACTGAGGTGGTTTGGAATCCTTTCGATGACATTATCCCTCGAATTACAGTTGCAGAAAAACTTGCCCAAGAAGCGGCTGCTGCCGCGATTGCTCAAAGAGAAGAAGAACAACCTCGGAAAAAGAAACTCAAAAAGTAAATAAATAATTTGAACGTAGCACGTACCTTGTTACTTTATTCAATGTTTTCTTCTTACCTAAAACATAGAAACGTTGCGTTGTTATCATTTGGGGATGAAGCGAGTGAATTTGAAGACAATCAGAATTTAAAAATAAAGAGCAGTCATGACTTAGTGGAAAATGATCCAAGGTTAAGTAAGGAAGTTTCTGTCAAGGAGTTTGAAATACAGAAAAGTGACCACTCAACTGAAGTAGGGAATGTAAGAAAATTAAAGTATATATTTAATTATGTTTTAACAAATTCTAAGATTAAATGTAAATTTTATAATATTAGGCTAACGTTGAACAATCGAAATTACAAGACAAAATGCATAATAATATCAACAAAAAGAATAAAAGTGATGATGACTTAGATGATAATGCTGACACTGCAGAAGAATTCGACCGAAAAATGAAGGAAAATATTAGACAGCAACAAGAATCGATGAAATTAAAGAAAGAAAGTAAATCGGCCCAATTATCTAAATCGTCGGTTGATTTTTTTAAAATTTTTATTCATAAATTCAATGATATTAATAATTCACAAATAATATAATCCAAATAATATATCAAAGATGAAAAGTTTTTCCTAATAATAAGTTTGGTTGTTTATGCCTTATAGGGAAACTATACGACAAGAAATTGAGCAAGTTAAACAAGACATTAAAAAATTGAATCGATCACGTGATGAAGAAGAGGATGAGCGTGCCAAAAAGAAAGCGAAGAAGTCTTTTGTGCAACTTGAAAGACAAAAATATTTATCTTCTGGCAAAGCAGCTTCTGGTAAAAGGAAAAAAGGGTCAGAAGCTGATGTAAGATCAATATTTTATATGAAAATTTTCCCATTAATTTTTTTTCTAAAAAAAAAAAATAATGTTTAATTAATAAATTTAGACGTTGGAAAAATTGAAATCTTTTCTAACAAAAATTGAAGCTGCGGTTCCATCTGAGACTGAGCCACCATTAAAAACTGAAGAAGATGCAGAGCCTTGTCTTCTTCACTCGGTACCAAATTGCTTATCATGCCGAGATACATTTGGAGAATCAAAAACTGATGAAACAGATGAGGGATGGTTAGCACATCGTCTTGTGTTTGAAAAAGATCATAAGGGTAAAGATTTGATGCAAAGAAGAGATGATCCGAATGATTATGTGGTTATCGATCCACTAGCACGTAAAAAGCAAGCCGTAGAAGAAGAAAAAGAGAAGAAGGCTCAAAAAGGTGGAATAAGTGAAGTATTCACAAAAGATAGGCATATAGATCGTGAAAGACATTCAGAACGTTATAGAGACAGCCATCGTGATTTAAATAGAGATCGAGGTAGAGGTAGAGATCGAGATAGAGATCGGGACAGAGATTGGGACAGAGATCGAGACAGAGATCGAGACAGAGATCGATACGCGTCTAGAGATTACGATAGGGAAAAATCACGGAGGAGATTGTGATTATAACTTCCATTAATGAATTAATGATTAACTATGCCAATTGGAATAAATGATGATGAATTTACAAAATACTAACATAAATTAAATGGTATTATACTTATTATGAATTTTACTAATATTAATAACATTAATTCGTGATCCACGAGTCAACTACAAAGGATCTGCAGAAAATGGGAGTCTGGCGTGGCGTCAAATAAAAATAAAAAATTATGTGAGAATTTATTTTAAAAAACTAAAATATGTTAGTATTGAATGGGTTCACATAAAGAGCATCACGAATTAAAGAATTATTTAAGAACTATCAGAACTTCATAGCTCCGCATAAGCTGAGCTGGTCACAGCTGGTCACGAACCAGCTTATATATATAAATATATTAAATAAATAAATGCAATTGTTACTATTTTAGACATTATTTTTATTCTATTTTTGGGTTTTGTTTTTTATCGCACCTGCTGACCTGCGTTATGTCGCACCCCTATAATATGTTACATATAAAAGTCAAAAATGATTTTAGAAAACATGTAGAGCGGTCAAAAATTAAGGTCTCACGCCAGGATTTTTTATAAAAATGGGAAATCTTTAACGAAGTCACGTGATCAAATGATCGACATAATTAATATATAAAATTACCAAAAAGGGGGGACCGTTAAAGCAGGTAGAATCACGTGACTTTCGAAATTTTTCTTTTTTTTAAATAAAACTCTTTATTATATATAAAACCTTCCAAATAAACATATATTAAGTGCATTTTGACCTGTTCTGCAAGTTTACTTAGAGCACAAAATGAGGTTTAGAACACCGTTTTCGATTTATTCAACTTTTTCAATTTCGTTAAAATTGATCTATCCTTTTTTGGGTATGATCAGCAAAATTCGTTTGCTCATATGTAAAGTCAAAAACATTGTTCTTTTTCCACCTTTTCTCCCTAAGTAAACTTGTGGAGCAGGCCGAAATACACTTATTTAATGATTTTCAAGTTCACTTTAATTTTAGTTTATAAAAAATTTATCAAATCATAATAATTTTAAATCACGTGATTCTACCCCGCTTTAACGGGCCCCAAAAAAGGAAGATGCGACATATCGCAGGTGAGAAAAAAAACATTATATGGACGAGGGGTGTACATAAGTTACCACTTAACCCCCAGCATACCGTAGAGTCGCCCCGCCCTTTATTTACTAAAAAGGCTTAGCCTGTCTATCGAGAAAGACAATCAAAAGAAGAATCCAAATTAAAAAAAAAAGAAAAGAATTATTCGAATTATAAAATCAAGAATCCACAAAAATATAGGACATCCAACCACCAGCGTGGAGGTAACATAGACGATTCAACATGGAGTGAAGTGTCTTTGATGTGGCATCTGTGGTCATGTTCGTTATGTTAGGATTAGTTTGTGTGCGCGTTCGTTTTGTTTGTAATAATTTTTTCGTGATATGCTTGCTTTTTTCCCAGTCTTTAAAAGCGTCATTATGAATTTGCCAAAGTATTTGGTTAAGCTAAATGTAATTGAAGTCTTAAAATTAATGATCACTATTTGTTGTGTAGCGAACTTTTTGATATATGAAAAAATAAAGTCAGTGCGGGATTGAAGGATTAATTGATGGAGAATCAGATATAAAGGCTCGTTCGTATTTGTCAAATTGCATAACGGAGGATTGGGATATTTGGATAAAGTTTGGGATAATGTTTTTGTAAGATATCCTCACTTGGCTGTTTGATCTATATCCGAATTACGGAAGTGTCTAAAAATAGGCTGTTTGTGTAAGAAGAAATTCGAAGTAGTGAATTCTTCGGTAATGTTTTCCTAATATCTCGATTAATAGGGCCGATATTGTCCTATATGGGTGTCATTAAAGCATCTAGGATTATTTTAGGTGATATGTAAATTAGGGTAGGTGTAAAAAAGTGGCAGCAATGTGAATGTTCTCAAATCTAAATCGTTTATCCGGTGATATTTAGCATCACATTGTCACGTGATATCCGCGTCCGCATTTTTTTATGAGAAACTTAACCTAGATCGGGGTTTAGACTTCTTATCCTAGACTTGGGGGTCTAGGGAGCTTTGATAATTAATTCCATAATCAGTAAATATATAAATTCTGAATTAAAATTGTAAAATCTATTAATTATATTATATCGTTACTAATACCCAACTGTAAATTACTATAACATCATTGCCGATCATTGCTGATCATTTCGTCATTTTTAAGTTTTTGAAGGCCATTATCGATCAATTTTTCTTTTTTGAAAATATTTTAAATCATGCACTTTAATTTTTTTTGCTTAATTTCAATTTTCCCTTCAACAATGAGATTCGATTTTGATTCGATTATCCCTATGAGAGTCCAGACCTCTTAATTTGATAATCTATCATTACACGTGATTAGAATCAATAAATTATTATTTAAAAAAAAATTAATTGTAAATAAATAGAAAATAACATTATTTAGTGATTTAATTATTTTAGAAATGGAAATATGGCTGAACAAACTACTTCAAGACGTTCATCAACAATAAAATCACCAACAACTCCACCTCTACAGGAGGATAATCCAATTTCACAAAAAGTTTCAAAAATTTTACTTAACCCAATAGATGATGTGAAAACAAAGATAGCATTAGAAGCTTTATCAGAATTCTATTCTAATAATAATAATAATTCTTTAATTATTCGTAGAAATTTAAGAGGAAATATTGAACAAAAAGCAATTGAAGCTAATAGAAATTTTTTAGAAATCTTTGGTAAAATTACAGAGGTAAATAAAGATGTATAATACTATGGTCTTAAATGTTTTTTTTAAAAAAAATTTTATCTTTTTTTAGCAATTAGCAGTAATTGAATCAGAAGTTAAATCTATGAATACTTTTTGTAATGAAATTGAAAAAAGTTTAGAATCTGCTAATAGACAAATTGCTGTATTATTAGAACAAAGTGATAGTTTGAAATCTCAAAGGTTAGTTAATAAATATCCTTATTTTTTATTATTTATGATTATAATAGTTTTTTTTTTTTGATTATTAGGGAAACATGTAAAACGAGGAAAATTTTAATAGATGCTTTTTTAAAAAGATTTACTCTTTCTGAAAAAGAAGTTACTGTAATAACATCACCTAATTCTATAATAGGACAAGAATTTTTTGATGCTTTGAAACATTTACAACAAATTCATGGGGATTGTGATACACTTTTAATAACTGAAAATCAAAGAGCTGGGTAAATAAATTATCTTTAGTTATTTAAATATTTATTTATTCAAGTTATATTTAATCTTTGTTTAAAAAAAATAGGCTGGAAATTATGGAAAGAATGAATTCTTATCAAGAAGTAGCATTTGATAAATTGTATAGATGGACACAAACTGAAACTAGAACCTTAGGTCAAGAGTCATTAGAAGTACCAATTACCATGAGACAGGCTTTAAAGGCTTTAAAACAACGGCCTGTTCTATTTCAGTATGTAGTGGATAGTTCATTGATCCTTTAAAATGAGTTATTAATTTTATCCATTCATTAATCAGGTCTTGTTTAGAAGAACTTGTTCATATCCGAAGAAATGCTGTTTCTAGAGCATTTATGGATGCCTTAGTAAGAGGAGGACAGGGAGGAACTCCCAAACCTATTGAAATACATTCGCATGATCCATTACGTTATGTGGGCGATATGTTGGCATGGGTACATCAAGCTGTTGCCGGTGAAAAAGAATTTTTGGAAAGTTTATTTGAACCAGAACCAAGTAAGCTTTTATTTTTCAAAAAATAATTAATTATTATTTTCGTTACTAAAATTTAAAAGTATTTTTATTTAGATTCAAATAATGAATTTATTCAAGAAGAAGTTATAGCAAGAGAGAGTGATGATATTATTATACAAGATTTGTTGGATCGAGATCTTGATGGAACTTGTCGTCCACTTATGGTAAGTTCTCTTATTTACAATGAAATAGTCTTTTGATCAAATGTTTAATAGAATTTCTTTTATAATATAGACACGTGTTGAGCAAGTTATTGGGTCTCAAATTGGAGCTATAACAGGATATAGAATTTTGAATTTAATTCAATTTTATAAAATTACAATTGCAAGAATTTTAGGACCTAATGCAAATTTATCTAACACTCTTGAAGAGTAAGAAGAAACTTAATATCTTTTATCATTAATTAATTGATAATTAATTGATTAACCTCTTTGTAGTATTACAGAAATTGCATCCAGGGTGTTTTTTAATATTCTAAATGCTCAAGCTGAACAGTTATTAAGATATATTCAAGTAATTATATAATTTTAAATTTAAAAATAATTTTTTTTATACTTACGTACAATTATTCATTTTAACTTTAGACGCCAAGTTCTGATTTATCTCCACCGCCAGCAGTAAAGGAAGTTGTATTGCAACTGGTAAATTAATTAATTTATCAAGATTATTTGATATGTTTAGCTCTAATTGTAAATAAAATTCCTGTAGAAAGCTATTATGGCATCATATGAGACTTCATTAATTACAGCATCAGAAAAGGAGAAAGATTTTAAATCAATATTAGATGCAATATTAGATCCTTTATTTCAAATGTGTGAATTAGGTGCAAAAGATTTAACTAAATTTAATCAAGCGATTTATATGGTTAATTGTCTCCATTATGTTCAGGTAAGTGTATAAACATATAAAATTTATTTGTCTATTCATGTATTTTTTTCTTTTTAGGAAAGTTTTTCTTTTCTTTTTTTTTTTAGTCTGCTTTAACTTTATATGCTTTTACTCATGGACGAGTTATGGATATTGAAAGAAGAATTGAAGAAAATTTGGAAATATTAGTTGATGAACAGGTTTGAAAATTTAATTAAAAAAAAAAAAATTTTATTATACTAATTTTATTATACTAATTTTTGGAAAATAATATTCCGTTACTTTAGTATGCAAATTTATTAAGACAATCTGGATTAAAACCTATTGTTCAAGCAATTGAAACAAAAGATGAAAAAGTATGTAATGAATTTTAAAAATTACTTCTGGATTTAATATTTTTATTTTAAAATTCTAATATATGCTAATTATCTTTTTAAAGACACCATTATCATTAGTACATAATATGAATGCAAAATCATTAGCAAATATAATGGCAAAGTTAGATTCATTTTTATCATTATCAGATAGTGATACATTTAAATTACAAGGTCACCCAAAGCCATTAGTTAAAAAAGTTAATCAAAGAGTAAGTAAATTGTTTATTGAAGCTTATAGAAAAGTTAATGATGCTATAAAAGATCCAAAAAATCGGTATGAATTTCCCAATACTATTTTAGTTAGAACTGTTGATGAAATTGAAAATATTTTATTGATTGATTAATACATAATATGATGATAAAGCGGTGTTTAATTAGCAAGATACCAGGATAAATGTAACTGGACTATGTTTTTTATGTGGAATCTTAATAGGTATAATAAGTATACCTTGGAATTTTGACTAGTAATAATATATGACTTACTTTGATTAATGGTAAAAAGAACGAAGATTCTTCAATTGATGAAAAAAAATCAATTATTTAATACTTTATTGGATGAATTAACTGATGCAGTTCTAAGAAATTTTTTTAAGCTTTTAAAAAAAAGTATTAAGTAATGTACAGTTGTCACTCAAATTCGAATTTTAATTTCATTTCGAATTATTACAATATCAACAATTAGTGTCAGTTAATTATTCATTCTAAACCCTTGTTTAATTAAAGAATTAGGATCTAAAATACCAACATTTAATTCCGAATTTGATATATTAATATTGCCTTTAACGTTTTACTTCTTTATCGCTTCGGACGAAATAAAATACAAATAAGATGCTAACAAAACAAGCTATTTCACTACAAGTTTCACCTTCAATTGGATCATTATCATGGTCACTAGGTTCTACAGTAATATACTGCAAATTATAATTATCAATTCTATCTTCCTAAAACTGTTTATTATTCTGAATCTCAGATCCTTCTATCAGCATAAGAAACCAACCACCAAGAAATTAATAAAGGAGAAAAAATAAGTAAATATAATAATAAAAAATCAACTAAATAACCTAAAATTGAAAAAATAAAACAGAAAAAAAATCTATAATTAAATCTATACAAAAAGTTGTAAAAAATAAAGGAAACTATTATACTATATAATTAACCTTTTGGTAATGCAAGTCAAAGTTTCATCAAAATTTTAATTTGCATTAAAAAAATTAGGTGAAAATTAGCTAAAACAAATTTTTACTGATTAGTTATATAAAATCAATTATTAGCCATTTCACTTCCTTTTATTTTCCTTTCTTTTTTATTTATTTATTTTTTTCTTATTCTTCCTCCTCTTCTTATTCTTCCTTTTCTTCTTACTTTCCTTTCCTTCTATTTTCTCTTTTCTTTTATTTTTCTCTTTTTTTTCTCATTTTTTTTTCTTATATCTTTATTTTTTTTAAAAAAAAATTATTAGTTAAATTATAATATAACTCTCATTTTTTCTTAATTGTAATAGGACCCAAACATATAACTTACAAATAAACTTTAAGTACTAAAATAAAAATACATTTTATGGCATAATTCTGTCAATATTGAAGTTAAAAATGTGATTTTACTATCATTAAAATCCTCTCATCAAGACAAATCCAATGATATAAATTTTATTAAAATTGAATTACTGGTTTTATTAAAAACAGGGGTATGTAGAATAACAAAAATTTGAAAATACCTTATAATATGCAACTTTTGAAAAATTTTAATATAAACTTTAAACAAACTCAAATGTGAGTTGTATTAGTATTACAATGCATTTGTCAATTTATTAAATTAATTAATTACAAATATTAAAAAGAAAATGACTAAACTGTAAAATGCCTTTATTTATATTTATCATCCAAAAGTCAGGTAAATTTCAAATAGAAGTAAAGATAATCATTAGTCTTACTAGTTCTACTTATTTTCAAGATTGCCAGTTTTAAAACCAGATTATGATCTTTTAGTTATTTTAGCTCTAACTGTTAATTTAAGCTAACCTTATTATAGTACTAGCCAAAATTACAAGTAAATATAATCATATAAAAAATTTTGTATTATAATATTAAAACTAGTAAAAAATTTTTATCTGATAGCTAAACTATTTATTTAAAATTACATAATTTCTATATTTAGTAATTGACCTAGGACTGAAAGATCACAAGATAGATTGGTCTGTTTTTTTGAAGTATAAAATCATTGGTGATTATCTTTAAATAGAAATCCACATTCATTACATAGGAACTATAATGCAGAATGTAAATGGTTGGACCAGGATCCCGAATATTACTAAAAAAACTCAGATCTGAATTTGTATAAACCTTATAATTAATTTCTGTTCCAAATGTATAAAGTTATATGTAAATTTTAGCCTCAAATTTTGCTATCTCGGGATCCAGTAATTGGATTTTAATGATCTTTGGCTTGTTAGATTCGTCTCAATGAGACGAACATTTTGATATATAATTCATATTTTTAAGTACAATATTAACTGAGATATCATATTTTGAAATTTTAGTTACACAGAATCTGAGTTGTTTTAGTAATGTTTGGGTCCTATTGGACCTAGTGTATCTACTTGGAATCAAATAGGAAATGTTATATGTATTACTATCTTAAAATATCAGAAGGGCTTTATTCTTTTCTTGTAACTACAAATTACTATCCTAATTCTTTATACAGTCTAACCTCGATATACCGATATTCGATATACTAATATACTATTAAAAACTTGTTATACTGATAAAATTTTATTTTCCCACTAATGTGAGGACATATAAATATCGGTATAACTTTGATATAACGATCTTTTCTAAAAATTTCATATATGTCCCGACATATCGTTATATAAAGGTTTGACTGTATAATAATTTTCTTTTGGTAAGCAATAAGCATATTCGTTAGAAAATCTTTTTAGGCTATTTAAATAGATTATGTATGCCATTTTGCTAACAGGTGAAAGAATTCTATAAGAATTATAGGGGATTCAATCCTTTACTTTAATTTTTGTTTTTAATGTTTTTATAATGGTAGTCCATATTGTGAATTATTAAGCTTAGATTACAAGGCCTGTAAAACTAAAAAAAAGTTCAATAAAAATGAGCTGTACTTGTATAGCTTTAATTCTCTTAACTATACTGTCTGTACATATATAAAGTTCTAAAATAGGATGATAAGTAGTTTATTTTGCATAGATAGTTAAAGTAGTCCTCTTATATACTTAGTATATTTATATTACTGACTTATTTTTTAATAATTTGTAGCGATATTTGAAAAAAAAATAAATAAATATAAATTTAAAGTACATTATTTTTAAAAACTAATACTTTTATAATTTTTATATAAAAAAATTTTATTATAAATAAAAATTTGAAAATAAATTTTTAAAGTATAAATAAACCATTACTTTTAAAGTGTCAGTTTATAAATCATTACTTTTTTTAGTGATATATTTTTTAGTAATATATTTTTTTTAGATGGTTATGTAAATATAATACTTTAATAGTTCTTATTACCTAGTAAGTATAATAGTAATTCTACTTAGATTATGATATAATACTTAGAAGAAGTGTATAGTATTCAATAGTAATTCAGTACTAGCTAATGCTGAATTGCCTAATATCACTAAGATGCTATATCTATACTAAAAACTTTGAATCTAAAAGTATAATTTATAAAATATTTAGGATCCTATTGTAAGTTTAATTAATTTGCATATTATAAATATTAATTAGAATCTCTAGCTTAACTTCTATATTTATGGTAAAAATTTCTGCTTAATTTTCTAAAATATTTAAGTATATTAATTTATTTATAAAGGTAAAATTTTTCAAAATTCATATATTTTTGATGTATTTTTAATATAAAAAAAATTTCTTGAAAATTTTGGTTTTAACAATCAACTAGTCTCAAAAAAAATTTTTGATTTAGCAAATAAATTATAAATCTGCCCCTGCATTACCGTTTAAGGAAACAATATTTTTATGGATAATAGTGAATATGATCTTAAGATCTTTTAGTAAACGAATTTAATAACGTATCTTGTATTTTGAATATGACACTCGCACTTAAGGACAAGGTTTTATTCATTAGTGGTGCTTCTCGGTAATTTATAAAATTATTTTCTTTTATTGTAAAGGATTCAATATTAAGTTATTAAATTAATCGCAATCATCAATATCAAATTTAGAGGAATTGGGTTAGCGATAGCTTTGAGAGCTGCAAAAGATGGAGCGTGAGTTGAAAATGGAAATATTTGAAATTATGCGAGGAATAAATAACATGATATTAATAATAATTTTAGAAAGATCTCTATCGCTGCAAAAACTGCTACACCACATCCAAAGGTAAATATATCTCACAAAAGAATGTAATTTTACTTGAGGGGTCATATTAACATATTTCAAAGTTACCTGGCACAATATATACTGCTGCGGAAGAAATTGAACGTGCGGGAGGAAAAGGTATTGAACATTAAATAATTATCGCCTTTTTTTTAGTTACCTCATTTCATAATAATTTTTTTTTTAATTAATAGCTCTTCCGTTGGTATGTGATATTCGTGATGAAGAATCCGTCAAGTCGGCTATACAAAAAACAATAGAAAAATTTAATGGAATTGACATTGTTGTTAACAATGGTATGAATTATTTTAGAAAAAAATTATTGAAAGCCCATGCATCAATTTATTTTTTCTTCCGCGATAGCATCCGCGATTTCTTTAACCGACACTGAAAATACTACTCTCAAAAAATACAATCTCATGCATGAAATTAATGCTCGTGGAACTTGGTTGGTAACAAAGGTATTGGTTTCATGAATATTTTCTATTTTCACAAGTTAATTTGTAACATTTTTTTTTTTTTTTTTTTTTGGTAGTATGCACTCCCATACCTTATCGAAAGTGGAAAACAAGATAGAAATCCTCACATATTGAACATTAGCCCACCACTTTCCATGAAAGAGCAATGGTTTTCGGACCATGTTGCATATTCAATCGCTAAATTTAACATGTCACTTTGTATTTTGGGGTGGGCTGGTGAATTCCGTGAACATGGAATTGCTGCAAACGGTAGTACTACCATGAAGTATGAATGGATAAGACAATTTTATTAATAAATATTTTTTATGACCACATTAGCACTTTGGCCAGTCACTTCGATCGACACAGCCGCTTTGAGTATTTTAGATAAACATACTTCATCTAAATCTCGAACTCCTCAAATTATGGCAGATGCTGCTCATTTGATTCTCACCAAAAATTCTACAGGTTTCAGGTAAAATTTTAAATTTAATAACAATATTATAATTATAAAATAATAATATCCATAATGATTTTTTAGTGGTAATTTTGTAATTGATGAAATTATTTTAAGAGAACATGGCCAGACAGAATTTGATCAGTATCTCGTTACACCTGGAAACAGAGATTTAGTACTTGATTTATTTGTAGATGATGAAGTATTTAACAAATTAAAACCTTTATGGAAAGAAGATAGAAGAAAAAAAAATCCAAAATTATAAATTATTAAATCATCCTAATAAGGAATAATTAATAGTAAAGATTTTCTTAGTATAAAAAAAAGGTTAAGGTTAATTTTCGTATATAAGATTTTCAAGTAGCATAATTTTTGAATTGGGGTAAATGATTTATTGTTCAACGCTATTTTTTTACTTGCACAAACAATTGTTCAATAAAATTATTTCAGTCCTATTTTAGCAACTTTTTCTGATGAACGTTTTCGGATAAAATACAGTTTGTACGTACTACCGATATAAATTATAATACATGAAAAATATTAGAACTTGAAAATTTTTTTATCCGTTCGTTTGTGGATTCCATTATAAATGGAAACACCTTCTACAAAAAGAGAAGGCAAAGCCTTCGAGTGTCTTAACGACGATGTAAAGGTATGAAGTTTGCTAGTCTAAATTAATGAAACAATATTTCCTACAAGTAAGCTACTTATCTTTTAAATTCCATTACTACTTTAGCGATTGATATTGCATAGTCTTTATGAAACTTGTCTTCGTGACTTTGATAGGTGGGAATCTATTCGTGCAAGACAGGTTAAAGCTGTTAAAAAGTTATTGCCTCTTGGATACACTTCTCGAAGTTTCGCTAAGTTAGTTTTACCTTATGTTTGGAAATATGTTCGTATTGTTACTAATATAAATAGCGAACGTTCACATAATATCGTAATATCTGAAATCTTAAAAAATGATAATCTTCTATTTCCTTATGGTGAATATTTAAAAGAATTGGAAATTAATTTTACCGTATGTAGTGGAGACGAACGTTGTCATAAAATTCCCACCATATCATCATTGCTTCAAGTTATAGCTATTCGATGTGCAAATATACAACAATTGAATTTCCTAGCAAAAGTTGAACATAAAAATACAAATAAATATCCAATGGTACCTGGTATATATGATGAAAATGTTATTATTAATCAGATATTTCAAAGATACCTGAAAAATTATCCCAAAACGGAATGGAATGATTTCAGAAATTTAGTTTCTAAAGCATTCAGTCAAGGTTCATTAGTAGAAGTTACACTTAGTTCAGATTTTCTTCTCATGGATGATGAATGTTTGATTAACATTACAAAAAACAATCCTGGTATTAGAAAACTTTCATTAAGAGGATCTCAGTTTACTCATACAGGAATAGAGACCGCTCTACAATATTTGGGTGGTAGTTTAAGGGAGTTGGAAATTTATAATTTATTGGGAGATGGTAGCACTATAGCACTAAGGGGCTCCCCTTTGAATATTACTATTGACTCTTTATTGAGACCATGTCGAAATTTACAGCGTATTCATTTGGTTGGCATAAAATATAGATTTGTTGGTAAATTAGAGACATATATTTGTCCTTTACAGTCTATTACAGCAAATCAAGTTGATGAAGAAACTCTCAGACGTTTATTCTCACTTGTCGATAAACAAACTTTATCTAAAGTCAACATCACTTGTCCTTGTGATGTAGTCAAATGGGATTCATTTCTTTGTTCTTCTATCTTACCCTTTGCAAAAGATGGTAGCTTGAAAAATCTGATATTACTTATATTACGATGTCAAAATCATCAATATAGTTCTTATGCTTTAGACCCAGAAGTTATTATGAAGAACATTACGAATACTCTACAAATATCAGAAACTACTGTCAGTTTACTTTGTTCAAAACTAAATGAATGGAGGATATTGGTGGGCAAGGATACGGGAGATCAATTGTATTCGGTTGAATCAGAAGGGGTCGATTTTGTTTCGAGAACATGCATATTGAATTACGATAGATTGGCTTTATCTGAATATTGTTATTAACATTCCCTTCACGTTTCTTTCAGAAAAATGCCAGTGCCTATTGTATAATGCATTTTACTCGAAGAGTGTACATAAAAGAACATGAATTTGTTTCTGTTATTAATCATAATCTTTTTTTTTTTCAGGTCGCTCTTAACACTCAAGTATAATCTCTCTATTGAAGTTGAATAGGTATGATAATTTTGATTAATAGAAAAATAATTCCATTGAGTTGTTGAGAGTGACCACAAATAACTTGTGATTTGAAACTTGAAAACTGACGGATATGAAATATCTTCTCCGATACATTCGTCACTCTTTTTTAATATTATCAAAGAATTCACAAAAAAAAAGGTTAAAGGTTTGCAAATATTTTCGTTGAATTTTCAATTATTTATGGAAAAAATTATTAATGCAGGATATCCTACAATAATAATATTTGGTACTATATAAAAGTTGAGAAGATTTTTTTTTTTTTTTTTGTTTTAATATGGAGAGAATTTTTTTCTTTTGTTATTATTAATATTAATTAATTCCTTCCTGTTCTTTCTTTCTCTCCTGAACCCAATGATATATACAAATTATTTATCATTTTTATTTCACTTCAAAAAAAATCACGTGTATTATTCGTCATTTAGATTGTTAAATATTGCTTAGACTTAATATAAAAAAATAAAATTTGCTATCTTTAAAATTTAAAAATAGACATTTTTTATATAGTACTAATAAAATGTCTAGTCAAAATTATATTACTCGGTTCTACAATATCACCTGCAAATGCAAATTCTGATACGCGGAATATCATGATCTGCAAAAAATTTCCTTTTCTTTTACGTGATATAGTTGATATAGAGTAATTCCACACAACATTTTTACATTTTTCAATTAGAATGCGACCCGACGAGTACAAGCAATCACAATCACGAAAATATCAAGCAAAATTACGCTCTCGAGACTCAGAAGCTTCTAAAGAAATACAGGAAAAACGAAAAGAGCGAAGTTCAAAGTCACGAGGTGGTCTTCAGAATAAATCTGGCGATAAAGAATATAAAGAAACTGAGGAAATAGGCGAAGAAAATGGTAATAAAAATTAACCTTCATTTTTTTCGTCGTAAAATTGTATCGTAATAACTTCTTGTTCCTTAGATAAGCCTAAACGACAAAGCTTTCGAAAACGAAAAGTTGAAAGTAATTCTTACCGATATAAAGATATATCTGATACAGAAGGTAATAAAATGTATAATTCGCTTTTTTATTAATAACGCGTATAAAATAATTTATCTACCCTTTAATTTAGAAGCTATAGATGGAATTGATTTAGGAACTAGAAACTTGTTACAAATGATCGATGATTCAGGCAAATTACTTATTTTTCTTTCGAATTTTAGATTTTTGATTATTATTATGTTAACGACAATGTAAAATCGATTAATAGAAACTCGATCTTTTGATCCTTCAATATATTTTCAATTCAAAGAAGAAAAGGATTGGGATACATCAGTTGATGCTTCAGTAAATGAAGATGAGGTAAATTATAAATAAGAAATCTTTTTTTCTTTTGTTATCTTCATTAACATAAATTTTTATTTAAAGATTTATCAAAATTTGATGAATATACGTTTCGATGAATTAGAATTATCATTGTCTAATGTATCATTAGCCGAGAGATTGGATTTAATCGATGATATTTTTACTGTAGGTATTATTTTATTTTTTTATATCAATAAAAAAAAAATATTTCAACCTCTATATATATTTTTTCTCTAGGAAAAACAAGAAACTAACGTAGATTCAAGCTTATATACCACGGGTCCTATTGTTCCAAAAACAGTGAGAAACATTCCTATTGTTCCGCAAAAATTTATATCAAAGAATGTTAAACCCATCGAAATACCAACAAGTGTGCAAAGTTCAACTTCGAACAATATAATAAAGGAGCCACAAAGTAAGAAAACGATTGAGATCGATTTAGGGAAGAAAATTGTTGCTAATAATGCATCACAAGGTATATCAGGAAGTAAGAGAATCCAAAATTCGTTTCCAGATTTATAATTAATAGAATTTTCTTTATATTTAGCGTCTGCATCCACAAATAAGAAGCCAATTTCGCATTCATTAATAAGTAATAAAGACGATGATGATATTGATGACTTTTTGAAATCACTAGATGAAGAAAATGGTAAATTTTATTTACAAAATATTTTATTATGTATACAAATAGTAATTTTTTTCTCTGTTTCTCTTTTTATTTTAGCCAAACAAATTAAACCAACTAGTTCCTTGCCAAATAATAAAAGGGGAACAAAAAAAATTAGTATTAACTTGAAAAATCAAAATAAAATAACTGCAGGAAAAAATGATGATGATACAGAAGATTGGTTAGACGATATTTTAAAGTAGTTTATTATTTATTTTAGCAATTATTTAAACTAATGAAATTAAAATACTTTAATCCTAATAAAATTATTCTATATTGTTGTAAGATAATTTATTAATTGGAATTTTTACTTATTCGATATTATAAAATGATTTTAAAATAATAATATATTCGTCGGGATATCTTAGAAAATGTTGTACATGTTCACTGTCGGCCCCAAATCTTTTTTCAACAATTTTCAATATGCCTTTTTTGCCTTCAATATTAATAAAATTACTTTCTCTTTCCTTTATTTTTGATATAAATTCTATTGTGTCTTTTTCAGGCACAATTTTATCGCCAGGTCCATATAAAAATAAATACTTTATATCTCTACCATCATGAATACCACCAGGAATATTATATAACGATTTGTGGGCAAAATCTTGATATTTTTTAACAATAGGTAATGTAAAGAATATTGATAATACGGGAACCAAAAAGGGAAGTTTTACCATAGATACTTCGTTTTGGGAATTTGAACTGGGAATACTAGGGTTTAATAGTGTGCGTCTTAAAAAACTTCCCATTATACCCAATGCAAGATATTTTTCTGTAATAGGAGAAGGAGCTGAATCAATTACACAAGATTTTATTGAATTTAAAAAAGATTCAGCATCTTCACTTGATATGTTTGTTCCAGATGATATTTGCTTTTGATCATTTTCTAAATAATTTTTTGATAAGCTTTTAACAGCTTCACATAACATAGCATAATGATAAGTACCATTATTACTAAATACGTGAAATCCAATATTTTTCGGTTTCCCTTGTTCAATCCACATGCTAATTAATTCTTTTGCTAACCGATTAATATCTCTAGGAATTGTCCAAGGAAAAAATACATGATAAAATGGCGGTATATGAGATAATGTATTAGTATGAAAAGTATTTGTATATAGAGAAATATATTTATGTAAATATTTTGGTTTACAATTCCACCATCCTATTAATATCATTAATGATGGTTTATCATGGGAGGATGATTTTTGTGTAAAAGAATCATCATCGTATGCAGGATACACTTCGGAAATATTGTGAATGTGATGATGCGATTCATGCGATGTTTGATGTTGTGTAGCAGTATCGGAAGAGGAAGGAGATTGTTGTGATGGTTGATATACAAAAGTTTTGTTCGCATTTTCCGCATTGCTTATTGTAGTTTTAAGTTGACGTTTAAAATAGAAATTATTATTAAAATTAAAAAATTTATATTTAAAAGTCGATGAAATAAAATGACGTTTTGGTGAAGAAAAATATTTGTGAGATAAAGTTTTTGTATTAAATAATGTAATCGACGTGACCAAAAGTATAAAAATTTTTGGTTCCATGGTTCAAGGAATCAAAACGGGAAAAGGTTGGTTGTATAATGAAAAAAAATCGGCATGACAACTACTTGAAGATCAAATCTCTCCTAATGCGGTCAAACAATCAAACAATGGAATTTTGCATTGGCAGTTGTACAAAGGTCTTCGTACAAAAAAAAAAAAAAAAAAAAAAAAAAAAAATATTTGAACTCTTTAGATTTCATTAGCATCAAAATTAATGTATCCAACACGAGTTGTTCGTGCTTTGCATAAACATGTTCCACTTATCAAATTTCTTGGGCCAAGAGATAAACTTCATAAAGGTATTGTACGGATATAGAATTTTCTTACTCCTAAACACATTAACACAATAAACATTTCTTAAAAGAACGCACTGGTACAACACCAAAACTTCATCCAGCAGAACCTAAAGAAACCGCTTCCCCCTCAAATACTCCATCTGATCATAAATCTATAATAGCTTTTTCACAATTACCCGAGAAATACAAGAGAAAGGGTCCTTCTCCCGAGGAAATAGATGCGATTGAAGTAGGTTCATATTTTATTTATTTTTGATTAACTAATATCTAACAATTAATTTTCATTTATTAGCATGGTGGAGCAGATAACATAATTCGTTATAAGGGTTACTTTAAATTTTAATTTATCAAAAATCACCGATGTGATATGTGAACGTCTATGTAATACAACTCACACGTGGAAACTGATTGTCCGTATTATTGAAATGACATAATTTATAAAATGTTTGGTAGAATATCTGATTTTGCCATCGCAAGAAGTAACGGATCATCGAAAAACTGTAAATATTAAACATCGTATTAGAAAATTGTAGTAATGTAATTACATAATAAAATTTACTCGCCTTATTGACTGAGACATCTTCAGATAATCCTTTACGTCGACGTGTTTTAACCATAAAATCTCTTGCTAGATGTTGTGCGGGGCTTGGCTCTAAAGGTCGGAGAACTATACTTTTATCCAGTGGATCACCAGGAATAATCTGGCATAAACAATATTTCTTGCGTTAAACACATAAAAAAAGAAAACAAATAAATAAATAAAAATATAATTTACCTGCCAATGGTCAAACATTTGTTGACAAAATGCCTGCCCCTGAGTGTGAGTTCGTAAATCTGTTTCAAATCCGTTAGCCTCTATCACTGGAATATATGCTTTAACGGTGTATAATGGAGACCCAGCTTTTGGAATATCTTGCGTAACATGTCCTCTGTGAAAGAATAAATATATAATTTACGTATAAATCGTATAAACGATTAAAAGTATAATTTATATTTGTTATACCTCCGTCGTGCTAAAACTGTATACACCGCAGAAACACAGTCGGCTGGCGCTTGAATTTCGACATAGTATACTGGTTCCATTAATCTCGGAGTTGCCTAATGGATAAATACCATAACGTCAAAATTCTTTTCACTTATTTTAATTCTAAATAAATGTAACTACCGTCAAAAATGAGGAATAACACACGCGTCTTGCTGTTGGAATTATCTGCCCACCGCCACGGTATATAGGTTCCGGTGCTAGAACAACATCAAGTATCCTAAATTTGACATTACGTATGGCTACAAAATGCGGGTATGGTTAAATTAAGTTGAATTGATACATACAATTAAGAAAATAAGATATATATATAAACTTACGTTCATCACATAGAGGTCCTTCCCGAGTACCCCATTGAAATCCTTGTCGTATTGAATCCCTAACGGACGAAAGTAATTTTTTATCTACTTCTGTAGGCAAAGTATCATCCATTAAAATGTTTGGTCCATTTTCATCAGGACCAAAAGCCCATATTGAACGTGACGCCAATACATCCCAAGAATAATTTTCTTCAAAGAATTTTGCAATATCCTTAGCAGGCCATTTGATGCTTACTTTCCCAGCTTCGATGTCTTCGGCAATGCCCTTCTCTAATGGTTCGGCTATCATTGTTAATTTATTCCTAAAATATTTCAATTACATTAATTAAAGTAGATGTGTCGATGAAATTAATGTATTACCGTTGAATACATACTTTTTATTCGGAGTTTCAGCAAAGCATTTTAGAGCGGATGTTTCAACAACAGTTTCACAGAATCGGACAACAGGGTCTGATACTTTCAATTCAATTTCTGCATACATTCGTCGAAGGTCATGTAATACACAATCTAAATATAATTCTCCTGTACCAAGAATGATATGTTCACCAGATTCTTCAACCTATATTATTTTAAATTGTAAGTTTTAAACAATTAAAAATATTCATCTCTTATACTCTCACCTTAGTCACTAAAATAGGATAACTTTTATTAATTTTCCTTAATCCATCCAACATTTTTGGTAATTCAGATGGGTTTACAGGCTCAACGGCTACCTTAAGAACAGCGGTAGTCACAAAAGACAAAGGTCGGAAGATGTACATATCATCATCGGTGTCTTTATTAGTTATAGTTGCAGTTTTCACTATTGAATTATCTACCCCTCCCAGTAATACCCAATTTCCTGCGGGTACTCCCTCAACCTCAATCCTATACCTATAGGAAATTAAGAATAAGCCATTAAAATTTTGAAAGAAAAGGATATTTTATTGCACTATTATTTAAAATACTCACCTTGATTCGAATATCCAAACGTCTGTAACATCCTGTAAAGTCATATCTTCTTCATCATCTATTGAATATCCTTCGCCAAGTACCCTTACGGTTTGTCCTTTTCTAACTGTACCACTTAAAATTCTACCAAATGCATCAAATGTTGATGCGTCAGCTGAATTATATAGTTTTGTAACGTAAATCATTAAAGGACCATCCGAATCACATTTAAACATTGATTGTGCAACATTTGTATTCATAGGTCCAGTATAAGTATGTTCTACCTAATGAAATGAATAATTATTAAATAAAGTAAAGTATTCTGTTATGTCACGTAATAATTGTGATTAAACATACTTTGTTAATGGCATTATTCTCTGGAGACGGAATATGATGTACCACCATATCCACAAAACCAGTTGATGGACCAAAAAACTGGTCCAAAACTATGCGCAATAAAGGCTTTACATCCAGTTGGAAATGCGAAGCTTTCAAAAAGATACCTAATGACGCTAATGTTCGTTTCAGCGTTTCTTCGTTTTCGCCGATTACCTATAAAAAGAAAAAAAAAGGCCAGTAAGTAAAAATCAAATGAAAATTAAAATTGAAAGAAAAAAATGCAATTTGCCTGAGCATAAAGTTTATATAATGGGTCCAAAATAAAATGTACAAAAGATCGTTGGCTTTTGCTTTCGAGAGATTTTTTGCTAAATTTCCTCTCAGTAGGATTGAAATATATATCACCCCATAAACGTTTCGCGAATTCATCGACACTTAAGCCACCTACAAAAAAGTATATACTTATTTTTACAATAAACAATTTAGGAGCCAAGCAAACTACGGAACCTTACCATAAGTGTCAGCATAAAGTTTAGCAAACGATTTCAAGGTAAAACACCATCCCATTTGACTTGACGCGAAACAAACATTTCCACGTTCAGGAGAAACTCGAAGATCTTGGCCGGGGGCACATTGACTTAAAATTCAATAAAAGATGAATATTTTTATTCGAATATTTGAATATAGTAAAAACTTATATACCTGATGATAGTGTTGACCTCTTCTATAGTATGTCTTAATTTATAATAAGCATCACTGGGTGGTAACTTTAATTCTAATATTAATCTATCCACTTTATTGACGACAAGAGTGAATGCCAATTTTTCTTGTACGATGTGTTTAATCACACGCTCTGTATTAGCCATAACCTGGAAAAAAAAAATGAAAAAAAAAATTCAATAAGAAATAGGAATACATTTCATTAAATTAATAAAATATTATATACCCCTTCAATTGCGTCTACCACAACAACCGCACCGTCGGCTAAACGAAGCGCCGCAGTAACTTCATCAATAAAATCCACGTGACCTATTGCAGGAAAAAAGTTGCTATCAAAAAATGAAATTGGAATGGAAAAAAATTTTTTCCAACACTAGATTACAAGACGAATAGAAAATAGAAATTTTATACCTGGAGTATCTAAAATACTAAATAAATATGATTTACCCTTTGAATCTTGCAATATAACCGTCATTGGCATACTTTTAATACTTACACCTCGGTCTCTTTCCAAGGTATGTGTATCTGTGTAACGTTCCTGTTGATCGAATTTGATATATTAGATATTCCCGTATATAGGTAAATAATTTATGAAGTACCTGTCTATCAACATCCCAAGCAACTGATGAATGTGTTTCATTGACCAACATATCAACGAATGATGTTTTTCCGTGATGTAAATGACCAACAATAGCAATATTCCTGATCAATTCAGGAAAATTCATCATGTCTACTAAAAACCTAATAATTATTTAATAGTTAAATCTAAGTGAATTTTGATCATAAAAAAGAGAGGAAACATTAAAGAGAATAATAATCAAGTATTTACCCTTTTTTATATCTAGTTTCAGGAAGACCTTTTTCTTGAATTTGAAACTTTTTAATTTTTATAGGCTGAATAATTGGTTCGGATAAAGGTTGCGTATCCTCTTCCTGAACCAATGTTTCAACTTCTGGACCATAAACTTCTTCGGCACTTGGATAATATTTTTTATCTTCGTGAAGAACTACTTGAGTCTGAGGAACATCTGAAAGAAGTAAGCGCCCCAACTATCAGTCGAACATTTTAAATAATGAAAGCAAAGATATTTTGAAGTGTATAGTTAAATTCGCGTCTCCAACATAAAATTGGGTCTGATAATAATTTAATTTTTAATTAAGAAACCAGGAAACCTTCCAGGAACGCGAAAAAAGAAACGGATGAACGCGTACCGTCTATTTCCATAAGTGCCATATTTGAACTTCCAGCCTCTACTTCTCCTTCTTCATATTCTTCTTCTATATCCTCTTGCATGGGCTGAAGAGTTTCTTCCTCCTCTTCGGATTCGGGCAATTCAGGGCCGAGATAATTACCAAATTCGTCATAAAGTGATTCCTCCATATTTTTGGATAATGAGAAAGCAAAAAAAAAAAAAATTAAACTTATCGACTTGTACAGATTACAAATGATTGGGCAAATCAATTTATTCCAGTATAATAAATACACGTTTCTATAAAATATTATTTGTCCAATAAATTTTGAACACGAATTTATCTGAAGTAAACTAACCAATGAATGAATTCCACATATCATCTTATGTTTATAAGATGAAAGCGATAAAAGCCCATGATTTTTTAAAATTCATGGTTTTGAAACCTAGTCTTCGTGCATTAATTAAATCGTACTTGGCTTAACTGCTTTCAAGCAAGTTGTCCATAAAGGATGAAGTGCAATCGACGATTTCTTGTTCTCTTAATTTCTTCGGCTCTTGCTGTCTGTATTTCTGCAGAGGAAGCTGTTCCTAGCGCGGAAGTTCGACCAGAATTTAAGGTAGTAAAAGTGTCTGCAACTTTATGGCTTTATGATATTTCCTTTGATATGTTTTTGTATTTAAATAAATAGATATAGAAACTTCTTATGAAGTGTTTTTTTGTTCGAGAAACCCTTTGTTTACAAACCACACTATACAAGTTTTTTCACCCGAAAGGGTATTTTCTTTGCTGTTGGTTTGGGCTTTGTTTCAGATTTTACATAGCAAGTTTTAAAACAGTATCAACCTTCATGTATAATTTTATAAAAATTTTTTCTTTCAATTTACGCTAATTTCATCAAAAATGACATGTATTCTCTTATTTTTTTTTTTTTTATAGCCCACAACAATTAAAGCACCATTTTTAGAACAATTCACAGATGATTGGACTAAACGGTGGTCACCAAGTGAAGCCACTAAGGAAACAAAGGATGGAGGCGAAACTTTTAGTTATGTTGGAAAGTGGAAAGTTGAAGAACCAACTGTTTTCCCGGGAATTTTAGGGGACAAGGGATTGATTGTAGATTCAAAAGCGGCTCATCATGCAATATCCGCTTCTCTTAATAATTCTTTGGATAACACCAACAATACCCTAGTAGTCCAGTAAGTCATCGTTTTATAAACGATCTATGATCTTTCCTTTTGGAGTCTTTTATTAATAATTTTGTCATTAGATATGAAGTTAAACTTCAAAATGGACTTGAATGTGGCGGTGCATATATGAAATTATTAACAGAATCTGAGAAAGGAATCCATGCTGAAGAATTTTCTGATAAAACACCATATACAATTATGTTTGGACCTGATAAATGCGGTGCCACCAATAAGGTACACTTTATCTTCAGACACAAAAATCCAAAGACTGGCGAATATGAAGAGAAGCATATGAATAGTGCTCCTTCAGCGAAAATATCAAAACTTAGTACTCTCTACACACTTATCGTAAGGTAATATATTAAGTGCTAAAGTTCTTTTTTTTTTATTATAAGAATAATTTACATATTTATATTATTTACAGACCTGATAATTCATTTGAAATCCGAATCAATAATGAATCAACCAAGACTGGTGATCTTCTTAAAGATTTTTCACCAGCGATCAATCCTCCAAAGGAAATTGATGATCCTAAAGGTATCTTTCAACGATTTAAATGATGATTATTAAGACTTTGTTTAAGATATTTACTATAATCTTTAATATTATATTTAGACAAAAAACCAGATGATTGGGTCGATAATCCAAAGATTCCCGATCCCAGTAAGTTTGTTTATATACATAATCTTATATACATTAAATAATTATTTTAGTGTCTAAATATTATTATTATCATCTTACTTAAAAAATAGATGCGAAGAAACCTGATGATTGGTAATTATATTTATAACTTTTCGTTAGTTCAATTCTTAAATTTATCACATTATCAACTGGGTTAATGTTCAATAATAGGGATGAGGATGCACCTTCCGAGATTCTAGATCAAGATGCTAAAAAGCCTGAAGGCTGGCTTGATGATGAACCAACTACTATTCCGGATCCTGAGGCTAAGAAACCTGAGGATTGGGACGATGAAGAAGATGGAGATTGGATTCCTCCATCAATTCCTAATCCAAAATGTGAAGAAGCTCCTGGATGTGGTGAATGGAATCGTCCAATGAAGAGCAATCCAAACTATAAAGGTAAATGGTATCCTCCAGAAATTGAAAACCCGGCTTACAAAGGTCCATGGGCTCCTCGTAAAATTTCAAACCCTGATTATTTTGAAGATTTGCATCCTTCTAACTTTGAAAAAATCGTAGGTTGATTTTATTAGTATTTGGGTTCGTTATTTTTTTGTGACTTATATTTACTATAACATTAATTTAGGCTGCCATTGGTTTTGAACTCTGGACTATGCAAAACAACATTCTTTTTGATAATATTTATATCGGTCATTCTGAGGAAGACGCAAAGAAATTTGCCGAAGAAACATGGGTTATTAAATATAAAATTGAAAAAGACGCAGAAGATCTGGATTCTAAGCCTGAAACTGCAGAGGTATGTTATCTTCGCATGTTTATGTATCACAAAATCATGATTTTATATTATTTATTTCTGACTTACTGTTGGTTTTTTTAGCAACCTCCATCTATCTGGGATAATCCTGTTGAATACTTACGATCAGAAACTGACGAATTTATTAAAATAGCATTTGAAGATCCTCTGGACGCCGTTAAACAAAAACCAGAGATAGCAGGACTTTTCGGTGGAGCGGCTGTTATTCTCTTCACACTCCTCACAGTTCTATTTAATTTAATAACTTCAGCTAAAAGAGTACAGTATAATTTTAATAATTTTGTTATATTGTTTGTATAAATTTTTAACTGAACTTTTTGTCGTACTCTATTTAAATAGCCATCTGCTCCTCACAAAAAAACCGACGAACCAACTCCCGATGACAAAGATGCAGACAAAGCAGATTCACAGGATGATGGTGGTGATGGTGATAATGAGGGAGAAATTAATGCAGGAGAAAAAAAGATTAATAAAAGATCAGGAAAGAAACCACCAAAAGACAATTAATAATATGATATTTTACTATCTTATGATAATTTTTATTTTATTTTTTTTATTCAAAAGTATTTAAGAGAAGTATTATATAGTAGTAGTTTCATTTCATATTAATTTTTACTTTAACACTAAAACATTTGGTCACATAGTTAATGATCGTGTACTTCCAAATATATATATATATATTATTTGAAGTACATATAATTTTATATATTAGAAATTAATAAAATGACTCCATATGTTAAATGCATTATTGGAGCTGTATTCAAGGCAAAATTATTATTCGTTATTACCAAGGCTAAATTTATTCACTGCTTATCTAAGAGCCCAAGTTTGATTCGTCAAGATTACGTAATCAAACTAGATCTTTCTGCGGATTATAATGAAAAAGTTACTGGTGCATTTTGCGTATCACCACACACAAAGTGGTTTGCTACTATTTTTTTTGTCACCTTAACCAATCTTTCTTTCCTCATTCTTAGAATATTTTGGTTATTAATATTATTAACTTATACATTCATTCAAATACATCTCACTACTCCTTAGGAGTATAGAGAAACTTTTTTTTTAAAGGGAAAAAAAAATTTTCTCCAAAAAAATTTCGTACAGTAAAAAAAAAAATGTCACCAGCACCAACGGTACTTGTACTTGGCGGCTTAGGCTTTATAGGCCGCAACTTTGTTCCCTATCTTTATGAGAATAAGCTCGCTTCGGAAATAAGAGTAGTTGACAAGTCGTTACTTTTAACGGCTAATTTGAACCCTAGACAAAGAGAGGCGTTTGAAAATGTAGAAGTTAAGCAAAAGGACCTGGTTGATCCTGGTACTTAAAATTTTAGACGAATTATTTCATAACAAATTTCCTTTTGTTATATTTAGAGTTAATGACGCGTTATTATTAACACACGTTGCCATTTTTGTACAAATATTGATGATATTATTTGATCAGCTTCCATCAAAGAAGTTTTTACTCGGGAAGATGAGAGTTCATATGATTATGTGTTTAATTTAGCTGCCGAAACAAAATATTCACAAAATGAAAGAGTTAGTCGTCAAATTCGATCATAAAGTGTATTAATATTTTGTTGTATAAATATGCGCTAATATTTGTATATATCATATGAAACTAGGTTTATGAAGAACGTGTCTATTTATTATCAGTTCGTAATGCTGAAGAGGCTGCTAGACGAAGAGTCAAATGCTTTGTAGAATTGTCGACAGCAGAAATTTATCAAAGCGATAAAGTAAATTGAATTGTAGTTGTAATATTTTACGTATAAAATTAAAAATTTATTAAGTTTCTTATCTGTTAAAGAATCCCAGCAAAGAAGACGAGAAAATTAAACCGTGGACTATTATGGCCAAATATAAATATAAAGCCGAAGAAAAATTGAAGACGATCGAAGGTCTTAACCTGGTCATTTTGCGACCGGCTGTTATTTATGGAACAGGTGCAATAATGGGATTAGTCCCTCGTATTGTATGTGGTAGAATTTATCAATATACCAAAGAGGAAATGAAATTTTTGTGGGCCAAAGATCTAAAGATTAATACAGTCCACATAACGGATGCTGTTCGCGCAATGTGGCATACTGCTACCTGGTATGAGGAGAATCAGATAGCTGGTAAAAGAGTTTTGATTTATAACTTGGCTGATCAAGGCAATACAGGTGCGTAATTATTTGTTGAAGGTTTATTTTGAACGGACATCTAATTCAAGCGTATTTTTAGATCAAGAGAAAATTAACAAACACATAAGTAATATCTTCAACATACAAACTGGATTTCATGGAACAATCACTTCTAACCTTGCCCAAGTGTGTATAATCTCATTAAAACAAATTCATTTATGAATGTTTTAATTAATTTTAATTTTTTTTTAGTTGAATCTTGATAATGCCACTGATGAAATTAATGACAAACATATGCGTCCTTGGGTAACTCTCTTGAGGACTAATAAAATTAAGAATACTCCATTAAGTCCTTATTTGGATAAAGAATTATTATATAACAATGCATTGTCCGTTGACGGTACTAAAATTACCAAAGAAACAGGGTTTGAATATGAAGTACCTCAGATTACAGATGAAAAAATTCAAGAAATGATAGATGATTTTATTGTATTGAATTTGTGGCCCATTAATGATGATTAATGGTTATTATTTGTATGTTTTTAGTTGTTTGTATTTTATTCTTAATAGATTTTCTTATATTATTTTAAAGAAATTTTATTTAGGTATTATAAAATCTACTGGTTTATTGTAATACATAATCTTCCCTTTTTATTTGATTCTTCGTTTCATCGTTGTCTAAATATTCTAATAAAGCTCTTTTAAATAATAGTACAGTTGAAAATCGCTAACTATATTTGAATTGCGGTCGGTAAAAATTAAATCCATGTTATTTATATCAAAAAAAAATTTTGAGCTTTGGTAAAAAAGGCAATATAATTGTAGATCAATTTTCGCTTCGCTGAATACAACATTCTCATTTAAATGATGATCCCGAACATTAATACCGTTATATTGTAGATCATTTTAGAAAAAAAGAATATCATAAATTTATAAGTTCCATTCGTAAGAGATTATATGGATAATAAAGATAATAAGATATTGCGAATTACGAAATTTATTATATTAAAAGTATAATTTAACGCGATTTATTTTTTTTATTGACGACTTTTTTAAAGAATCACACGTGTTCAATGTCTAATTAGATTGAATGTATATTGATAATTAATTATGTAGTTTTTGTGACATATTTTCATTAAGAATAAGAATATGATTAGAAAGAGAATTAAAATATATTTGAATAATTATTTAATAAAATTAAATTTTATAAGAATGCAGCAAAAGAGATTAAATAAAAATAAAAAATTATTTTGCTGATTCAAAATAGTCCATTTTCCATATTATCATAAATGTTCAAAATAGCTTAAGATAAATTTGCACGGGCGAAAAAAGTGACAACAAAAGTAAATAATAACATGACCCAGCCTTGAATTGGTGATATCATGCCTGCTGCACTAAGAAGGGTATTAGGATTCTTAGTCGGTGTAGGTGTTCCCGGGGTTCCTGGAGCTGAAGGAGAACTATTACCTTGAACGACGGTAGTTGAAGGACCTTTGGGAGCTTTAGGAGCTGTTGCACCACAATTACCGGTATTACAAGCACTAACACAAGTAGGTGTAGTGGGATTACATTTATTTATGCATGCTTGTTGATCGGCGGTACATGTAAAGTATGGAATGGTTTGCGTGTATTCTAATATAATTAAACGAAACGGTTAATTAAATTTTTTGTTCGTTAGTCCGCTCGCAAGTATTTGTTCGCTTTACATGTAGAATAATAAAATAATTACCGGTGGCATTGGGTCTTACGCCATTTGAACACACACAGTCATATTGAAGTGTATCTGGTTGACAAAAGTTGGTTGTTGCATCATAACCATTATCCCAACAAATATTTGTACAAGAAGCTATTTGATTATTACACCAGGTCGCTTTAGTTGCGGGATCAACAGTGGAGGCTAAAAACAAAATATGTTAAAAATGGTATTTTTTAAAAAGAAACTCAAAAAATAACAACAACAACTACTTACGATCAAAAGGGTGAACTTTTGTTATAACAAGAAATAAAAAGGTAACGAAAAGAAGTTCTTTTAGTTGAAACATGATTATTTGAAAGTTGAAAAGTTTAAATTTTTATTATTATTTTTTCTTTTTGAAGGAAAAAAAATTAAAAAATATCTTTTAAATTTTTATTATTAAGTAAAAAAGAAAATACAGTTCAAAAGAGAAAAAATATTTTTCTGTTAGAAATTCAACAAATTGAATACAGTTATAAAATTTTTTTGTTCAGTACAAATTATTTTGTGTAAGATACTAAGATGTCTATAATTAAGTATAACTTAACTTGTTTTGTCGATTATAAATTAAAAATGTCGTATCCCGATAAAGCCACAAGGAGAAAAGCATATGCCACGAAGATAAATTTAGCTGAATCCGATCTTCAAAAAATTCATACTAAATATACTATGCAAGATAATAATGAGTTGCATTAGCTCTAGTAAAATTAGTAAAAATTTATAATTTTTTGTCGAATGATCAGCCAAATCTATTGATCCTTTGTTTCTACTGAAAAATTATTTGTAGTAAGATTTTCCGTATATTCTAAAAATATATATGTATATTTTTTAAGAAGTGATTATGTAAAAAAACTGTATCTTTTCGCGTGTATATCTATTTTAAGTGGCATAGTAAAAAAGAAAATCAGGGGAAATGGGCACAGCAAATACTTGGCACAGAAGACCTCCATTTTAGGATCGTGCAACTAAAATATCGTAATAATTTATTATATAAAAATATTTTTTTCTCACTGCAAATCAATGCATAATTTATTAAAATACATAAATAATGGATGCACTGATTTATCGGTCTTTTTTTACATACATAAGTTCGCTAAAGTTTACCATCTTAACATAGAAAGCATTGAGCAAGTAACGTTTCCTAAATATATTATGCAGTCGCTAATATAAATCGATCGTCATTCTGGATTTCTAGAATAAGAAGTTTCGATCAGTATAAAATTAATCCTGCGCATGGGTTGAACAGCAACCAAATAATTAAATTTTGGAGGAAATGATTTGTCTATAAAAAGGCAAATAAGATAAACCATTTCTTGAGGATGAAAGTCCGTGCAAAATGAGACAGCATACGCATTATTTAACATTTTAACGGTAAAGAAGGAAAGAAGGTAGAGAAAGGAAGAAAGCGGAAAGAAATGACTAATAAGTATTCGGAATATTTAGGAACTTAACAAATGATAAATGTAAAATAAATAAATAAAATACGCACAACCCGATTGGTTTTTTTTAGTAAGTTTTAAATTTTGGGTTGAGATTCTCTTGTCCAATTATGTATTTGAATTTTGTAAAGTTATAATGTGATCGAATTTCGAAAACGCCGTTGACACGAAAATTTCCGGGCGAAACATGCCGAACTTTCCCGATACTGTATATGTAACGAAAATTACGCATATTGTGATTTAATGATATCTAACTGTTTTCCTCCTGCTTTTTTATCTTTTATCAAGCTATGATGAATTCATACGTTTTTTTATATAAACCTCAGCTTTTTGACGTCTATTCCCCTAAGACTCATTTATTTCATTTTAATAAATACTCTATTAATTGATTCGAAATTTCAAAACGAAAACTATGACTCACTCTAGAATCGAAGAAGAACTTCATGACACCGCACATATTGATTATGATCATGTTGCAATACAATGGAATCCCTCGGTTGCTCAATTATATGAAGACGCCCTAAAATACGAGTCAGGCTCTGCCATTTCTTCTACTGGCGCTTTAGTAACTGCCTCTGGTAATAAGACCGGCCGTTCTCCGAAGGACAAACGTATCGTTGACGAACCTGGCTCTACAAAAGATATTTGGGTAAATAATATAATTTTAATAATTTAAATCATTAATTTATATTGATCAATCAATTTGTGTGTTCTTTGAATAATAGTGGGGTCCTGTTAACACTAAATTGCCAGAACATGTTTTCCTTATTAACCGCGAACGTGCGGTTGATTACTTAAATACTCGCAAACGTATTTATGTTTTTGACGGTTACGCTGGATGGGATCCTAAATATCGCATCAAGGTCCGTGTTGTCTCAGCTCGTGCCTATCATTCCTTATTTATGCGAAACATGTTAATACGTCCAACTGAAGAAGAACTCGAAAACTATGGAACTCCTGATTTCACTATCTACAATGCTGGTGCTTTTCCGGCAAATCGTTACACATCCGGAATGACGTCAACAACTTCAGTAGCAATTAATTTCCATATGAATGAAATGGTCATTTTAGGAACTGAATATGCCGGTGAAATGAAAAAAGGAATGTAAGTATTTATTATAAAATTTTACATTTCATTATTGCTAAATATCACCACTGGTGATAGTCACCTTACCAGAATTAGGGTAGAATTTTGGGCAGAATTAATGATGTCATGAAACTCTACCCGTTAATATTTGCTAATGCTGGTGCGGTGAGAATCACCTGCGGCGAGATTTAGCAGTGCCCTTCCCTTCAGAGATTTCTTAAATTTGAATTCATCTTATTTTTTTTAGTTTCACAGTCATGCATTATTATATGCCAATAAAACATAATGTTTTATCTTTGCATTCGTCTGCAAACGAGGGTGCTGATGGCGATGTTTCCATTTTCTTTGGTCTATCTGGTACTGGCAAGACCACTCTATCTGCTGATCCAAAACGTTTCTTGATTGGAGATGACGAACATTGCTGGTCAGAAGATAGTATCTTTAATATCGAGGGTGGTTGCTATGCTAAGTGCATTAACTTGTCAGCTGAAAAGGAGCCAGAAATTTTTAATGCCATCCGTTTCGGCTCAGTCTTAGAAAATGTCGTATATGATCCACAAACACGTGTAGTAAACTATGACGATGCTGCACTTACAGAAAATACTCGATGTGCTTACCCAATTGAATATATTCCAAATGCGAAAATACCTTGCATATCATCAGGCCATCCCAAGAACATAATCTTGTTGACTTGTGATGCATATGGTGTGCTTCCACCAGTTTCAAAACTGTCTTCAGCGCAAGCTATGTATCACTTTATCTCCGGGTATACTGCCAAAATTGCTGGTACAGAAGATGGCGTTACTGAACCAGAAGCTACATTTTCCGCTTGTTTTGGTCAACCTTTCCTCGTATTACATCCATATCGTTATGCCAAAATGTTGGCAGAAAAGATGGAACAACATTCAGCTAATGCTTGGTTAGTTAATACTGGTTGGAACGGTGGTGCTTATGGTATTGGTGAGCGCATCAAACTTAAATATTCCCGCGCTATTATTGATGCTATCCACTCTGGAGAACTTGCTCAAGCCGAATACGAAAATTATGAAATATTTAATTTGCAAATTCCAAAAACATGTTCGGAAGTACCATCAGAAATTTTACACCCTGCGAAGACATGGAAAGGAAGTCAAGAAAGTTATGTATCAACTCGCAATTTATTGGCTCAACGTTTCATTGAAAACTTTAAATTGTATCAAGATCAGACAACCCTTGAAGTTGTCAATGCTGGTCCAATTCTCTCCTGATTTTTGTAATATTTGCTTTTTTTTTAAAAAAAAAAAGTAACTTGTAAAGATATTTAGATTATTATCCCTTATTTTTTCTTTGTAATTAATTTAATATTATTTAGATATAGTTACTGTATTCAATTTAGACGTAAAGTTTAATAAAATAAATTTTAAAATTCTGCAAATGCTTCAAAATTTGATTACTGATTCAACTGATAAGTTTAAACTTGATAGTTAGCTTATTAAACAAATTTATTATGAAGAATTTTAACCTATACATAAATGAAGCTATTTAGGCTTTTATCAATATCATTGTTGTCAGAATGCTTTTATTTATTTTATTTATTATTTATTTTCAACAGAAGTTTTTAGACTTTTTAAAATCACTAAAATATCTTTCTTTGGAAGAAATTTTAATAAACAAATATTCTGTTCAGCAATTTTATTTTAAAGCTATTTGTAATAAAGGTTTAAAAATATCTAAAAAGTGAAAAAAGGTGACTTAAGTAAAAAAAAGGTGTAAAAAAGGTAGATAGAAACAATTTACCTTTGAATTTTTAAGTACTTTATATTAATTTGTTTATTCTTAGATTTATGAATAAATCTTCCTTGAATTTTCAATTATTTTTTTATTATAAAGTAATTTTCATTAATATTAAGGATATTTAGTATTTACAATTGTAATCTACTGTAATTTGCTTATTTTACTAAATTAGAAAATTCTTATATATTTACTAGTTTTTAAATATATACTTTTAAAAACTATTATCAAAATCTCAATATTAAAATACAGTTAACTCAGTGTTAACTTCCTTTATAGTTACTCTTATTATAGTCACATTTTACTATATAGTCATACTAGTTAGATGTTTAAAATATTTTATTATTAAAATCTATCCCAATTTATTTATAATTACTATCACATCTATAGCGCTTATTACAAATATAATTCATAATGAACATTCCAAAAATCTTATATTTTTTTTTTATAATCACAGTTATATAAAAAATATAATAAATTGCTTGGCATCTAATGATCACAAAAGACATAATACAGCTTACTAGAATTATCTCACTAAGATAAATCAAATAATAGTAAACTGGTAGTTTCATTTTTCTATAATTACTGGTTAATAAGTTTAATGAAATGTTTTTTAATTTATATATACTGTACTACTAAATATTTTATTTAATTGCTCAATATCCAATGATGATAAAATGATGGTTAATAACTTTTTGAAATTAACTAATCAAGACAAATTGAATAATACTAAAATTACTTTTCTAGATAAAATTATCTAATAATTATTATTTTAATACTTTTTATATAACTTATAATCTATTATATTTTAAAAAATAATTTTAGCACTATTTGATTTATTTTAATTAGACAATTCCAAAGAATTATTAACCATCATTTTATAATTACTAGATATTGTAAAATACTTGATAATGTAGTAAATATAATCAAAAAATATTAAATGCCAATTTTGATATTTTATTAAATAGCTTATTAGCCAGTAATTATAAAAAACAAAACTACCACCATTCAAGTGAAATAATTTTAATGAGTTTTATTACTGGCTGTATTCTTCTAAAATTAGTTACCTTCTAAAATTAAACACCTTTACTAATCCTATAAAAAAAGAATATCTGGAAAATATACTGAAAAAACTAAAAAATTTAAGTTGAGTTATTTTAAAATCTAATACAATTTTATATATATTTGGATATTTTCCATATATACCTGAATGTTTTCTGTATATATTTAGATGTTTTCAGTTTTTTCAGTATATTTTCTTTTTATAAAAACTAGTATTGCTAACCAAAACTCATTTAATAATAAAATTCAAAAATCTAAAACTCAAAAACTTTATTTTTAATGAAAAAATTAGTGAATCTGAAACTTTTCTAAATTATAATTAATTTTGAAAAAGCATAAAACCAGTTTAGACAATTAATTTTAAAAAAATAGTTTCAAATTAAAATTTTGAAAAAATAGTTTTAGCAAGTATCCTTAATAAGGACAACTTTTTAAACTTTAATAAAAAGATTTTTATATAAAGTACTAGTAAAAAAACTTTCAAAATTAAGCATCTTCCTATGGTGCCGGAACTCTATACTCAAAAATGTTTCAAATTTTTAATTTATCACGTGAGAAGCACAATAGCCAATAAAAACTCACAATTTTAGACAAAAAATAGAAAAAACAGATACGAGCATATATAAAAAAGGAAAAAAAAGGAAATCGGCTAAAGAATAAAGCAGAAAGTAGTATTTATTTAAGAACAATCAAGCTAAAATGGGGTTGAATTTAGACTTTTAAGTAAATTAAGGATATTTTAAGCCATTTTAAGCCTTAAAATAATTAAATATCAATATGATTTATGTAAATTCTCATAAAATAAATGCATTTATGTGACTTTTTGTTTCAAATTTTGGCCAATCATATAAAAATAACCAAATTTCAAACGCTTATAACTTTTTATGTAGATATTTTTTTGAAAATCTGACCGGTAATTTAATAGTACTTGTCTTGTAGAATAAAGTTACCAGTTTATTTCTTTGAAATTCTATTTTATTAAAGTGTTGAAAGATTTATAATTATCACAATTTTATTTTTGAGTATAGAGTTCCGGCACCATATGTTTTTTAACCAAAAACTTTGTAAAAAAAAAATGACTAACTTTGGAAAAATATGATACCATATTTGGCGGTAATTAAGCATCTCTTTTTTGCACTTAATGCTGGCCAAGATGCTCATAATTTTGGTCAAAATCGCCATAATTCTGGCTGGAAGTGCTTATTTTTGGGAGGGATGCTTAATACGATGTCAGACAAAATCCTAATATCCATTTTCCTGACAGAACGTTTGCCTAATACTGTTGATCTACATTAGTTTTAATGCTGGTCAAAATTATTGGGAAAATGTCCTGTTGGAAAATTTTCTGTCAGGAAATTATAGTGTAATAGCAAAATATGGTATATCTTTTTATAATTACTAGTTATTAATTTAATAATTTTTTTTATTAATAAAGCATATTTAATACTTTATTAATAAAATTTTATATTTCTATAAATATACAGTTATCATTGGATATAATAAATCTGCCGTTCTAAGCATTTTAGTTCAGTATATCTGTATATGGTAAATTCGATATATGATATTTATATTATATACCGAACTGTTCAGTATATGAATTTTATCCAATTAAATTATAGCAGCATATACTGTAATATTTAAAGTTCAGATAATTACATAACTTACTATAACAAATAACACTATGTTTTATTTAAAATTTATGTATTCATTCAATTTTTTAAGTATTTACCAGCTATTTAAATGAAAATTTTATCTGATATAAGCAGAAATAATTTTTCCAGTACGTCCATTCTTTTATATTACTAATTAAAGTTATGTGATAGTTCAGTATACTAAATATATAACTGATATACTTGGGCTAGCTAAAATAAGTTCAGATGCGATATATAGTAATTTATTATGTGATTTTGTTATATCCAGTACAATTAATGTTCTGAAAAAATCTGATTCGATTTGTATTTGTAGATCTGATTCGAAACAGATCAGATTAGATCAGCTTTTTTATGATCCATGATCTAATCTGAATCAAAAAAATTTGATCCATTTTGGATAAATCGAATCAGATCAGTTATTTATTTAAATCAAATCAAATCAAATCAAATCAGATTTGAACAGATTCAGATCAGATTCAGATCAGATCTGAATCTTAGAAAATAAAAAATGGTTTGTATAATATTTTTTATTAAGACAATTATAAATCATTTCGCAACAGTTTATATTAAAACAATTTAAAAAAACTGTTGCGAAATTGTTCTTTTTTAGTTAAATAAACCATTTTGCAACAGTTTATATTAAAATTGTTAAAAAAACCATTACAAAATAATTTTTTTAGTTAAATAAACCATTTCACAATAGTTTATATTAAAACAATTTAAAAAACTGTTTGAAACAGTTCTTTTTAGTTAAATAAACCATTTCGCAACAGTTTTTATTAAAATAATTTAAAAAACGTTGCAAAACAGTTCTTTTTAGTGTGTAATTAATTATAAAAAAATCAGTTTTATAAAACTTGGTAAGTTTTCAGTACAAACAGGTCTATATAAAATAAATACAAAACTACACTAATTTATTAAGTATTAAACTACTTATTATTTTAAAAAGGACTCCACATATGTATTATTAAGTGGATTTTTGAATTATGAAAATAAATTCTGTATAAAATATAATCTTTTTTAGAGGGAATCCTTTTCTTTCAATCAATATCTATTCAGTAATTTAACAAGATCAACTGTATACAATAAAGAAAATATAAAAAAAAAAGAATAAAACAAAAAAAAATCAGAGTAAAAAAGGGTTAATAAAATGTAAACTAAATAGTAAAAACTCTAACATTTCAAACTTTTATTTGGTTCAAGCATCCTGTCAATTGGCCAGTGATCTTAATAGCACCTGAATTTTAGCAAGAATAATTAGTTTGTCACTGCTGTCAAAGCCTTTTATTTCTTAAAAGATTACTTCTACTTTCTAAAGACTTTTTCTTTTTACTTTTATTTATCAATGTTTTTATACATAATATTAGAATCTTCATCTTGATTCTGCTTTTAATTGGAATTCTTTTTTGGTAGTCTATTTCTAAACCAATTTAAGATGGATAAAAATATTGAATCTAAACATCTTTAAATTTTTTAAAATTGAATTTAATATTTAAAATTTTGTTCAAATTTACCTAAAAGTTGTAATATATAATTAATTTTTTACACTTATGACTTTGAATAATTTTAAATGCTAAAGTACCATAGTAGGATTCTCAACATTATATAAAATATTTTTAATAATGAATTTGGATAGGTTTATTATAATAGTTTAAAATCTTTTTATTTATAAGTCCAGAATACTAGAAACTATCATATAAGTATACCTTCAAATGGAGCTGTTCAAACTTTATTATTCCAAATTGATTGACATAATCACAGTCATATACTTCTTTTGAATTTTAATTTTATTATAATAATTTAATTCCAAATCTGCAGATTCATTAGAATATCAAGTTATGTCATAGACTCATAGTAAAGGGAATATGATAATTCATAAATAATAATTTTATAGACGTTAGCTTTATTTAGTAGTGTATATATATCCAGTCATAATTATTAAAATATGTAAATTTAAACTTCTTAGTCTTTTGCTATTGCGATGTAGTAAATGATATACTACTTTTCTTAGAAGTATTATTTTGAATGTTTTATTTAATAACTACAGATGTGAATGATATAGATCTATTATTGTCAGAACCTGAATTTTCAAAAATAATATCAGCATAAGAAACCCATTTATTCTTACCTTTTAGAATAAATAACTGGATTTGTACAGTATATTAAGGGATTTATTTTATGTTACAGGTAGTATATCTGATGATCGGTATTTTAGTTTTTTAAAAATTTTTATTTGTATCAATTAAGTTTTATAAATGACTGGATTATCATTAGTTGGAAATTAAGTAACTTTGTTCTTATGTACTCTTCTAATAGTCCAAATTAAATAGTTACTCAAAGATCTTTGTAAATAAAAAGAAGCCATATAAAGTGAGAAAATTTTTCTTTATCTAATATTCCTAAGATTGTGAACTTGTTTGAATATAAAGTGAAGATTTTATCAAAATAACTGTATATTTCTAATGTAAACTTTGTAAGGTTTGATAAATACCAATTACATAGATAAAGTAGTATGAACTTAGAATTATTTCAAATATAATAATGAAGTCATTTCTGTTAAACTGTTAATAAGGCATTTTACCTTTTCTTTACTAATAATATAGTTATTATTATTAACAAAAAAACCCATTTTTTAGTAAAAATAATATTGCTGAAATTTTGTAAAAAAATAATCTATGCAATTGGTAAAAAGAGTTTTTTTCATTATTAATTTAATAATATATATATTAAATTATAATATCAAGTATCCTATAGGCTATAGGATCATAATGCTGATTTTTTTGCTTATATCTGGCATGTTACGCATATTACGTTATTTATTGCCAGATATTATTTTATTTATTAAGTGCATTACAAATTATTATGATTTACATTAGCAATACAATTTTTCAAGACAAATGAAAATGAATAGAATAATTATTAAAATTATTAGAATTGAATAATCCTTATATATTTTTCAAATTCATTTTAACATTGACGTTATTATCAGATATTTCAATATTTGTAATATTTTTATTTTCTTGGTAATCCACATTTGTAGAGTTATGAAGTGGTTGCAATCGTTCGCTATTTAAATTTTGCCCTAAAAAAAAAAATTGTAGCAAATAAAGATACTAAAATAAAAGAAAATTTTCCAGTATTCATACTTTTTAATAAATTATTTGCACTACTAAATTTATAGCTTTCTTTATTGCCTTGAAAATTAGATTCTTGTTGATTATTAAAGCTTGAATTGCTAAAATTATGAGAATTATTTTCAAGCTTATTGTTATTATCTAAGAAATGTAAAAAAGAATTTGTAAATTTACATTTAAAATTAAAATTTATATTAATTTCATACTTGTTTCTGATTCATTATTTTTGAGATTTAAAGCTTAACTTAACCCATTAAGACATAAATCTTGCATTTTAAATTTGGATCATTTATAACTTTTTAATCCATTTAAAGAATAATGTTGTAACACTGACATCACTTCTATATTTAAAAATCCAAGATTTTTTAACAATTCAACCAGTGTTTTTCATATACTATGATTTGTAATTTTGTGCTCTATTACATCTATATCACATTTTTTTGCAAGTTCATGTAAAAAATTTTGCATTTTCTTTTCATCAATGTTGCTTATCTTGTATCATCTATTAAAATATATAAAATTTAAAATCATAAAATTATTAATTTATATAATAAATATATTATAAGGGCCGGGACATATATTACCTAATATTTTAGGGGGTGGGTGGGTGGCAGGGGATCTTAGGTTACACAGTTTATTATAAATCACGTGATATTAGTGGCTTAGATTTTATACATGCTTTATTAAAAAAATTTTCAGTATATACGACTATCATTCTTTATCTGACATGCAATCCCTTAAATATGTTTCGTCAAAGAGAGGTTGCTTTTGCTGTGATGGAAGAAGAGAGAAATCGTCAAGGACTCTCGAATTTTGTTCTCTAGATTTCCCTTTAGGTCGTCCACGACTGACAGGATGCAACGTTTTTTTGTGGTTCATTAAATAAGTAAGAGTTGGAAAATACTTATTGCACGCGGAGTAACAAAGACGCGAATAGGCTGTTTGATCAAGGGACGGGCAGTGAAAATCGTACCCAGGAATTTTCATGAGATCAAAATATTCAAGGAGATGTATGGCATTTGTGAAATGTCCGTCTTTAGCTTTTGTAACTGGAGGCAAAAAGCCATTATTCTAAAAAAGAAAATCCATGGCTTCTTTTGCACGAGGTGGTCCACAGCAGCTTGTATTCGTGCAATGTTTAATATCAAGAGAATACTACTGGCATAAATTACAGCAGTGATTTTCGATCCATGACCATAGCATAAAACATTCTGGTGAGTCGTCTCCTTTTTCTTGTTTTCTTTTTTGTTGTTTTTGTTCTTCTGCTTTTTCTTTGTCTGTACCTTCTAACTCTAAATTTTCGAATGGATTAGATAGCTCTTCAACATACTGTGCATCAACTTTTTTCCCAAAAATCAAATCTCGACGCCAAATATCGCAAAGTGTTTCTCCAGCATATCGGAAGTTTCGCAGGGCCAATTCTGGAACAATCACTTTACCTTGTGTATTTAGGTGCAATCCAAAGTGATCAATCGGTAGTGTAATACCTGCCAATTTTCCAGATAGTGTAGCCATGTCTCTTTCGACAGGATTATACTTGGATTGTCCTGGGGCATGTGTTCAAACAGTCAAGTAATCTAAATCAAACTTTCGAAAAAGTTGACAGTATATTTTAATGTTCTTTAGATGTCTTGGATTCTCGTCCGGCCCTCCATCTACCAGTAATACTCAGATCGGTCGAATTTCTCCACCAGTTTTCAATACATCATCATATTGAGGATCCAGGACAAGGCTTTCAAGATCTTGCATGTGTGTGAGTGAAAACGTACCAAGAAACCATTGACGGTGTACAAAAATGGCAAGTTGTCCTGTTCGTAATTCATCATTTGACTCGTTTAGTTTTGTTATAAAGTAAACTGACAGAACCAACTTCTGCGCATTTCCTAGAGGAAAATCATGGTCAGCTACACTAACAGGTTCATTAACTGACTGCAACGAATGAAATATTTGACCTACAGCAGGTACTCCAATACCTATCTTCGCCTTGTCATCTTGTGAAATAACAACGGAATTATCGGCAAAGGCGGTAGCAAATTGCCTTGCATATTTAGTAGATGCAAGACAATAATGACCATCAGGATGGTCACGTGTTTCAGTACGCGAAACTCCCGCTACTGAGACTCACACTGGATGATGATGTGCTTTTGCGGCTATAGAATTGGATTGGCGAGGCAGCAGGTAATTGTTCAATGTTATTCTCACCATATAAACATCATAATTTTCTTTAAGATTTTTGCGCAAATGTTCGATAGTTCGCACTTTAATCACTTCCTTTCGTCATTTTTTATCAGCTGCTCCAAACTTGATCGAATCGTAGATATGATTATGCAAATTTGGATGTTCGAAAAGAAATGGGGGCCGACCAGGCTTATCATATAGTATTACCATCTGGTCTTCGTGAAGTATTTTTCTTTTTTTTTTCTTTGCATTTTTGAGCATAATCAGCATTCCTTTTTAATTTAATAATTCTTTTCCTGTTAGATCCAATTTCAGCTCGATGACTTCCTATTTTCAAGTACGTATCATGTCGAAATTGATAATCTGTTGAAATATTGTAGATCTGCTCGAATTCACTAATCTTTTTTTTGGCTATTTTTATCTCATTTACCGCTTTTCTTTGTGCTGATGCATTGACAGAAATTTCCAGTATAGGATCTGCCGAACGAATTGCAGGAAGAGTAGGAAGAGGAGGATGTGAATCTTTTCTAGGTGCAGAAGGTAATGGCCTTATTGTTTGCATATTACATAGATTATGTGACGTGGCCAGATAATTTCTAATCATGTCATCAATTTCCGGTCTACTCTTGATTTTAATTTTGTTCCACTCTTTTGCTACTTCACTACAAATATCAGCACGGTTAGGAGTTCCGTTCCCATTCTTAACCATAATACTATATACATAAGCGTTAACAAACTCTTGGTACTTATTTGTTGGTGAATGAAAGATTGATTTCTTATTAAATTTAGGGCTAAGAAAGAAGGTTTGACGAATCATTTTAGCACTGAAAATAAAATTATTGACGCGTTTGTTTTATTAAAAGTTTTTAAAATCAAATCTTGAAAGTTGAACGTGTCATGAACTCCGCAGCATCAGCAAGTTTTAAACAGGCGTATAAAGTGTTGAAAAACGCCATGTGTTGCTCAACGCCAAAAAACGTAGGGAAACGAACCCTTTGTCAATCAACGCTACTTAAAAACGTTTAAAACCGCATAAAACAACACCAATTTAAATGTAAAGCTACACGTAGTAAAACAACAATAGTTTAAAAACGCGTATACAATGTATAAAAACGTGTATATTGATATTAAAAATGCGTCAAGCAATGGTATTTTTTAGTCATCGTACAATAGTTAACATTGTAGTATTAATTTATAAACATATATTTTATTGTATATTATTAATATATATATTATATAAAATGTGTAAATTTATTTATGATAAAATACAGTATCAATACAAATATATTATCTAATGTAAATTCCTCTTGTTATAATTGGATTGCCGCGGATTTTTAAGCGATCAACGTACTAAATTTCCGTTGACAAAGCGCCCCTGGTGACACAACCATAACAAGGTGGGATGTGATTTTAACAATCAACTAATTGATCTTTCTACGCGATAATTATATTAATATATATTGTCTAATGTAAATCTATATAATTAAATAAAAAAAAAAAAGTTTTCGAATATTCGAAAACAATTATTCCTAAAAAATGAAAGAAATGTTTAATTAGTAAAAAAATAAAAAAAGATGGTAAAGTTTCGCAATGAAACTTACCATTTTAAATTCTAACGCTCCTAATCGACACCTCGGAAGCCCTGAACCTATAAAAATAAAAAAAAACATTAGACAATGTTTTAAACTAAAAAAAAGAAAGTTTCGTAATACGAAACTTACAATCCAATCAATCCAATTATCCCAAGTACCCGAAGCCTACAAAAATAAAAAAGAAAACATTAGTAATAATATTAAAAAATTGATAAAGTATCGCAACATTTTGTTGCGAAACTTACCTATCACCATCCGGAATTCAAAATATCCTGAAGCCTAAATAAAAAAATAAAGATAATGGAATGTTAATAACCTTAATTAAAAAAAATAAAAAAATGGAAGTTTCGTAACGAAAAAATGTTACGAAACCTACCATTTTATATTTCCAGAAACCAAACCTGCAAAAAAAGAAATGAAACGTTTAGTTAAACGTTTCTTAAAGAAAGAATTAAAAAAAAACTTACCGTTTTCCAAAATTCCAAATCCGGAAATCGAACCTACAAAAAATAAAAGAAACGTTCGGTTAGAACGTTTCTTAAAGAAAAAAAGATAAAAACGAAAGTTTCTTACGAAACTTACCGTTTAAAGTCCCTCTTCTTAAATTTCCCGAAACCTAAAAAAGAATAAAGGAAACGTTAGTAAGAGTTTCCTAATAAAATAAAAAAAATATTATTAAGTTTCGTAACGAAACGAAACGTTACAAAACTTACCCAACAGTTCGTCCATTTTGAACTCTCCGATCCTACAAAATGGATAAAGGAAACGTTTAGTAAACGTTTCCTAATAAAAAATTAAAAAAAAAATTAAAAAATTACCCTTCGAAACTTACAATATCCAAGATCCGAAGTTGAACACGCCGAAGGTCCTACACAAAGAAAATATAGGAAACGTTAGAAACGTTTCCTTATAAAAAAAAATGAAAATTTTTTTTTTTTT